TTGGGTGAGGAGCCCCTCCTTTCTCATGTACATAAATACATAGATTTTAACCTGCCTTTCCAGCTGGGGTTCTGTTTGGGCAAGGTACACTGGGCATCTTTTAGGACTAACAGCTGAAGTTGATCAAAAGTCAGAGGTCCACAGTGGTTTCCTTTGGCAAAGGTTTTAGAAATAAGCCATTTTTTTCTATTTTCAGGACAAGGTTTGATCAACCACTATGACCCCCAACACTGAACCCATTTAGCACTTGTCCCAGGACAAAATTGGACAAATTAGCTTTGGACTGATTGCAAACCAAGTCCTGGATTTCACACCGACCCACAAAACCATCCATTCTCTTGGTGGTGGAACAAGGGCCAAACAAATCTATCCTGGCCAAAGCTAAGGGCCTTTTCCATGTTAACATTTACAAGGAAAAATCAAACAGAAAAATAAAATGTTAACATGTGCAAGTAAAATCGAGGTGTGCTTAAACCAAACAAACAGCTGAAAGGAAATGATGGAGACTTGGCCCTCTGATCGCTCCTACCGAAAATTTGCAACTTTCAAAATTCCTCTTCCCAGGTAGGTCCATGAACATCTGAGGGTCCTTTTGGGTCATTCCTAGTTGCTCCTGTTTGAAGCTGAGGAGCGTTCCACCAAAGAGCCAGCTTTGGCAGCAAAATCAGCTGTTTGTCGGCAGGAGAGAGAAATTGCCCTGCCGCTCACTGAACCATCTTTGGAAGTCTCCAGGACCTTTTCTATTGTAATTTAACAAAGCCAAGAACCAGTTTGCAACTTATTTATTTGTTAAATGTATATGCCACCCCTCCTACTGTCCTAAGTGACTCCAATTTCCCCAGCTTGATGCCCTCCAGAAGTCTGGAAGCAGCAAATGCCAACAAGGTTTTTTGGAGGGTACCAGGGGAAGAGATGAGTTTTGCGAGTCAAATCCAATTGGTCAAGAGTACATTGTGTAGGCATTGCTTTCTCTTCCCCATACAACAAATGAGAGAAGACAACCTTTTCATGGGAAGTGAACCACCTTGGTCTAGTGCAGTGTTTCTCAACCTTGGAAGCTTGAAGATGGGTGGACTTCGACTCCCAGAATCCCCCAGCCAGCGTTGCTGGCTGGGGGATTCTGGGAGTCGAAGTCCACCCATCTTCAAGCTATCAAGGTTGAGAAACACTGGTCTAGTGGTTAAGGTATGAGGGTAGAAAGCAGGAGACTGGGAGTTCTAGTCTCGCCTTAGGCATGAAAAACCAACTGGGTGACTTTGGGCCAATCCCCAGGAGACTGGGAGTTCTAGTCCCACATTAGATATGAAAGCCAACTGGTGGCTTTGGGCCAGTCCCTCTTTCTCAGCCCAACCACCTCACAGGGTTGTCCTTGAAGGCACCCAGTCAATGCCTTCCAGGGCAAGGCGGGCAATCCCAAGGACCCTATGAGTTCTAATCCCACATTCGGATGCATGCGTGTGTGCATAAATATAACGTGGGTTTATATAAAACATTTTGCAATAATGGACGAGCAGACTTTTGACGTGGCAATTCCTGCAAATGCCATTTGAGACCCAACCAACCCAGACTTGGATTGCTTAAGGATTTCACTTCCTTGTTCCTCCTCCTCCTCTTCTCCTTCCTGGTTTGTTTGTTTTCAAAGGGAAGACGGCAACTTTTGTCTTGTGGCATTGTGTCACAACGCTTTGTGGGGCTCTCTTGTTCAACTGTTAACACTGAGCTTGCTGACCATTAGCTAAAGCAAAGAAAACCCTTGATGCTCTGGGAGTTTGGGGGAATCCTTGTTCGGTGGCCCAAGAGTCTGAAGAAACAGCGCTAGGAATGGCGTCTCCGTCCACTCCATGGAGTTAAATTGGGCCCCAGGAGACCCACATCAAGAAGGTTTTTCTAGCCAACTTTTTCTTCTGGCAACTAAGTCAGTGGTAAAATCCTCCTCGGTTTGCCACTGGTTTGCTTCCCGCGCATGCGTGGTGCATGCCAAATGCATGATGAGCACATTCATGCGCAATGCGCACCAAACATGCACTTCATGTGAAAAAAGGAGGCTTAAGAAAGTAAGTAAAACAGTGAGGAGGTGAGAACAGCTGTGCCGCATGATTTATATTCCCTAGAAAGCAGGATTTCCTGCTTTCTAGCGAATATATCGCGCGGCACAGCTGATCATTGGAAATACCGGTTCGGATGAACCTATAGCATTTTTTTTACTACCAATTTGCCCGAACCAGTAGCTTTTATTATTACTGGTTCACCCAAACCGGTACGAACCGGTAGCATTTCACATCTGAACTAAGTCCAGAAATCATGGTTGCAGCTATATTGGAAAATATAGATTTTAATATATGAGGATACTCCCTGGAGACAAGAGCTGTCTCAGAGTAGAAGACTGTCCTTCTAAAGCTGGTGGGGTCTCCATCTTGGAAGTTTGACAGAAGAGGCTTCAGGGATGGTTGGACTGATCTGCCTGCATCCTGCAGAGGATGGACCACCTTCAAAACATTGGACACTTTTTTAAAAAAAAAAATGGAAGAAATAAATTAACAAAATAAGCTGCTTCTAGGAAGGCTTTGAAAGAGAGTGAAAACCCGAGAAGTGATTGTGCCGAGTTTCTCACAGCAGCAAAACCTCAACTAGATTCAGAAAATATGTTGACCAGCTCTGAGAAATACTTTGAGAATACGGTTTTAATTAACTCAAATCGCAATGCTTGCTTAGTTATTCTGTGGCTTAGTGTGTCATGCAGAGGAAGCCAGGAACAGCCATTTCATTTCCTTAACCTGGGTTGAGTACCTCGCATATTGTGGGAATGCAGAGATTCTTGGATGAGAAGCAAAATGTCTTCAAGAAAAATGAAGAAAGTCCAGCTGATTTTTTGAAAAAGCACCTTAGGGCTCCCAAAGGTGCTTTTTTTAAAAAAAACTCAGCTGGACTTTCTTTGTTTATCTTGAAGATGTTTCGCTTCTCATCCAAGAAGCTTCTTCGGTTCTGACTGAATGGTGGAGAATGGAAAGATTTATATTCCTTGCAGTCATCTGGTTGTTAGTATTCCCTCTGAGAGTCGTTGAGGCTGTTTGGAGCTTCTTCCGTGCCCTTACGGTCACCTCAATAATGCAAAAAGAGGGGTCAAAGAGGCCATCTACATCAAGGCTGTCAAACTCCCGGCCGGTGGGCCAGATGCAACACACGCTGGCCACACCCACACCCGATACATCACGTGATGCCACCATGACAATGTGAGTTTGACATCCCTGATCTCCATTAAAGCTGAACAGAAGGGGAAGGATACGATACCACCCATCTCCTGTTTATAACACAGTCCTTGCAAAAAGTTCCGAAAAGGTCCCACAGCATTATTCAGGTGACATTGAGGCAGTGGTGAATTGCAAAAGTTTTTGCTACCGGTTCTGTGGGCGTGGCTTGGTGGGGGGTTATGTGACTGGGTGGGCGTGGCCATTTAAAAAAAAACTTTTTAAAGCATTTTTTTACTGCCTATTCACCTGAACCGGTAGTAAAACAATGCTTAAAAATTTTTTTTAAAAGGTTCCAACGATCGCGCAGCACAACTGTGATCATCGGAACCTTTTTTTTTTTTTTTTTACTTTTTAAAGCAAAAAGCATTTGCCCAGGTTCGCCTGGTGCGCCAGTTGCGCCACTACTTGTACCGTGATGCCCTACGCACAGTCATTCGTGCGCTTGTCACCTCCCGTATTGACTACTGCGATGCTCTCTACTTGGGGCTGCCCTTGAAGACCACTCGGAGGCTTCAGCTGGTGCAGAATGCAGCCACACGGGTAGTGATGGGAGTGTCTTGACACTCCCACGTTACACCTCTCCTGCGTGACCTGCATTGGTTGCCGGTTGCCCTCCGGGTGAGATTCATGGTGCTGGCAATTACCTATAAAGCCCTACATGGCTTAGGCCAGGATATTTGGCTGACCATCTGCAGCCAGCAACAGCTTCCCATCGCCCTGTGCGTTCCCACAGGGAGGGCCTACTCAGGGTGCCGTCGGCCAGACAGTGTTGGCTTTGTACCCCCAGGGAGAGAGCTTTCTCTGTGGGTGCACCCACCCTTTGGAATGAACTCCCTCTGGAGCTCCGGGTGGCCCCCGACCTTCGCTCTTTCCGCCGTGGCCTGAAAACGTGGCTATTTCACCTGGCCGCTCTGGACTGATGTGGGTTTTAATAGAATTTTAACTGGGTTTTGTTGAATTTTTGTTAATTTTAACCTGGATTTTTGTTTTAATGGTTTGTTGCTTTGTTTTAATTGTTGTGAGCCGCCCCGAGTCCATTGAAGATAGGGCGGCATACAAGTTCCATTAATAAATAAAATAAAATAAAATAAATAAATAAATAAATAAATAAATAAATAAATAAATAAATAAATAAATAAAGCATTTTAAAAGCATTTTTTTACTATCAGTTTGCCTGAAAAAATGCTTTAAAAAAGTAAAAACAAAGAAAATCCTTTCGGAAAAAGCCTTTTGACAAAAAAACAAAAAACACCTTATGGGACAGCCATGGCCTGGGTGATTGAGTATCTCCATAGACATCCCTTCGGAGGCTGCTGGGAGCTGTTCCCTCCTGCAGGTCCTGAAGGAAAGTTAGAAAAAACAGTCTCACTCCCAAGGAGAGAAAATCAACCTCTCAACAGAAGACCCAAGAGACCCGGGGGAGGTGGGTGGGCTCCCCTTGTCTGGATGCCTTCAAGGGCAAGGGGGCTAATCAGCCATGGCTCTGGGTGCTTCCTTTTGGATCACTGAGCAAGGGCTGAACCGTTTCAAATTGCAGGATTCTCTCGGTGACACCTGTCCTGGCAGAAGGTAAATCCTGTCAGATTAAATTTCTTTTGTGTTTCTAAACTGCTTCCTGATGGTTAGACCCAAAAATCCCTTCTCAAGCAATTTCCCTCTCTTCCCCACCCACCCCCCAAAGAAATCTACCCCTTTCTTTGCCTATAAAAGCCCCTGTTCCCTTTGCTGGAAGGAAGCCTGGAGTTGCCACTGAGTAGATTTGCTACCTGTGGAGGCAAAGGGACAGGTAAGTTGTGGCTCTCCCACCTGTGGACACCTGACAGGTGAGGCCCCTGCAGCAGATCTCTCTTTCCATCTGAAGGGACCTCTTCCAGGGGGCTGCTGGCAACGTCCAGGTTGCAGCAGGGGGTCTGCGGGAGGGTCCCTCAGGCAGGGAGGAAGGGATGTATAGGGGGATCTCTGCAGTAGATAAAGAGAAGGACACAATAGATCACAACCTACTTCGTGGTAAGTTAGACCAATGTGGGATAAATAGCATTACCACCAGATGGATTTTTAACAGGCTGACCAACTGCATTCAACATGTAGTCCTTTATAGAACGGCATCTGCATGGAGGGAAGTAAGCAGTGGGGTCCCACAAGGCTCCGTCTTAGGCCCAGGACTCTTTGATATCTTCATAAATAACTTAGAAGAGGGGATAGAAGGGGAACTCCTCAAATCTGCAGATGACACTAAACTGGCGGGAATAGCCAACACCCCAGAAGACAAGCTCAGGATCCAAAAAGATCTTGACAGACTTGAACAATGGGCCCTATCCAACAAAATGAATTTTAATGTGGAGAAAAGCAAGGATTTACGTTTAGGTAAGAAAAACCAAATGCACTGGTATAGTATAGGTGGTACCTGGCTCAATTGTAGTAATTGTGAGAGGCATCTTGGAGTCCTAGTAGACAATCACTTAAATAGGAGCCAGCAGTTGCATGACCAAGAAGGAAGAGTCCAGCTGGGCCCCAGTGCAAAACTCTGAGACCAATTTTGGAATTCCTAGCTTGGTCCCAAGTTGGTGGTGGGGTCCCTCTTCCTTGGGGGGGGGCTTCCAAATGGTATCACTGCCCCTTTAACTTCTCCTCTCTTTGCTTCTCTCTGCAGGGAAGGAAGGAAGACCATGGGGCGATTCATCTTTGCGAGTCTCAGCTTGCTGGTTGTGGCTTTTTACCTGAGTGGTGAGTTTGACTGGGTCTCTCGTGTCCGGAGAGTCCAACTCTCCTGCCTCTGAACCTCTTCCTGATTTGATGCCCCCCCCCAAAAAAACCCTCTTGCTGAAGTTGTTGTTTGGCTTATCGTGCAATTTCGACCCCACCTTGTCTCTCTGCTCCAAGGCTCAGGGCTGTTTGCAGCAATGTGATAACAAAGCAAAATCAACACGATCGAAATGCAGAATTAATGAAAAGTTAAAATGTTGGCAAAAATGCATCCATTGATCATTTTAAAAAAAGAATGCCCTCTTGCTAGAGGTGTCTCTGCATGGGATCCACCCACGAGCTTAGATCCTTTCCCAGGAAGCTAAGAGCTGGCAGGGCGTCTTCAGAAGGGGCTCCCCTTGGCAGTGAGTAGAAGGGGGTCAGACGCACAAATAATCACCCCTGAAGCCCCTGAGCAATTATGGGACATCCTGGTGGCCAATGCACCATATAGGTCTCTTAAGGAGAGACCTATATGATCCCAGTACTTTGCACTGGTCAACAGCCTGACTGTTACCTTCTTCAGCAGTTACAATTTCAGGAGAGTTTCGAAGGCAGCCCCACATGAAGCCCATTGGAATAGTTGTGAGGGTTGTGAGACTTGCTCTGGAAGGTTCACATTTCACACCCCAAAGCCAAGTGTAGCAAGGTTGAACAGGCTTAATCTGGCGCTTGAAGGAACCCATTTTCTAGCTTTGCACAGTTCATTGAATGGTAGACCAAAGTGAACAGGTTCACACAAGGCATGCAGCTTCAAGGAAATTAACCCCAGTTCACCAGAACCAAGTTTTGGATATTCTCCAAATGCAGCTTCTGTGTCTGTAACCCAAATCAAATTCAATTTATTGCCATCAAAGATGATTGCAACTCAGCAGGTTAAGCTGTCTCCTTCTGCTCCTTCTCTCCTGGCTATCTTCTCATTGGGCTTCCTCTCTTCCCACCCAGGAATTGGAGCTGATCACCATTGTCCCTTTGGTTGGCTCTCCCACAATGTGTCTTGCTACAAGTTCTTCAAAAATTGGATGACCTGGGACCAAGCGCAGGTTAGATATGACCCATGCTTTTGAATATGAATGGAATATGAGAGATTGCTTGAGACGGGTGGGTATAGACATTGAAACTCAAATAAGTAAAAACAAAATCTCCTAGTCCAGACAGAGGAAAAGTCTAGGCAGAATTTTGCAAATCCCTCAAGTCCCTTCTGGCTGGCCAAAGACCCATAAAGGGAGACCTGGAGGTCAACTAGACTGTGTGCATGAAAAGGTAGTACAGATCATCATTTTAGGACAGTCTGACATGAAAGTATTCTGTGGACTTTATACTGGGGTAGACTTTCGTGGCCAGTATTTAGTGTTGATCTTCTGGGTTGAGTGACCATCTCCTAGAGAACAGATTTCCTGCTGTTTTGCTGGCAACTCTGGCTGGTATCTTCTGGCCTCTTGACCACCTGGGCTCTGAAGGGATGGGGGGATGAAATGAGTTTTAATTGGGCCAAATTTATATATCTTTTAATTGTTTTTAATATTTGTTCTGCATGTTTTTTAATCTGGCTGTACACCGCCCTGAGTCCTCAGGGAGAAGGGCGGTATAGAAATCCAATATAAAATAAATAAATAAAAATAAATCTGAGATTCTAACGCATGAATTTAAGTCTGGAACTGTTCAAGAGCTGCAGACTCCAGGAAGGACATCTGCAGGGGTCAACGAAATCAAGACTTTGGCCGGGACCATGCCATCAGGTCCCTGCTCTTTTCTCACAGGCACAAATACACACAGATAGAGAGGATGTTCCTTCTCTGCTGAATGCGTGTCTTTCTCTGTTGTCGCTCTCTCCCAGAGGTTCTGCATGGAGCAGCAGGAAAACGGCCATCTCGCTTCCATCAAAGACGTGGAAGTGTCTTTTACGTTGTCCAATCACATTTCTGAAAGATTGAAATTCTTAGATGTCTGGATTGGATTGAGGCTTTCAAAGAGGGTAGGTCCTTTCTATTGCTTTATCAATGCTTTTTTTTTAACCATTTCTAAGGGGCTGTTTGAAAGGTGGTAGGGAATCTCTCCGCTAAAAGACACCAGCGGGCAGTGTTCATCTCTGTTTCTTAGCAAAAGGAGCCAGCTTTATCCCTAGAAGCTTCTGTGGTCATGTGGTCAGCATGACTCTACACCGAGGCACATAGAATGCTGTTACTTTCCCACCAAAGTGGTACCTATTTATCTACTCGCATTTGCATGCTTTCGAACTGCCTGGTGGGCAGAAACTGAAGCATGTAATGAACTCATCCAGTGGTGAAATCCGGTTTGCTACCAGTCCGTGGCTACACATGTGCGCCACGCGCCAAAAGGAGGCTTGGGAAGGTAAGAAGAACAGTGAGGGAGTGAGAATCAGCTGTGGCGCACGATCTTGGATACCTTTTTAAAAACTTTTTAAAAGCATTTTTAACTACTGGTTCCAGAGAATCGGTAGTTAAAAATGCTTTAAAAAGTAAAAAAACAAAAAAGTTCAGACAATCACGCGTTGCTCAGCTGATCTTTGGAACTTTTCTTTTTTTTACTTTTTTTACTACCGGTTCAGCGAACCAGTAGCAATTTTACTACCAGTTTGGGCAAACCGGCCTGAACTGGTAGCATATCACTCCTGAACTCATCCCATCATGTATAACTTGCATCTTGAACCCAGCTGTCAGGTTTCCAGCTGACAACCTCAGCATCTTTAACCCCTGGATTATCGCGGCCCCTTTTGATGGAAGCATAAATATTCATAATTAGTACATGGGTAATAGATGATGCAAGGATAAATATTTCATAATGAGCAAATGCCAGGCTATTTCCCTTCCCATCTACTGTTACTATCCCTAAGAAAGAGTTATTGTCTCAACAAAGAAGCAACATATCAGTTACATTGGAAAAGATAAACTATATCCAACATGGAGGACTGTCCACCTCATTTGAAGGGGGAGAGGGGGAAGAGGGAGGGGGGAGGGAGAGAGGGAGGGAGGGAGGGAGGAGGAGGGAGAGAGGGAGAGAAAGAGAGATGGTCTATTTGGTTTATATACAATAAAAGAGTTGGAAGGGACCTCGGAGATCTCCTAGTCTGCCCCTTGAAATGTGCCAACATTTCCCTGGGCCCTGCATAGCCAGAGCCCCTTCCCCAGTTGGTTAACATGGTTTCGCTTTCATTACAGAAAGGCATCTGGGAGTGGAGTGATGGCTCCAACATCACCCACACATCCTGGGAACAAGGCGAACCCAACAACTTTTTCAACAAGGAGTTCTGTGTTGCGCTGACAGCCGGGTCACGTGAGTCAACATGTTGGGGGCATCTGTTCTGACCTAGGCTTACTGAGTCATTACAAGACACAATTAGTCCCCAAAAAACCTATTTTATTGTAACAGCTGAGAATTATTTTCATTCCCAGCTGAGTCCCAATTAGTTGCAAAAAAAGTCCTTCAGAAGAAGTCCTTCGGGATAATCACCAACCTTTATCTTCTTTGACACATTGCCAAAGGCCTTACTTGGCAAAGCCCCATGGAGTTCAGAAACAAACAAGAGATGCCAACTGGAAACAGAGTTAGCAACTTTGCTTTCCTGCAAAAGACCCAAAGTGCCTTTGTTTCTCTTTTAAGCCTTATGGGAGGGGCCAATCATCTCATGGCCTTACTCCCAAGTTGTCCCTTTTGCTTTAGCTGCTCTTGCCTTCTGGCAGCTCTGCGCATGCATGCACTAGGAACAGACTCCTCCTGTTCCTCTGCCTCTCTGCTACCCGACTCTGGGGGCTCCGGAATCCATGCATCATTCCCAGTTGGCCCTGGCCCCATCTCTGCCTCTAACACAGAGCCCTTGTCCGGACTCCAGGACTGGCCCATGTTCCTCCCCAGACTCCTCACTGTCCGACTCCGCTGCCAGCTCCGCAGGCTGCTGATGGACCACAACAGCAACTGAGGGTGCACTTCTAATAATAGGGACCCATCTGATCCCATCTTGTAACATTCACTCCTTGACCACTGATGACCTTCATTGATCTCTTGGATCTCTGAACTTCCTTACACTTTGTACAGACAAGGGAACACAAAACACCCGTAGGAGAAACAAAATTGAAAGCGTAATTCTTTCGAAAATCGGGACTGTAAGTAGAGATTGTTGCAGGAATATCATCCCATAATTCAGGGGTGTCAAACTCAAGCCCGTGGGGTACTTTCTTTTATGTACACTGAGAGCATATGCACCAAGACAAATTTCTTGCGTGTCCAATCTATTCTATTCTAAAAATTCTATAGATCTGGTCCACAGAGCCGACCTTGAAATAGCAAAGGACTGGCCTGTGCTAGCCAAAATGCGGCACAGGCGGGGGGGCAGTGCACCCCTGTTTTGACTGCCGGGGTGGTGCAGGAGGCAGTCCAGGCCCAAAACGCTCCCCCCCCGTGCCCCCGCACCTGCACCCCACTTTGGCTGCCAGAGTCCTGCAGGAAAATAGTTGGGAACACAGGCAGCAACCAGAGGAAAAAGAATTGGTCAGGAAAGCATTTTGTCCAAAAAAGGAAGTGGCCAAAGAGAGCAGACTCCAAATATAAGGTGCAAGGAGACACCCTGTCGCAGAAGAAATATGGATGGCGTAGGAATGAGAAAAGCAGTTTAAAAAAACAAACTGTGGACTGGATAACAAACTCCAGTTGCAAGGAAATCCCTCTTCCAGGGTCCATTTCATAAGGCACTGAAATTGGGCACGTGGTATAATTCTTTGCACTGGCAGGTTCAAGAGGTTCCTGAGTTGGGAAATTTTGACCCCTAATTTTGCTTCACTGACACTCGTTGAGAGGACGAGCTGGCTGGGGGATTCTGGAAGTTGAAGTCCACCCATCTTCAAGCTACCAAGATTGAGAAACACTGCTCTAATCTATTATCTGTCTCCTTTCTCTCATCTCTATTTAGCTATCTAGCTATCTTTTTTTTTTTAATTTGATTTATATGCCGCCCTTCTCCGGAGACTCAGGGCGGCTTACAGTGCGTTAAGCAATAGCCTTCATACTTTTGTATATTTATATAAAGTCACTTATTGCCCCCACAATCTGGGTCCTCAATTTACCTACCTTAGAAAGGATGGAAGGCTGAGTCAACCTTGAGCCTTGGCGAGATTCGAACTCGCAGTAATTGCAGGCAACTGATGTTAATAACAGTGCTTTAGTCTGCTGCGCTACCAGGGCTTTTGGTTAGTAGATATCTACTAACTATCTGTCTACTAGATAGCTAGATAGCTACCCTATCTATCTATCTGTCTGTCTGTCAATCAATCTACATTTAGCTGTCTGTCTGTCTGTCTACCTATCATTAAATTATATGCCACTCATCTCACTATCCAGCTGAGTTACAATACCTGCTGAACCCAAAGCCCATTATAGCAGATGAGGGTCTCATCCTGTAATACCCTCATATCCTCCTGCAAATGAATTTAGAATAACAGACTTGGAGGTCTTCTAGTCCAACCCCCTGCTTAGGCAGGAAACCCTACACCACTTCAGACAAATGGTTATTCAACATCTTCTTAAAAACCTCCAGTATTGGAGCACCCACAACTTCTGGAGTCAAGGAGTTCCACTGGTTAATTGTTCTCACTATCAGGAAATTTCTCCTTAGTTCTAGGTTGCTTCTCTCCGTGATTAGTTTCCACCCGTTGCTTCTTGTCCTGCCCTCAGGGGCTTTGGAGAATAGCTTGACTCCCTCTTTTTTGTGGCAGCCCCTGAGATATTGGAAGACTGCTATCATGTCTCCCCTGGTCCTTCTTTTCATTAAACTAGACATCTCCAATTCCAGCAACTGGTCTTTATATGTTTTAGCCTTCAGTCCCCCCATCATCTTTGTTGCTTTTCTCTGCGTTCTTTCTAGAGTCTCCAGATCTTTTTTATATCGTGGCCACCACATGAAGGGAGGCACCACTGAAAAACTTCTTGCCGACTCTGAGGGAGTCACTACAAAACTTTCTCTTTTTCTGCCCAGGGTATCTCCAATGGAATGATAAGGACTGCACGCACCGGCATCCTTTTGTCTGCACGTTCCAGCCCCGGATTCAGGCTGGCGGCTGATGAAGGTCGGAGAAGCAGCGAGGCCCCCCTGCCTGCCGAAATCTCTTCTCCACACCCCTTTGCTTAACGGATGCTTTGCATAGCTTGGATCTGATTTTGCTCATTCTGATGGGCCAGAAGTTTGAATAAATTCTGTCTAGCATTACGAGTGTCCTTTATTTTTAAACTCAGAGACCCCTAAGCCTTCTTATATAGCAAGGGTTGGTATTAAGGGGAGGGGGTGTTTCTTTACGAGGACCATCCATTGATGCTACATTGCTTTCTTGCATGTCCATCTCGCTTTAACTGGAGGGCTGAGAATCTGCTGGGCTTCAACACCATTTTGCTGTCCCGCAAAGATGATTGGCGCATGTTCCCCACTTGGAGCATGAATGCAGCTTCCTGCTAGAAAGACCATACGGGTGGGATGGTGAGGTGGGTCCCTGAGGGCCAGGGCTGCTCCATCAGGCTGCTCCATCAGAAATGCAAAGATCTGAACCTCCTCTGGAGGGCACTGAAGAGCTCATGGTGCCTCTAGCCCTCGGCGCCCTCTAGCAGCCCAAGGCCATAGTGGGAACACCTTCAGCCACATCTGTGAAGAAGAGCCACATCGCTGGGGGATTCTTTTCATCTGGCCTTTGAAAGAGTTGGGGATCTTCAGTCAAGGCCTGGAGGAGATAATAGAGGGGATGTCATGGGGGGAGCATGTCTGGAGGCTCCATTATGGAAATGGCAGACAGAAGTCAAGGTAACACTCAAGAATGATATGGTAGGCAAGAAGAAGACAACTAAGATGCTTTGTCAAGGAATTTCACAATTGGTGTCCAAAGGAAGTCATAGATGCCGACATGAACTTGTAGTTTTATATAAATCAACGTATTCTACATCTATATTAATAGTAAACTAGATTGTCAGGAGAACAGGAGCATTCTGAGGTAAATCATCACAAGAACATCATCCTGAGGTAAATTGGGAGTGTCAAGTTCGTGGCCCGGGGGCTGGATGCGTCACGTGTTGGCCACGCCCACACCTATTTTAGCAAAGGGGAAAAAAGCTGTGATAGATATGTCATGTGACGACAACGTATTGTTGCGAGTTTAACACCCCTGAGGTAAATCATCACAGGAAGATCATCATGAGGTAAATCACAGAGCACACAGAAGAAAAAGGCGGGGGGGGAGGGAAACTCACCCTCCACACCCGCAGCAACCAATCACAGTGCAAATCGCTTCTCGCAAGAGCTGGCACTCTCCAACCAATCAACTACAAGATGCAAATGTTTCTTTTAACTAAGACGGTTGTTCTCCGTGGATCACAGAAGGATAGGAAGTAACCAGAGATCTATTCGATTATTACTTATAAATATGTGTGCATCCATCATTTCCCTCTCCTTTTTGAAATGTACAAACATGAGTGCATCTCTTTGCCTCAGGGATGTGTCTGCCACTATTCTTTGAGAAGGGGCCCTCTCCAGTCTCTAAACTGTTACGGAATTTGGGCAGCAGGCATCCAAATGAAGTCAGAGACACTGACACCAACTTGCAGCTTTATATAAATAATTATAATAATTTACATCTATATTTACGACAGGCAAGATCAGGCACATCACTACATCATGATGTAGACAACACAGAGAGACCTGCTTCTCCACTGAACAAATGTCCTTCTCTCCCAGAGGTTCTGCATGGAGCTGGAGAGAGGCAGCCATCTGGCCTCCATCCTTAGCAGCGAAGAAGAAGCTTATGTGGCCAAGCTGGCCTTCAAAACTGAAGGGTTTTGGAATCTGCTGGGCCTCAGCACCCCTTTCCTGCCCCCCAATGCTGACTGGCCCCTGTAATCCCTGCAGGCAGCATCCTGATAAAACAGACATGGGGTGGGATGATGGGCTGAATCCAAGAAGCTCTTTTCTGGTTGTTGAGTTTTCCAACTACCATTTGGACGCCTGCTGTTGGAGATTTGGGGATCCCTCTTAGGAGCCCCGAGATTGTGAAGAAAAGGCATCTCGGTTGTCTCTCTCCACTCCATGGACTTTAATTGGCCTTCAGGATGGGCACCTCAGGAAGGTTGCCCTAGCAAACATTCTCCCCTGCCAACTAAGTCCAGAAATTATGCATGCAGCTACCAAGATTTATTCATTGGGAAATATAGAAAATATATATATATACTTTTTAATATACAGATTTTAAGATATGGGGAGAAGATTTAATCATTGGAAAATATAGATTCAAAGACAGTTTAAGGAGGAGGCTTGCTGATTATCTGGGAATTGTTTGGCCCTGTTGGACCCAAGGAAGTGGACAGGGTCCTGGAGGCTATCAGGGCCGCCCCCTGCCCAGTTACACCCTCATCCCTCCTGGGTGGTGAAAGGTCTCTAGGACAGAGGTCTTCAAACTTGGTAGCCTTAAGACTTGTGAACTTCAACTTCAACCAGCTGTGCTGGCTGGAGAATTCTGGGAGTTGAAGTCCACAAGTCTTTAAGCTGCCAAGTTTGAGGACCCCTGCTCTAGGATTTTAACTATTAGGTGGGTCCGGGCAGTGATTGACAGGGGGACATTTCCGGTGGCTTTTAAGAAATCCCTGGTTCATCTCCTCTTTTAAAAAACCAACACTGGATCCCACCTGCCTGGGATCCCAACTTTCCTCTTGTTTCCAATGTCCTCTTTTTAGGGAAGATTGTCAAAAAGGTGGTGTGGCCTGGCAGCTCCAGAGGGTCCTGGATGGAAGAGACCCCTTCCAGTCAGGATTCAGGCCCAGTTATGAGATAGAAAGAGCATTGTTCACAACTGATGATCTCTGGTGTGAGTGTGTGCTGTCCCGTTCACGCACATACACACCATGGGTGTAAGGAATCTTTATTAAGGCTTCTGAGCCTGAATTGGTATTCCCCAGCAATTCCCTGTGCCAGCTCAACCCCAATGAGTTCCACAGGCTACTCAAATGGAGCCAACACTAGTCCTCAAGGCAAAGGTGAGCCCAGTCCACTAGGCAAAGGCAAGGCCACAGGGCAAGGCAACAGTCGAAGGGACACGATCTGAAGTTCAAGGCAAGAACACACAGCAAGGAAATGGACATGTTGTTCCCAGCATCATTGCCATCTTTTGCCACCGTTTAATGACCCCGTAATCCCTTGAGGGGTGCAGTCGGGGCAACTGAATGGAGTCAGCAAAGTGTTTACTGGCCGGATGCCCTTCCTGTTGCCAATTCGGAGTTTTGTTCAGCAGATAAGTTCTCATTGTGCCCAGAGAGAGAAATAGCAACCTCTGCCTAGGATTGAACTCATAGCCTCCTGATTGTGAGGCCAGAGCTCCACCTCTAGGCCACCCCACCACTCAGCATCATCTCCATCTGTCTGCTGTGCTAAATAGTCAGCTTCTGGGCAAGGCTGCCTCCTTGCGAGTAACCAGGCTGACCCCTCTTTCAAGCCACTCCACCATCCCGCTCACCCCCAGGCCCTTTTGAGCAGGATGGTGCATTCATGCCCGGAGTGGAGGTTGCAAGCACCAATCAGCTTTGGAAGCAGGAAAGGGGGTTCTGAGGACCAACAGGTTCTCAACCCTCCAATTAAAATGAGATGGACATGAGATGGGCTGAGTAGAGAGAGTCTCCGCCTTTAAATTCCTGGGAGTCCATCTCAGCGAAGACCTCACCTGGAAAAACAACACGATCCAGGTGGCCAGGAAAGCCCAACAGGCACTCCATTTCCTTATGGTCTTGCAAAAAAATAAAGTGGGACAACACTTTATTCTGGAAGGAAAATAAACACTTCCATCTGGAAGGAGATATAGAGGCATAGGCAGCCACACAAACAGGCTGAAGAACAGTTTTTAACCGTGGGGAGTCAGACTCCTGAATGGAAAATAACTCTACAACATAGTACGATTGACTTGCGGGGCCAGCGGGACGTGCAATAAGTTTACACCAGGGGTGGGTTCTAAAAATTTTTATTACTGGTTCTGTGGGAGTGGCTTATTTTGTGAGCATGGCTTTGTGGTGGGGGGGGAATGTGACTGGGTGGGCATGGCCAACTTTTTTTTTTCACTTTTAAAAGCATTTTTTCTACAACCTCTTGCGGAAAAAAATGCTTTTAAAAGCCTCTGATGATCCCAGCTGAGCCGCGCGAGCATTTTTTCGGCCGAAGAGGTTGTAGAAAAAATGCTTTTAAAAGTAAAAAAAAAAAAAGCCTCTGATGAGGTGGGCGGGGTAAGCGAATGGCGACTGGGCCGGGGACTGGTTCGGGGGCGTGGCCAGCCAATGTTATTACCAGTTCTCCGAATGACTACAAATTTTTACTACCGGTTCTTGCAAACCGGTGCGAACCGGGAAAAACCCACCACTGGTTTATCCAGTGCAATAGGACTGGGTGTTTGTTAGTAGGATTCACTGGGATAGGGATTTTTAGTTTTTTTTTTTTTTGTCTTTTACTGTGAGTTGTATTGTGTTGGGGTGGGGGTGTACGAAGGGAGGCTCAGCCGATCTCATTGTACACACGTTGTACTCTGACAACAAAGGTTTGAATTTGAGAACACTCGGGGGGTCCTGAGCTTTGGATCTCCACCGTCTCTGGATATCCAAAATAATCGAGGCCAGTCATGCTAGAGAGAATTTATTTCACCTTCTTGAACATCAGGAGGAGCAAACTCAGATCCAAGCTACAGAAAGCATCCATGAAGCGAAGAGATGCAGAGCAGAGATTTCAACAGGAAGTAGGACTTCATTACTTCCTGTTTGGAGGATCCAAGACGTTCATCTCAGTCTTTGGCTGGAACTTGCAGACAAAATTATGCCTGGACCCACAGTCCTGATCGTTCCACCCGACGTAAACTGGGCACCAAAAGAGAAATTTAGATCACCTTTTGCAGTGACTCCTGGAGAGTCCCAGAAGATCCTTTCAGGGGCTCCGTCCTCCCTCAGTTGAAGGAGGACCTGAAGATACCACGGGTGGAGAACTGATAAAACGGGCTGGGGGTTCAGCAGGGGGTCGTGACCCAGATGACTTACCTAGCCACCCAGTTTCTTTTGTCTATTTTTAAATTAAATTTAATTTTTTTATTCATTTGTATCCCAACCTTATTAATTTTTACAAAGAACTCAATGCGATGAACATATCCAACGCACCTTCCTCCTCCTCCTCTTTTTGCCAGAACATCAACCCTGGAGGTGGGCTGGGCACAGGGAGAGGGCTGGCCTGAGGTCACCCAGTCATCTTGAGTGCCTCAGGTGGGACTAGAACTCACTGCCTCCTGGTTTCTAGCCTGGTGTCTTAGCCAGTAGACCAAACTACCTTTCAGGCTGTTGAGGCGTGTGTTAATATTTCTCTTCTACACACACAAAATGTATAATTGAGCTCCATCTCACTGCAATGGGGGGGTAGAAGATTGATATATATCTGAGCAAGCAAATGAAGAAAATGCCAGGCGTCCTGTGACAACGATGGCCTTTCGGAAGAAGGTTAAGATGGAGCTTCTTAGTTTAATTAGGAGCTGATGGTCCTGTGATAAGCATTACTACTGTAATTCTCTCTACATGGGGCTCCCCTTGAGGAGCACCTGGAGGCTTCAACTGGTCCAGAATGCGGCCACGTGGGTGATTATGGGGGCGACATGGCGCTCCCATGTAACACCTCTCCTGTGCGAGCTGCACTGGCTTCCGGTGGTCTTCCGGGTGCGCTTCAAGGTATTGGTTCTCATCTTCAAAGCGCTCCATGGCTTAGGGCCCGGGTATTTACGAGACCACCTTCTGCCACCGATAACCTCCCACCGGCCAATACGCTCCCACAGAGAGGGTCTCCTCAGGGTGCCGTCGGTCAGGCAATGTCAACTGGCGACCCCTCCGGGGAAGAGCCTTCTCTGTGGGGGCACCCGCCCTCTGGAATGAGCTACCCCCAGGAACACGACTGATCCCGGACCTCCGTACTTTTCGCCGAGTGTTGAAGACCTTCTTATTTCAGCAAGCCGGGCTGGCTTAAAATTTTAATGGGCTATTTTATGGGTAAGGGGTTTTAAAATTTGGGGAAGCCAAATTTGATTTAATTATTTTTAAATTATTTTAATTTTCGTATATTGTATGTATTTTAATCCTGGCTGTTCATCGCCCTGAGTCCTTCGGGAGAAGGGCGGTATAAAAATTTTATTATTATTATTATTATTATTATTATTATTATTATTATTATTATTATTAATAATAATAATAATAATAATAATAATAATAATATTTTCATGTACAGCTCCACTTCCATTTTTAATGGTGTGTCCCATGGACGTGTTGTCTTCCCTTGTCTGTACAGGGTGTCGCACTGTGGCAACTCAGAGCTCTGAGAGGTCAACAAAAGCCATAGGTGGCCAAGGAGGTCCTCTTTGGGTCTTCATTGTGAGAAGCGCACCCTCCGTGACTTAACACAATGTGCACCATCACATTGACTTACGTGACCAGGCTGACAGCACAACACAATACTCCGTGTTTGCATGGTTGTTGGGCTCTCCTGGCATCCAGGATTTGTAGCTGAGCTTGGAGCCATCACTCCATTGCCAGGTGCGTTTCTGTAATGAAAGGGAAGCTGTGTTAGCCAACTGAGGAGGGGGCTCTGACTCTGCAGGGGCAGAGAGGGAAAAGCTGGCAGGTTCCAAAGGGCAGACTAGAAGACCTCCGAGGTCCCTTCCAACTCTTTTATCCTGGTATTATTCCAACTATTCTGGTGGCAGCCCTGGAAGATACTGACTGATCTCAGGAAGAGAAATAGGGTTGAAATCAATGAGTCCTTGGGTAGGAGACTACCAATAACCCCCTCCCCCCCAGGTCTATAGGTTACAGTTGGTAATGGAAAAGCACCATTCGTTCATTCATTTTGATGAGAGGCAGGACCTACTCCTCTATGGTTGCCAGAAATGAATATTTCTTTTCACAAAGTCATCAGGAGCTGAGCTCAACTCCAGGGAAGTTTCCCTTCTTTGCATATGATCCAGCATTTTTTCAAGAACTGAGAATGCAACAGAGCAGAAGACAAGAGGCTGCCGGTAACAGAAATGGGGAATTTTCTGCATAAAATAAAAAAGGGGGAAGGAAAGAACAGCCTTCCTGGGCCAGGCAAAAGAGTTCCTCAATTAATGGCCAACCAGAGTTTCAACCCAGTTTAGAGCCCATCCAAGGGGCCATAAAGAGGAAGGGGGCTTTGATGCTGAGATGGGGGGGCAGGGCAGGATCCATCCCTTTAGGGGTGGGTGGGGGGCTTTAAAGACATCCGTCAGTTCTTCAACTGGGAAGGAAGGATTATAGTAAGGGGAGAGAGAGACCGGATGGGAGTCAGTAAAAGTTTTCTATTTTTATTTTCCAAGGCGAGAACATTCCGGAGAGAGATCTCTGCCTCCCGTTGGAGGATTCCTCAATAAAACCCATCAGAAAAACAGTCAAGATAAATCCATGAAGATTAACATCGGAAAGGACTTACTTTCTGTGGATCGTTCAGTCCGATCCAGACACTGGACCGGGGGCTGGCCCCGTGGGAGGCCAGCCCGAACATGAAAGCTGCTTCTGGTTTGCTGTGGATGGAGGCGAGGTGGCAGTCTTTCTGTTGCTGCAGGCAGAATCTCTGGGGGGTGGGGGAGATGAGAGAGAAAGAAACCTGGTTAGTTGAGAAGCAGGTATGCGTGTTTGTTTCTCTGAGAGAAGAGCAAGGATTTGATTGCATGGTACCTGGCCGCCATCTTGATTTCGTTGACACCCACAGTTGGAACATGGTTTTTGAACCATTCCTGATTCAGCTTCATGAGTTTCTGACCCCCCACCCCACAACACCACCCCCACTTTAGCAAGGGCCTTAGACTGAGCCCAGGACCAGCCTTTTGGGTAGTGGGCTCTACAGACCCCCCTCGCCACCTGCTTCCAGTCTGCAGAGCCCCCTCAGGCTCAACAAAGGTGTTTGGCCACCTCCAAAATTTTGCAGTTTCCAAGAGAAGAAGAAGAAGAAAAACTTTGCAAAATTTTGGAGGTGGCCAAACGCCTGCCAGCTTTAAGCATTTGGGGAGATGTCCAAGCCAGCTACTTTTTAATGCAGCCTACAATTCATGCACGTTCAGGCGTCTACCAGCTGTTTAGAATAACAGTATCACAGAGTTGGAAGGGGCCTGGGAGATCTTCTAGTCCAACCCCCTGCTCAAGAAGAAGAGGAGACCCTATACCATTTCAGACAAATGGTTCTCCAATCTCTACTTAAGAGATGGGAGCTACTTAGGGATGGAGCCCCCCACAACTTATGGACAGAAGCCGTCGCACTGATTGTGTTCTCTTTCATTTTAGGTTGCTTCCCTTCTTGATTCGTTTCCATCCATTGTTCAAATATCAGGGAGTATTTTAAAACTTAGGTTTAGCGCTCGTCTAAAATGCTGCTATTACACTACTCATTTAGAGTAGCCGAAGAATTGGGTGATGGGCTTAAGGGAGAGGTTGCACAATGTTATCCCCCTACCCCCACCCACCACAAAGCCTCTCACCTGTCAATCATGAAATGAGTTTTGACAAATATGTAATCCCCTCATCTGTCTTCTGTCAAAACTTGCTTCCTCCTCCCTCCTCCCTCAACCAAACTGAGAGTCAACTAAGAGCCAGGAGGCTGTGAGTTCTAGTGGGCGAAACAGGAGGATGGACTATTTATTATGCGTGTTGGTCATCTTGAGTTATTTATAAAAAAAATAATAATAAAGGTGGGATAAAAATAAATTTAAAAAGAAAACCCAAAATAAGGAGGGGCATTGGTGGAGATGGATGGCAGGAGGGAACAAACCGGGAAAGTTGCAAATCCCTGCCCTTAATTGACCCCATAGTCTACCCATAAGGCTACTGCCACCTGCCCATCTTGTGCCCAGAGGCAGGGGAGGAATTGGCAGCCAGGAGGAGCCAACATGATCCTGGCACCGTTTCCTGCTGGCTCAAAGAGTGGAGAAGGGAAGCTCAAACGGGCTCAGAGGAAGAAGAGTCCATAGAATATCTGCATTTCAGGCTACCCCAAAATATTTGCTACGCATGCAGGCATCCAGCCTTGTCTCCCACCACCAGCCCAGCCAGAGGGGTCTCTGGGGGTCTTCCAGGCTCTGCTTGGACTTCTCCTCTACCTGGGCTAAGAAATTCACAGGCACACAAGCACTACTAACCTCTGCATCGTTCCAGGTCACGGATCTATTGAAGACCTTGTAGCAAAACTCGTTATAGGAGGCCCAATCGGAGGGGCAGTGGTGATCAGCTCCAGCTCCTGTGCGGGAGGAGAGAGACCCCAATGAGAAGATGGCCAGGAGAAGAGGAGGAAGTGGAGACAGCTGGGTCTGCAGAACATGCTTGACCTGCTGAGTTGCAAACATCTTTGATGACAATAAATATCAACTGACTTGGAGCTGCATTTGCAGATTGTCCAAACCTTGGTTAGAGCTAATCCTGGTTCATTCCCTGGAACCTCCATATCTTGTGTGACTCTCTCCACTTGGGTTGCTTTCTCAATCAGTGGACGGTGCAAAGTCAGAAAGGAACCTCCAAGAGTCAGATGAACCTTTGCAGGCTTCAAGTCCCAACTGACCCAAATTGGTCTAGTGGTTAGAGCACCTGGCTAGAAAGTGGGAGACCAGGAGTTCTAGTCCTGTCTTAGGCACGAAAGCCAGGTGGGTGGTTTTGGACCATTCCCCCCCCACCTCTCTCTGTGCCCAACCCCCCTCACAGAGTTGTTGCTGTGTGGAAAACAGGAGGAGGAAGTTATGTTGGATACCTTCACCGCCTTGAGTTCTTTGCAAAAAATAATAAAGGTGGAATACAAATAAATAAGTAAAAAGTATGAAGCTTCCAAAGCCAGTCAGATGTAGCAAAAATCATCCCTACTTTGGTTGCAACCTATCTAGACTACTGCAATGTACTTTTTGTGGGGCTGCCCTTGAAAGCCTCCTGAAATTACAATTCCTGCGGAAGGCAGCAGCCAGGCTCTGGGTCGGTGCAAAGCAGGGGGATCAGGTAGGTCTGCCCTAAAGGAACTCCACTGGCTTCCTGGGTACCCCCAAACGGCTCAAGCCCGAAACCCCTGAGTGGCTGATTATTTGTGGATTACCCCCCAACTGCTACCCACTGCCCAGGAGAGGCCCTTCTGAAGCCGTCCCTGGCAGATGCTCGGTCTCTGGGAATGGGCCTCCTCTTGTGTGGGCCCCATAGAGAGCAAATCCTAGCATTCTACGTGTAATGATCAAGACCCCTTGGATTTTTGCCAAGGGTTTAACTTATAATTCATTCTCCATTTCAATCCTGTTCATTTTGCTTTGGTTCTGTATCGTTGCAGAGTCCTGGGTCTTGGGGCAAAGAGAGAAGGATGCTGGGGGGGTGGGGGGTGTCAAATCAGGAAGGGGTCTGAGGTGCAAGATTGTTGGTCTCTCGGGACCCCAGAGACCCCGATGGAACTCACCGCTTAAGGAGAGGGCCACGACCAGCAAGCTGAAGCTCATAAAGATGAATCGCCCCATGGTCTCCTTTCCTTTCCTGCAGAGAAGAGGGGAGAAGGGGAAAGGAGAGTGAGACCCGGGGAAAAGCTCCCTCAGGAAGGAGACCTCACATCCAACCGAGGACCAAGCTGGGAATCCCAATTTTTTGTTTGCCCAGCTGGACATAATTTCTCCCTCCTTGGTCACCCAGCAGCCTGGGTGGGGCACAGTGAATCCTGGAAAGTCTCTCCCGTCCATCTCTTTCTCTTCCCCAGAGATCCCCCCCAGAGACCCCTTGCTCCCTGCCTCCTGCAGATCCCCTGCTGGAACATGGACACCAGGTGCAGCCCCCTGCAAGAGGTCCCTTCAGATGGAGAAAGAGACGCAGAGGGGATCTGATGAGGGGATGAGGGGATGAGGGGATCTCACCTTTCAGGTGCCCACAGGTGGGAGAGCCGCACTCACCTGTCCTTTTGTCTCCACAGGTAGCAAGTCTGCTCAGTGGCAACTCCAGGCTTCCCTCCTGCAAAGGGAAGGGAGGCCTTTATAGGCAAGGAAAGGCAGGGGTGGGGGGTGAATTTCTTGGGGAGGGGGAGTGGAGGGAGAAGGAAATTGCTTCAGAAGGGAATTTTTGGTTTAACCACAAGGAAGTAGCACAAAAGAACTTTTATCTGACAGGATTTACATTCTGCCAGGATAGATCTCACACAGAAATCCGGCAATTTGTAATAGTCCCTGAGGCCATCCAGTCCAGCCCGTGCCCAGCACCTGAGACACATGGCTGCATACACATGGCTACACACACAAACACACAAACACATACACACACACACAGGGCATCTGGGTCCTGGGGCTGCTGTTGTCAGGTTGATTTTATCTTTTTGTGAGTGAGATTTCTCTAACTTTCCTTCAGGACCTGCAGGGATGAACAGCTCCCAGCATCCTCCCCAGGGGGGGCTTCGCTCCGTTCCCACAGTAGGCCAAGAAGTCAACCCGGGTTAAGAAAAGGGAACGGATGCTTCATTCACACAATCTGCTGAATGAGTGGCTGTGTTATGGAATGAAAGACTGAAAAACATTCCTGGGTCAGCCAGATACAGTTTATTGCGCAGGTTCAGAGCCAGATTTGTACCTGAAATTCTGAACCCCGGAAAGCTCTGATACAACTGCTTATATATGTTTCCAAGACAAAGGGTTTGGTGAGCACATGCATTTTTCCATATATGGTTAACATACACTTGTTATATGATAATTGACACTTTCTAATTACTAAACCATTATTGTCTAGTTTATAAGATTATCTTTAGCTAGACAACCTTCCTTAGTTCTGTAATTACTAATACGGGAGATTTATTGCTGTCCTTAGGTAGTAAGTAACTCTTCGTAACATACATGTCCTTGTGTCTTTGACAGTGAGGCCCCTTAGATGTTTTCCATACGGCTGTCCTTCCGTGACAGCTAGGCCTCATCAGAAGATATATTACCAATAATGGGATTTAGCTGATTTTTAATCTAATCTCCAAACAAGCACATTTCTCCCTTATAATAATGTGAATAGAGAGGGTCCTTTAGTGTTCATGTAACTGACGCTGTATGATTCCTACTTTATTCACATTAGCTGAGTTTTCAAGGAACGCCGAGGCACACAACTGTTTTCACTGAGTCTCCCCTGCAAACTCCCTACAACACACTTTAACACAGAAACATAGAAAACTGACAGCCAAAAAAGACCTCGTGGTCCATCACAATTTATGTTATGTTATTTTATTTCTTAATTTTTTTCAGATGATGGACATGTCTTTATCCCAGCCATGTCCAAACTCAGTTTCTGAGGATTGGGCCCTCTGTGGTTGCAACTTTCGACTGCTCTTTCTGTGAAGTCCGACTTTCTAACATGGCTTTCCAACATCCCTCCTGTCCCTTTGACTTCATGCCTCCAGGTTCTTCTTGTGTTTTGCTGAACCCAAGGACTTTCCCACATCAGCCCTTTAATTTGGGACAGAATTGGACCGCCTTTCTGGATTTGTACAGCCGCCACTAAATGAAACCCTCCATCCTGGCTTCCTCTGCATGACACCTGAAGCCACAGAAGAACAAGCCAAGCATTGTGGCTTGTGTTAAAAAGAGGTAGGGATGTTTCTCACAGCTGATCAACCCGTTGTCTGAATCTAGCAGGGGTTTTGCTGGTGTGAGAGGCTCAGCATGGTCCCTTCTCGGGTTTTAAACTCCTTTCATAGGGAGCAGCTCATCTTATTCATTGATTTCTTCCATTTTTAAAATGTTCAACGCCGGTCCCTGGAGCCTCCCAAAGAGAGAGCGCCACAAAGCATCGACAGAAAGTGCCACAAGCCAAAAGTTTCCTCCTTCCCTTTGGAAAGGAAACCAGGAAGGAGAAGGAGAAGAGAGGGGAGAAGGAAGCAAATTCTTTAAACAATGCGAGGCTGATTTGGTACGGTCATCAAATGCCTTTCCCTCAAAACTTTGCTCAATCCATATTGCAAAATGTTTTACATAAACCCCCATTATCTTTATGCACACACACATTTGCAATCCTGTACCTGTCAACATGAGAACCTTCGTGTCGTTTCTGCTTTGCTCTCTCGCAGCCTCAAAGTGACGGAACAGACCAAGATATGGACCACTGAAGCCGAAGGACCCTGAAGCTGAGGCAGATACCCTTTGCCTGGCCACTGTCTTCTGCCTTCAGAGGCCCTGAGTCAGGAGCTCTTAGCCAACTTCCACTCAGGCTCCAAGGAAGCAACACTCACATCTGTCTCTGTGGTTGTTAAGTATTTATTAGTTTGTCAAACATGTACAAGATAACAGGTATAAATGTAAACATGGATATGAACGAAAGAAATGAATACAAATAAATGGGGACAGTAGGACAGGGACGATAGGCATGATGGTGTGCTTATGCACGCCCCCTTTACAGACCTCTTAGGAATGGGGTGAGGTCCACAGTAGACAGTCTGAAGTTGAAGCTGTGAGGGTTTGAGGATGTAACAAAGGACTCAGGTAGAGCATTCCAGGCACTGACCACTCTGTTGCTGAAGTCGCATTTTCTGCAATCAAGTTTGGAGCGGTTTACCTTGAGTTTGTATCTATTGTTTGCCTGTGCATTATTGCGGTTGAAGCTGAAGTAGTCATTGGCAAGTAGGACATTATAGCAGATAATTTTGTATACTGTGCTTAGATCGGACCGCAGGCAGCGCAGTTCCAGATTGTCCAAGCCCAAAATTTCAAGACGAGTAGCATAAGGGATTCTATTATGAATAGGGGAGTGGAATACTCTTCTCGTGAAATACCTCTGGACTTGCTCAATCATATTAATGTCCGATATACAGTGTGGATTCCAGGCAGACAAGCTGTATTCGAGAATTGGTCTGGCAAAGGTTTTGTATGCCCTAGTTAGCAATACAATGTTACTGGAGAAGAAGCTTCGCAAAATTAGGTTAACAAGTAATGCCTTTTTGGCGATGCTGTTGCAGTGGGCTCTGGGGCTTAGATCTTTTGAAATGAGTACTCCTAGGTCCTTGACAGAGTGAGGGTTGTCTACGAAGTCGTTTCCGTCCAACTTGTATTTGGTGTTCTGATTTTTATTGCCAATGTGTAGGACAGAGCATTTATTAGTCGGGATTTGGAGTTGCCAAATGTGTGACTATTCTGACACATGGTCGCTTTGTAGGGTAGTGGTATTGTCAGTGGTGTTGAATAATTTTACATCATCAGCGAAGAGGACGCAGTTGCTTTTAATATGCTCGCATAGGTCATTAATGTAAAGCAGAAAGAGAGGGGGTCCTAGAACGCTGCCTTGGGGGACACCGCTGTTAACTGGTGCTGGATTTGAGAAGGCCCTCCCTATATCTTGACTACTTGTTGCCTGTTTGACAGGAATGTGGCTATCCACTTGTGCAGGGATCCAGAAATGCCATAAGAACTTATGCCATAAGTGAATCGAGCAGCTACTATGCAGTGGTGGGTTGTTACCGGTTCAGTCCGGATCTTGTGAATCGGTAGTAACAACGGCGGGAGGCTCTGCCCACCTGCCCGGATGTCATCACAGATGCTCTGCGCATGCTCTGTGCAGAAGTGCCGTGTGCGAGTGAAGCAAGTGCTCCAGTTGTGAACCAGTAGCAAAGGTAAGTGGAACCCACCCCTGCTACTAAGTGAATGCGGCTTCCCCCACGAACTTGTGGTTTTATACAAATAAATATATATTTCACAACTCTATTTACAGTATTAGTATGTAGGGAAACAATAATGATAGAATATAAAATACTGATATACTAGATTTAGTAAAAACTTGTTGTTAGGAAATGGTCATTGCCTAACTAGTTGGCCAGGTAATAGATAAGCCAACATTATATGTTTATAGTATGAATATGTATAATATAGCTTTAAGAGTATTGCTGAGTCATTCTGCATCCTGATCGGATGAGCTCTGTAGCAACTGTATTTAAGGAGAGCTTGATTGTGGTCAGTGTGGACATTACACCATATTGTTACCTGCTGCTATGTTGTAGATATCTTTGATCTCTTTACATGGTCAATTTGATCATGGTTTATTTATTACTGCTTTTATGAACTGTTTTTATATTGTTCCTGAATGATTCATGTATTGTTCTATGAACCGGTAAGAAGTTTTGTATCTCTGGATTGATTATGCATGGCTAAGACTTGGATTGGTAAAAGACTATGAATTTGCTTTGCTCTATAAGTAAACTACTTTAAAAACCACTTTGTATGCAGTTTATTCACAACTACTCTCAGCACCGTTTCCGTGCGCAAAACTCTACGCTCTGCTTTATAACCGTTCCTGGTTATCTTACCACTATATCCCTAACACTTGTTATTCTGTAACCATTAGGTTCCTGTAACACATATATTGTGCCTTTGTAGTTGTATCACATATATTATTCCTTTATATTTTGTTGCAAACATAGTTATTATCTGGTATTTGTCAAACGTATGTCCCTGCCATTTGACCTGAACCCATATCAATCTTCTTCCTGTTTTTCTTGTGCCATCTAAGAGCATGGTACGTGTATCTCAGTTGGAACTGCAGACATCATCCGAGGGATAATTTACACTTCAGCCCTAATTTACACCTTTGATCTGTATAAGCTCGTTCCTTGCAGAACCAGGGAGCCAAATGGCCAATTGAGAAAAACAAAGGAATGCTCAAGGAAGAGATAAGGCTAATTGGGAGGCTTCTATTCCTTTGCAGGGCAACAGGGAATGCACAAACCTAAACTAGGAGGCCAGAATTGGGTATTAAGATGATGCCTCTGAAGGTATAAAAAGGACGCCATACCTTCCCCAAGGCGTGGCTATCTCCTCACATGCATTGTATCTGTATGTTCTGGATATAGTCCCACCCAGTATTTTGTTTTTGGCCATAAATAAAATCTGCTTCTTTTTTTGCAAGCCTCGTCTTGAGTCTCTCTCTTTGGCATTCTGGTGACTCAAGTATATTTTGGGACCTTACAATTACATCATGAGGTAATTCCTCAGGTAAATCAGAGAACAGTATTCACACAAGAAAAAAGGCGGGAAAACAAGGAAACTCCCCCTTTACACCCAGCAGCCAATCACAATGCAGATTGCCTCATGCGGGAGCCAGCATTCTCCAATCAATCAACTTCAACCGTGTATTCTTGCCCATTGTACAATTTACTGTTCCCGCTATTAAATAATTTAACAAATGGCCCCCCTCCAGAAATTGTGTGTGCTCCATCACTGGAGGCTTTTAAAAAGAGACTGGACAATCGTTTGTCTGAAATGGTGTAGGGTCTCCTGCCTAAGCAGGTGGTTGGACTAGATGACCTCCAAGGTCCCTTCCAGCTCTATTCTGATTAATTGACTGGTTTCAAGGAATCCATTTTCGTCAACAAACTTCCCTTCATTGGATGCATAGAGATGGTTGACTCCTAAGAAAGAACAGTTGAAATATCTATCATTGCATTACTTGCAAAAATAAGGAGAAGACGGGAAGCATTGCTGGTGAGAAACAACTTTTATTCAGCAGCTCATTTTGATAGAAGTGAATGTTTGTAACTCAGAGAAGCAAGCTAGGAGGAATTTGACAAGAATTAATCAGTGGAGCAGCTTGCCACCAGAAGTTGTGGGTGCTTCATCACTGGAGGTTTTTAAGAAGAAATTAGACAACCATTTGTCTGAAATGATGTAAGGTCTCTTGCTTGAGCAGGGGGTTGGACTAGAAGACCTCCGAGGTCCCTTTCCTGATATTCTGTTATTCTATCAGATGCAAATGAGGATCCAGAACAGGTCGACTTTTATTTGCATTAAATTCTCAGAAATCTCAGGATAGCTGTGATGCATGAGATTGGGGGGCTGGACTGAAGCATGGCAGGTAACCCCCCCTCCCCAATCAGTTTGAGGTGACAATCAAATTGCCACCCAGGTAGACACAGGAATCGGTTGGATTTCGCAGAAGAGTTGCTTCATCCAAGCCGATTCAATCTCCCCAATAGAGCAGGTATTTCAACTCCCCCCAAAATCCCAGGACCACCCTTATGCCTTTGGGCTGATGGCTTCAAAGTGCTTTGCAAACCAAGGTCTGGGGGTCACACTGACTCCCCCCCCCCCGAGAAGGGTGTGTAGCTGTGTTCGCATCTATTCTCTTGGCAGCCAAATAAGGGCCAAAGAAATCTCCCCTGGCCAAAAGAGGAAGGACCTTTCCCATTCTAGTTGAGTAAACCCAAGACGCAGTTTGCTATTCATCTATTGATTTATTTGTTCAATTTACATGCAGCCAAGCGTCCCAGGTGACTCTGGGCAGCTTTCAGTAGAAGGGAAACACAGGTACAAACATCTTAAAAGCATTGAGGTTAGCAACCATCAACAATGAGCAAGAACCGCAGGAGGGCGAGGAACTTTGCACCAGGGCACACCAGAGAAGTGAGGTTGGTTGTCCGATTGGGAGGAAGACGGACAAGGAGGGTCAGGAGGTTGATCTCCCGTGGAATCGGGGTGCTGCGGAAGCCGCTGTAGATGCTCCCCAATGAGGAAGAGGCCGTCTGCTTGTCTCCTCTGTGGCTGGTTAGGCCTAGAGGGTAGCTTTGTACTTGCAGATGGAGGGCAGGACACTGTGACAGGTGAACTGCGTCCACCTGGCTGAGTCTGGAAGGGAGAAGGACCAGAAAGGCTGTTAGACTCGGAATGAAGAAAGTCATCATTTTAGTTGATTGAAGGGTGCCATTTAGGGAAGGAGGCAGGGGGAGGAAGAAAAGAAGGGAAGAAGGGAAGGAATGAGGGAGGGAAGGGGAAGAAGAAAAGGAGAGGGGAGGAGGGGAAGGGAGGGGAGGAAAGAAGGGGAAGGGAGGGAGGGGGAGGGAGGGAGGGAGAAAGCAAGGGAGGGTGGGAAGAGGAGAAAGGGAGGGGGAGGGAGGAAAGGAGGGAGGGAGGGAGCGAAGGAAGGAAGGGGGGAGGGGGAGGAAGAAAAGAAGTGAGGGTAGGAGGAAGGAAGAGGAGGAGGAGGGAAGGCAGGGAGGGAGGGAAGGAAGGAAGGAGGGCAGAAGAAACGGAGGGAGGGAGGGAGGGAAGATGAGGAGGGAAAGAAGGAAAGGGCAGAAAAATGGAGGGAGCCTGGAGGGAAGGAAGGAAGGGGGGAAGGGGAGGAAGAAAAGAGGGGAGGGGAGGAGGAAGGAAGGAGAAAGGAAGGGAAGGAAGGAGGGAAGGAGACTTCCAAGGGGGTTCCCCTCCCTCCACCCCTTTTTCTGTAGAGGGACTGAGACGCACTTCCTGGACTCTGGATGTTGGTGACATAGATGCACTGAGAGCTGGAAGTGGTGCTGCTGGGGGTTCTGTTGTCCCAGAGGGCATCTCCTGGGGTGTAGGGGGTTGCGTCACTCCATTGCCAGTTGAGTTTCTATTGAGGCAGAAATGGGACATTCATTGAGTCAAGCATTTGTTTTATTTTATTTTATTCTATTCTATTTTTATTTCCCCAGCCTCGTGCCCTCCAGATGTCTGGCATCATCCACTGTCCATAGGTTTGTTTGGTGGCAGGTGAGAGAATCAAAGACAGTTTGTTAAGGAAACATTGTGTAGGCTTCGTTTTCTCCTCCCCACAATGTCTCACACACACTGAGGTCACTTCACGCAATAAAGTGGCAGAAGACAACCTCTCCAGGGAAAAGTGGGCCTCCAGAAGTTGAGGGGGCTCCATCCTCCCTGGAGGTTTCTAAGAAGCAACTGGACAACCATTTGTCTGAAGTGCTCTAGGGTCTCCTGCTTGAGCAGAGGGTTGGACTAGAAGACCTCCGAGGTCCCTTCCAGCTCTGTTCTTCTATTATCTTTGGCAAAATGGGTGGCTTAAAAATTGATGAACAAATAACTCAATGAAAAATGGAATCTGACTGTGGAGAGCTCTCTTCTTCCCACCTGGAGATCTTAAGGGCTCCAAGAAGGATCTCTTAACTAGATTGTGGACTCATCTTCTCATTCCCATCAAGGAACGTCCTCCTCCCCAGTCAGTGCCGTCCCCAGATATTGGCCTTGGGGGCTGCCCAGAACTCCCCACTGGCCCAGAGCTGATCCCAAAGCCCTAAAACCCTCTGTGGCCTTCCACGGAGGATTGGGGAGAGGAAAGAGGAACGCCAAGGCCGTGGCTGGAGTGGCTGGTGGTCTGTGAGATGAAGCCACCTCAGAGGGATCCCAGACCACCCACAAAGACATGCCTACATTGTTCTCTTGCACAGCGTGCATCCCAATCCAGGCATTTGTGGCGGTGCTGGTGCGCCTGATGTGGGAGGAGACAATTCTTTCCTCAGCAGCAGTCCGAAAAGTGGCCAGGTGGCCTCCACTCCTCAGGTGTTGGCACTCAATCTGCAGACACAAAGAGAAAGAATTGCAGAATAAGAGAGTAACCGAATTCCAGAGTAACAGAATAAGAGAATAGCAGAATGATAGAACAGCAGGTGGGGGGGAGCCTAAGGATCCTTGCAAGATTTTGCCATGAGAGCCAATCTCAGTTAAGGGGGATTCTGGTCTCCCTGACGGGGCTGACAAAACTTTGCCTATCACACTGACCTCTGCGTCGTCCCAGGTGAGGACCCTATAAATTGGGTGATAGCATTGCAGTCGATAATAAACGGCCTGATTGGGACACTTGGCTCGAGCCTGGATTTTGGGTGATCCTGAAGGAGACATAGAACCATTGTTAGAACAACTGCTTTGGAGGGGGTCTCGTCTTCCAGCCCTCCAGATGAAATGGAGTCCAGGCCCAGTCCAACAACACCACCTCGGCCACCTTTCAGGACAGTCAGGAAGACGTTTTTCCAGCTGCCAAAGCTGCATGCATCTCCCCTGGTGCCCAAGCACCAGGAGGGAGGGCACGTGAAGCTTTGCCCCCAAATGGCATCAGCTGGGCCTCCTTCAGAGGACATGGAGGGGGCAACCAAGCTCTGCAGAAAGAGGGCAGGTAGACAGGGCTCCATCTCCCAGCTTCCTTCCAACTGTCCTCCAACTCCTGATATTGGCCCCCTGTGTTGTCCACTGGGCTGGCTTAATGGTGGGACTGGCACTCACCTTCCACCAAGGAGCTCCCAGTCAAGCAGGCCAAGAGGCAGAATCCCCAGAAGGCTTGGCGTCCCATCCTCTTGCTCTCTTAAAGCAGACAAACACAAGCACAATAAGTGAGATGGTCCCAGAAGATCTTCATGGTGCCACCAGCACAAGGCCAAACAGAAGGTGGAAGAGAGATGGAGCTTTAAGACCCCCTTAGTTGGGGCTGGATGCGGAGAACCAAGGATGGGCAGGAGAAGATCTGAGTTGCCCTCCTTCTCCCCACCACAACCTTAGAGAAAAATTCCATGTTTGGTGGTTGTGGATGATCCTAAAATGGTTGTGAGTGACTTCCTAATGTGAGGATTTAATGACTGTAGCAACACTATTCCTTCCTTCCCTCCCTCCTTTGTTTTTGCCTTCTCCTTCTTCTCTTTCCATCCTCTATCCTTCTCCTTCCTTCCATCCATCCTTTCTCTCTCCTTTGCTTTTGCCTTCTCCTTCCTTCCTCTCTGCTTCTCCCCTCTCCCTCCCTCCCTCCCTCCCTTTTCCTCTTTCCTCCATCTCCTTTTCTTCCTGCTTCTCCTTCCATCTTCCCTTCAACTCCAAGAAAGGCAGAAGACCCAATCCCAAAATGATGGAGAGGCCGGAAAGGATGCCCACCTCCTCACCTCTGCTGCCTCCTGCTAGATGACCGACTGTGTTCTCTCTTCTCTCAAGAGTGTCCGATCTGCCAGGCCCCTGAGCTATTTATAGGCAGTGGGGCAGCAATTCTGCAGATCCAAGCAAGTAATCTCACCCAGGGCAAACAGCAATTTGAGACTTTGTCCCAGTCACTTGAGGAAAGCATTCAGGAAATAATTCTCGGGGGAAACGAGAGAAATCCCATTCTGGCTGGGATTTGGAAAAAGCTGACAGATTGGTGATAAGGCCAACCTTGAACTTTTGATCATAATCATAATCATAAGTTTATTTGTCAAGCATATATAACAGGTAAAAGTCTAAACATAATTTGAATACATGAAAAGAGTCAGAAAAAAGGAATATTAGGACAGGGACAGTAGGCACGCTGATGCACTTATGCACGCCCCTTACAGACCTCTGAGGAATGGGGTGAGGTCCACAGTAGGCAGTCTAAAATTAAAGTTTTGGGGGTTTGGGGAAGAAACCACAGAGTCAGGAAGTGCATTCCAGGCGTTGACCACTCTGTTGCTGAAGTTGTATTTTCTGCAGTCTAGTTTGGATTGGTTTACCATGAGTTTGTATCTATTGTTTGCTCTTGTATTGTTTTGGTTGAAGCTGAAGGAGTCATTGGCTGGTAGGACATTGCAGCAGATGATTTTATGTACTATGCTTAGGTCAGATTGAAGTTGGCGAAGTTCTAAATTGTCTAAGCCCAAAATTCCGAGTCTGGTGGCATAAGGTATTTTATTGCAGGTAGAGGAATGGACGACTCTTCTCGTAAAATATCTCTGGACTCTTCTCAATTGTATTTATGTCCAATATGCAGTGCAGGTTCCAGACAGATGAGCTGTATTCAAGAATTGGTCTAGCAAATGTTCTGTATGCTCTAGTTAGTAGTACAACATTACCAGAGAAGAAGCTATGCAAGATTAGGTTAACAACTCTTAAAGCCTTTTTGGCAATGTTGTTACAGTGGGCTCGGGCACTTAGATCTTTAGAAGTGAGTACTCCAAGGTCCTTGACAGAGTGAGGGTCATCTACAAGGTCATGTCCATCTAATTTGCATTTTATGTTTTGATATTTTTTTTTGCCAATGTGCAAGACAGAGGATTTGTTGGTTGAGATTTAAAGTTGTCACTTGTTAGACCAATCTGTTCCATTTTCTTTACGCTTTTCCTTCAGCAACCCTTTTGAGACAAGCTCTCTTTTGGGGATAACACATCTTTATGGCTGGGTGAGAAATATTCTTTTCCATGTCTCCATATCTGTTCCCTTGTCCAGGGGGAAAGAACCAGGGGTGAAATCCAGAAGGTTCTTACAGGTTCTAGAGAACCGGTAGTGGAAATTTTGAGTAGTTTGGAGAACTGGCAAATACCACTTCTGGCTGGCTCCAGAGTAGGGTGGGAATGGAGATTTTGCAATATCCTTCACCCAGGAGTGAGGAGGGAATGGGGATTTTGCAATATCCTTCCCCTGCTACGCCCACCAAGCCACGCCCACAGAATCGGTAGTAAAAAAAATGGATTTCACCACTGGAAAGACCTATTTTTTACTCTCAGTTTTGATAAACCTGGCTTTAAAAAAATAATCTACAGGGATTTATCTAGGCAGTCTCCCAGAAATAATAGGGTTGGGCAGGAAGAAGACAAAATTACTGCCTAGGATCTTGTCCAAAACGTAACCCATTAATGAATTGGAGGCAAGGAATGCAATAAAATTACCTTCATAATCCAGAAAAAATGATCTAATCCAGAAAAATTGACAAATACACACACACACAAACTGACATACACACATGTAACCCTCGACTTAACAACAGTTTGTTTAGTGACCGTTCAAAGTTGCAGCCAAAAAGTGACAATTTTTCACATGACCATTGCAACATCCCCAAGGGTCACATGACCGAAATTCGAACACTTGGCAACTGACTCATATTTGTGACAGTTGCAGTGTCCTGGGGTCATATGATCCCTCTGATTAGCAAAGACAATGGGGAAGCTGGATTCACTTCACAACTGTGTGATGCACTTAGCAAGTGAAAGGTCATAAAATGGGGCAAAACTCAATTAACAGCTGTCTCGTTTAGCGACCGAAATTTTGGGCTCAATTGTCATACATTTAGGATTATCTGTATCTACATAAACACATACATATACAATAGTGGCCAAAATTGTGCAAACCTTTTGGGGAAAGTGTATTTTCTAAAACTAGCTAATAACACCACTTTTTTTTAGAGTAGTACCATAAAATTATATATCAATGGAAAGATAATTGAATCAAGAATGTAGTGCAATCACTTTTATGAAGGATCTGCTATTAGAATAGCAGTTACAGTGTAAAGAAGAAAAATGAAACATGTAGAAAAAGTGAGATGTGCAAAAATGATCACCACGTCTGTTAATCCTTAGTTGGGTAACCTTTAGCATAAATGACGGCCTTACAACGTCTTCCCATGGAGTGAACCAAGTCTTTTAATTCTGCAGCTGTTATCATGTGAAACCAAGATTGAATGATGGCTTCTATGAACTGGGTTTTATTGCTGGGTTGCTTCTGACTAACCAGTTTCTTTTGTCGGCTCCATAGATTTTCCATTGGGTGAAGGTCTGGGCTATTCCCAGGCCATTCCAGCAGTGGAATAGGATTATCTTGAAACTCCCCCACAAAAAGTGTTGTTATTAGCCAGCAAACCTCACAAATACACTTTTCCCAAAAGGTTTCCACAATTTTGGCCACTACTGTACCAGTGATGAAATCCAATTTTTTTTACTACTGGTTCTGTGGGTGTGGCTTGGTGGGACTTGGTGTGTGTGACAGGGGAAGGATACTGCAAAATCCCCATTCCCTCCCACTCCTGGGGGAAGGATATTGCAAAATCTCCATTCCCACCCCACTCTGGGGCCAGCCAGAGGTGGTATTCGCCGGTTCTACGAACGACTCAAAATTTCCGCTTCCGGTTCTCCAGAACCTGTCAGAACCTGCTGGATTTCACCCCTGTACTGTACATATAATAAACACACACAGTGTATATTTATTTAAAAATATTTCACACGAAAAGAACAAATGTCAACTTGATAAATGAAACTTGATAAGAAGAAAAGTCCAGCGTGTTCATGTCTTTAGAATACTTGAAGATGATAAAAAAAAAAACTACCATAAACTGCAATAATGTGAAACTCAAATGAAGAAATAATCGAAGGAAGAAACATTCTGCAGATTCATACAGGCACATGAATCATAGGTCAAGAAACTGGAACTCTGGGGATGAATATTCATAGTTCAAAAAAGTTCAAAGAAAACATGGATAATAATGAAGTCATAAACCTCGCAAGAGGATTGCAGAATGATAAGAGAGCTCATTAGAACAGTATTTGTCAAAACATGACAACAAATTTGACATCATTGCAAACTTGACAACATTAAGACCTGTGGACTTCAACTTCCTCAACTCAAGTATGCATCATAATTTTTTCAGACTGGGCTATTTTTAAAAAAATATCGTCGATATTATGACTTTTGAAACAGTAACATTGCCACGGTGCTTGCAAATGGTTGTCACCAGAAATTTTCAAGAAAAGATTGAACAACCACTTGTCTGGGATGGTATATAAGGAGTACTGCTTTGGGCCGGCGGTTGGACTAGATGACCTCCACGGTCCCTACCAGTCCCATGATTCTATGATTTTTTTTTTTAATGTATCTGATCATAGTGCAGAATTCTGAAGGCAACCTTCAGCTTGCCTTCAGAAATTGTGGGTGCTCCTTCACCGGAGGCTTTCAAAAAGAGTTTGGGCAACCATTTGTCTGGAATAATATATAAGATCTCCTGCTTGAACAGGGAGTGGACTAGAAGTCCTCCAAGGTCCCTTCCAACTCTACTATTATTATTTCTATTCTACTCTGCTGTGCTCTACCCTACCCTACCCTACCCTACCCTACTCTACTCTACTCTACTCTACCCTATCCTACCCTACCCTACTCTACCCTACCCTACTCTACCCTACCCTACCCTACCCTACCCTACCCTACCCTACCCTACTCTACTCTACCCTACCCTACTCTACCCTACCCTACCCTACCCTACCCTACCCTACTCTACCCTACCCTACCCTACCCTACCCTACCCTACCCTACCCTACCCTACCCTACCCTACTCTACCCTACCCTACCCAATCCTATCCTATCCTATCTTATCCTATTCTATTCTATTCTATTCTATTCTACGTGTATTTCATAGAACATAGAACAATAGAGTTGGAAGGGACTTTGGAAGTCTTCCAGAAATCCAACCACTGCTTGAGTAGGAGACATCATTTCAGACAACTGGTTGTCCAATCTCTTCTAGAAGCCTCCAGTGATGGAACACTCACAACTTCTGAGAGCAATCAATTGGTTGATTGCTCTCAGCGTTAGGAAATTTCTCCTTAGTTCTAGGTTGCTTCTCTCTTTGCTTATAGTATCAAGAAATTGGTACTTGCAATGGAATGCATGGGTGACCTTGGTGAAAGGGTGGAAGAGATGTTCCCTAGGAAATCACTAGGGAAGAAAGATAGGAGCCTTCAGTAGCTTAATGGTCAGAGGAAGAAACTTAAAGAGGATCCACCTTTCTCTCTCTCTCTCTGTCTCTCTATCTGTCTGTCTCTGTCTCTCTCTCTTTCCTTGGGTTCAGCAAAACAGAAGAACATGGAGGTCAACAGACATAAAGTCAAAGGGACAGGAGGGATGTTGGGAAGCCATGTTAGAAAGTCGGACTTCACAGAAAGAGCAGTCGAAGGTTGCAACCAGCATCCAGCACAGAGGATGGGCCAATCCTCAGAAACTGAATTTAAACATGGCTGGGATAAAGTTGCTCATTCAAAGAAAATTGAGAAATAAAATCAAATCACATAAATTGTGATGGACCACGAGGTCTTTTTTGGCTGTCAGTTTTCTATGTTTCTGTGTTAAAGTGTGTTGTAGGGAGTTTGCAGGGGAGACTCAGTGAAAACAGTTGTGTGCCTCGGGGTTCCTTGAAAACTCAGCCACTCATTCAGCAGATTGTGTGAACGAAGCAGCCGTTCCCTTTTCTTAACCCGGGTTGAGGTCTTGGCCTATTGTGGGAATGGAGCAAAGCCCCCCCCCACCCCCCCCCGGGAGGATGCTGGGAGCTGTTCATCCCTGCAGGTCCTGAAGGAAAGTTAGAGAAATCTCACTCACAAAAAGAGAAAATGAACCTGACAACAGCAGCCCCAAGAGACCCAGGGGAAGTGGAGGGAGGACTCCCCTTGTCTGGATGCCCTCAAGGGGTGGGGGCTAATGAGCCACATATCTGGGGCTCCTTCCTTTGGATTGCTGCACTGAGCAGGGGGTGGGCTGGATGACCTCAAGGAACGATTCGAACTGTCAGATTGTCTCGGTGACATCCCTCCTGGCAGAGTGTAAATCCATCAAGATCTTTTGTGCAAACAAGCTACATCCTGATTGCTAGACACTCTTTCTCTCTTTCTCTTTCTCTCTTTCTCTTTCTCTCTCTTTCTCTCTCTCTCTCTCTCTTTCTTTCTCTTTCTCTCCTTCTGTCTCTCTCTTTCTTTCTTTCTCTTTCTCTCTCTCTCTCTCTTTCTCTCTCTCTCTCTTTCTCTCTCTCTCTCTTTCTCTCTCTCTCTCCCCCTCTCTCCCTCCCTCTCTCTCTCTCTCTCTCTTGCTCGCTGTCTCTCTCTGCCTGGATGCATGTAAATGTGTGTGTAAATATTTTGCTGAGGACTGATCTTTGCTTTTAGCTACAAGTGTGCTCCTGAATTGTATGTTTAGGGATTAAAACTTGGTAACGGAGAAAACATCTTGGCTAGAAATTCAGAGTGTTTCTTGTGGCAAATCTTTGCTCTGGAGATACACTTCACAATAATATGAAGGGTGATTTTGCTAATAACTCAAACATTTGAGTCCAGGGATTTGAGTTGTTAATTGGAGCAACTGGCAAATGAAATGACCAAATATTTTAACAAAACCTCGCCCCTCCTTCTGATCATTCACAATGCCTGAGTTGTTTGTCCTTTTCCCACCTGGGGCTTTGTAATTGTGCTGCTTTCCTGAAAGGTGATTACAGATGTCCCCAAACTTGGCAGCTTTAAGACTTGTGGACTTCAACTCCCAGAATTCTCCAGCCAGCATAGCTGGGAGTTAAAGTCCACAAGTCTTAAAGCTGCCAAGTTTGAAGGCCTCTGGGTTATTACAAAGACCAAGTGAAGAGGCTCTGGATCCTTCCTATCAGCCGAGAGGCAAAAGACTGAATGTCAAGTGTACATAAAATACACTGAATGGTTCTCAGAGTTTGCTTAGGTTGCGCTGGCACTGAGCACAGAAACGGACAAAAGACTGAATTTCGAAAATGGAAATAATCAAACAAGAACGTGTCCTTCTTGTAAGCCAGGCGTGGGGAACTATGCGCCATTTATGACTCGTGGACTTCAGCTCTCAGAATCCCTGAGCCAGCATGGCTTCAGGTCCAGGCTCGGGTGTGGCTCAGCAGGTCACCTGGGGCAGTCCCTGGGAAAGGATCCACTTGCAAAAGGAACTGACTGTCAGGTGCACAGCTCAAGCCCATGAGAGCAGAGAGCAGAGAAACCAGGTTTAAACTCTTCAGAATTGGACTGCAAGGTGGCAGGGAAGAAAGGGAGGGAGGATAGACAGAAAAAGAAAGAGAGGGAGGGAGGGAGGGAGAAGGCAGGCAGGCAGGAAGGAAGGAAAGAAGGAAGGAAGGAAGGGTAGACAGAAAGAGAGAGAGAGAGAAAGAGGGAGGGAGAGAAGGAGAAGGCAGGCAGGCAGGCAGGCAGGAAGGAAGGAAGGAAGGAAGGAAGGGTAGACAGAAAAAGAAAGAGAGAAAGAAAGAAAGGGAGGGAGGGAGGAAGGAAGGAAAGAAGGAAAGAAGGAAGGAAGGGTAGACAGAGAGAAAGACAGAGAAAGAAAGGGAGGGAGGGAGGGAGAAGGAAGGAAGGAAAGAAGGAAAGAAGGAAAGAAAGAAAGAAGGAAAGAAGGAAGATGGGAATGAGAGGAAGGGAGGGAGGGAGCTCTGCAAAGGACCTTAGAAAGGAGGAAAAGAAATACATTTTCTGGCATATAGCCCAGTATAGTTTTGTTAGGGGGTGCTATCTCACATTAGGTTGCTGAGAATACGCATTTTAAGTTACAAACTAGGCTAACTTGGCAGCCTGGAGGTTTTATCTATTCTATGCAGATTGAGCATTAGGTCACAATGGAGCTTCTCTCAGCAGCAAGGAATATCAAGAGTTAGGTACACTCTGTACATGCTCTAATCCTCTAAATCCCTTCCAGCTCTATTCTATTCATTCATTCATTCATTCATTCATTCATTCATTCATTCATTCATTCGGTGTCCTGGGGTGGTGTGTTCCCCATCGGCTGACAAGCCAGTTCAACGGGGAAGCCAGATTCACTTAACAACCCTGTTACTAACTTAACAACGACATCAATTCACTTAACAAATGTGGCAAGAAAACTTGTCAAATGGGGAACTCTGGGTGGGAGTCGAAGTCCACAAGTCTTAAAGTTGCAAGGTTGGAGACCCTGCCTGCCTGCCTGCCTGCCGTAAAGGAAAGGGAGAGGGCGCTCTCTGGGCGTGTGCAGAGTGCCTTTTCGCCAAAGCTCCCGGGAGGGGCTCTCCGGGCTGCCGGCGGGGGTGGGGGCGGGCAAGGGGGAGGGGTTAAGGAGGAGTGGAGGGATCCGCTCGAGATGGGGGGCGGGAGGAGGCGGAGGGCGGGGCCAGTTGCCGGGTGACGCTGTACACAATGGGGGCCGGAGCGGGGGGGGGCAGGAGGCGCCCGTCCCGCTGCCCGACTCAGTGCTGTGCTGCTCCCGCGGGCGCCTCTACGCTCTGCCTTGCGCCTGGTCTCTCTGCGGTCCGCCTCCAGGTGGGTGGGCCCCCTTCGGCGCGGGATCGAGCGGGGGGGGGATCTCCGATTCTTCTTCTTTTTTTTTTTTTTTTGGCTCTCCCGGACCCCCTTCGCACAACCCGCTCTGCCCCTGCCTCGCTCTCCCGACCCCCGACCCATTTCGGGGCAAGCTTGGTTCGCTTTCGGGGAGGGGAGCAGCGGGGAGGGGTGAGAGGCTCCCTGCACCCCACAACTGATAATCCCGCCGAGCCCCCTGCCAGTCGCTGCCGGAGCTGGACCCTCGAGCGGGGGAAGGGGCGGCTGGATCCCCGCCGAGACCAGGGACCTGCTCCGACTACCAGACCCCAATTCAGATCCCCTCTTCGCCCCATCTGGGCTGGACCGCGGACGCCCCTCCCCTCCCCTCCCCACCCAGCAGACACAGATCCCCGCCTCCCTTTCCCCCCCGGGGATCCCCTCGATGGGGTTCCCCCGCGCCACATCACGAGTGGTTGGGGGGGTTGGCTGGCTGACAGCGCCTGGCCGGGGAGGGGGTCTCAAAACCCGGGTCTCCCCGCTCTTCCTTCCACCCCGCCACCCACTCACCCACCCCCAGGCCCTCCTGATTTCCGCAAACTGGACCCATCCAGGTGGGAAGAGGGGCCGAAATTCGGGGTGTTTCTGTACTAACCCCCCAAATGACCAGCACGTTAAATGAGCAGGTGCCCTGCGCACCGACTGATGGCTTTTACTGGTCCCTTTGAGTTGAGATATAGGATTAGGATCCCTTAGTTCAGGGGTGAGCAAATGTGGCTCTTTTACAATCTGTGGACTTCAACTCCCAGAATTCCTGAGCCAGCTTAGCTGTCTCAGGAATTCTGGGAGTTGAAGTCCACAGGTTGTAAAAGAGCCACATTTGTCCACCCCTGCCTTAGTTGATCCCTTCCTTCGCTGCTCATCACAACAGCCCTGTGAGGTAGGCTGGGCTAGCAGAGAGCAACTGACCCGAAGTCAACTCCATTGGCAGAAGGGACACTTGAGCCTCGCTCGGCCACCCCACTTCTCTACTTCTGCATCAATGTTTCTCAACCTGGGCACCTTTAAGATGTCTGGACTTCAACTCCCAGAATGTCTGGGACTTCAACTCCCAGAATTCCCCAGCCAGCTGGCTGGGGAATTCTGGGAGTTGAAGTCCAGACATCTTAAAGGGGCCCAGGTTGAGAAACACTGATCTGGTCCAATCCTTTCTAGACTTCACCGCCTGGTTGCCCAGCCTGCCTGTCAAAGGATTAATTAAACCATAGGCTCCCTTAATTAATTAATTGATTCCTCCCTCCTGCTCCCCCCTCCCTCTCTGGCCAAGGCAACCCGCTCAGGCCCGGCTGGGGATGATGGATCGGACCCAGCCTTGCAGGAAAGCGTTGCAAATACTCTTAGTTGGTCAACATCCTTCTCTCTTCCTCCTCCTGCAGATCTACTGAAGAGTTAGCACCACCCAGCGAAGATGTCCACAGACGTCTGGGTAGGAACGTGGAGACCCCACCGGCCGAGGGGACCAATTGCTGCCCTCTACAGCAGCCCCGGACCCAAATATGGACTCCCGACTAATGTGGGTGAGCATCAGCCTTCTGCACTCTGGGGTCTCCTTTTAATCTTCGAAGAGGGGAAAAGGCAGCCTTCTTTCTAAAAACAATGAAGGTGGGATGAGAAAGAAAGAAAAGAAGAAAGAAAGAAAGAAAGAAAGAAAGAAAGAAAGAAAGAAAGAAAGAAAGAAAGAGAAAGGAAGGAAGGAAGGAAGGAAGGAAGGAAGGAAGGAAGGAAGGAAGGAAGGAAGGAAGGAAGGAAGGAAAGGGAGGGACTGAGTGGAGGGAGGGAAGAAAAAGAGACAGAAAAAGTGAGAAAGAGAAAGTGAGAAAATGAGAGCGAAGAGAAAAGGGAGGGAGGGAGGGAGGAAAGAAGAAAGAGAGAAAGAAAGAAAGAAGGAAGGAAAGAAAGAAAGAGTGAATGAGTGAATCAATGAATAAACCAACCAATCAATCAATCAATCAATCAAGGAATCAAGGAACCAATCAATGAACCAATGAATGAAAAAGGGATTGGATAGATGACTTCCAAGAGTTCTTCCAATTCTGTTATTCTGTATTCTGAATGAATGAATGAATGAATGAATCTGACCATAAGCTTTAGATAGGAGTATTTTTTTTAATCCACCCAACTTCCTGTCAGGGAACATTTTGATAGTCAGTGGCACAAAAGAATACCCAATTAAAACAAACTAACTCAGATTGGACCTGGAAGCAATTTTTTCCAAGCATTTGCAACCGAAAGAGAGTCCCCGATTCCTAAGATGGCTGGTCTCTCCTTCTGAGGATGGTGCACTGATGATGTTCCCTAGTTGGGTCATGAAATGTCTGCAAAAAAACCAATCCAGCTCAGAGAGCACTAAGGATCCCATACTCCTTCTCCTCCTCCTCCTCTTCCTCTTCCTCCTCCTCCTTTTGCTCTTCCTCCTCTTGCTCTTCCTCCTGCTCTCCACCAACCCCCCTCCCTTGTAGCACTGATGATGTTCCCGAGTTGGGTCGTGTCATGTCTCTTCTTCTACATACTTGGGACAAGCCACCCCTTGACCCATCCTATGGACCCTAGTGAGACCCAGTGGGTGTTGAGCAGGGCAGGGGACCCCACACCAGGGGTGAAATCCAGCAGGTTCTGACAGGTTCAGGAGAACCGGTAGCGGAAATTTTGAGCAGAGTGGCCCCAGAGTGGGGAGGGAATTGAGATTTTACAATATCCTTCCCCTGCCATGCCCCCCAAACCACACCCACCAAGCCACACCACACCCATCAAGCCACATCCACAGAACCAGTAGTAATTTTTTTTAAATTTCACCACTGCCCCACATCCTTTCTTAGCACGGGGGGGGGGGGGGACTTGATGGCTGCAGGAGCCCAGCTATGGGGCACTTCTTCTCCATTGCAGGTCCCATTCACTCACGCTCTCCTCCTCCGTACAGGTTACCAACAACACGATCCCTCTCGATTCCGGGCCCCGGCCTACAGCATGGGCAGCCGACGTTTCCAGATGCTGGAGAGCTGTTCTCCCGGGCCGGGCTACATGGTCCCCACCAACATGACTATGAGAGGCAAGGATGGCATCCCCGCCTTCTCCATCTACGGGCGCCCCAAGGACGGGGCGACCTTTCGGACGCCGGGGCCAGGTCAGTGTCAGGATCGAGGTGCCCAAAGCATCCTAGGTTACCTTACCACAGTTCTCTTAGTGGCCATCCAAAGTTACAAGCCCAGTAAAAAAAGTTACGTCCATGTTTCACACTTATGACCTTTGCGGCATCCCTAGGTTCACCTGATTTACATTCGGATGCTTGACAACTGATACACATTTATGACGGTCACAGTGTCCTGGAGGGGTTGGGTCATGTGATCCCCTTTTGCGACCTTCCGACAAGCCGGGGAAAACGGGTTCACTTAACAACCGGGTTACTAATTGAACAACCGCAGTGATTCACTTAACAAAGGTGGCAAGAAAAGTCGTAAAATGGGACAAACTCACATACGTTTCACTTAGCAGCATAAATGTTGGGCTCGATTGTGGTCATAACTCAAGGACTACCTGTGTTCTGCTCTATTTGGGGAAGGGCTGTGGGTTTTTCAAATCTTCTCTTTCCTTTTTAAAATCCAATTCAAATTTTTAAAGTGTTTAGTCTTTTAACCATATCGCCAGATTAGTTCTCTTAGTTCTGTTCCAAAATTAATTGTTACTCAGGTCTTTGTCTCTTTAAAGTTGTAGTTTTTAAAAATTTTCCAAAGCCCCTTTGTTGCATAGCCGCTGTTTTAGGCTAGGGGTCTTCTAATTACTAATAATGTTCCAAATGTGGTTGCAAGCCTGGGCTGTTGTCACTCACCCGGCTTCAAAAAGCTCCGTCTTTCTCCGCTTTCCTCCAGCACTTTTCTTGCCTGGTTGTCCCAGCTTCGTGGCAGCCTCCATGGCTGCTGCCCGCCGCCGCCGACTCCCAGAGGGTTCCCTCCGACCTCCTAGGAATTTGCCTGTTCCTCTTGGTCGTCTAAGGCACCCCTCTTCTTCCCCCGTCCCTGCAAGACGGGTTCGGTCCGAAGACCCATCGGCGGCGGTTCGGCAGCCGGGGGTTTCGCGGGACTCTTCAGAGCCTGCTATTTCCCCGACTGTCTCTCCGCGATGTCAAACCGGAAGTCCAGGCTGTGGGTTTTTCAACCCCTTGTTCTCCGATGACCTCCTGAGCTGCTCCTGCTTTTGGGACCGAAGAGAATTCCACCTTTTCTTTCATTCGCAGGTCGTTATTCTCCGGAGAAAGCCGGGAAGTTGGCTTATCCGTGTCCCCCAAATTACTCCATGGCTTCACGGACAAAGGACTTCCAGAACGAACAGACGCCGGGTGAGATGTGTGGCTTTGTTGTGTTGCATTGTGTTGCTTTGCCTTGGGGTGCTTTGGGTTGGGTTGCTTTCCCTCTGCCACCCCCATCCCAAACCATGACTGTCCCCTTCCTCAACCCCCCCTCCAGGGCCCGCCGCCTACGGCCTCCCTCCAATGATGGGCCCCAAGGTGATCGGCAAGAGCTCAGCCCCCAATTACTCCATGTTTGGACGCAGCGCCATTGGCAGCTTCTACGAGGACCTCAGCCGGGTAGGGGGACCCCTAACCTCTTCTCTTCCTCTTCTCTTCCTCTTCTCTTCCTCTTCTCATCTCTATTCTTCCTCTTCTCGTCTCTTCTCTTTCTCTTCTCTTTCTCTTCTCTTCTCTTCTCTTTCTCTTCCTCTTCTCTTCTCTTCTCTTCCTCTTCTTGTCTCTTTCTCTTCTCTTCTCTTCCTCTTCCTCTTCCTCTTCTCTTCCTCTTCTCTTCCTCTTCTTGTCTCTTCTCTTCTCTTTCTCTTCTCTTCTCTTCCTCTTCCTCTTCCTCTTCCTCTTCCTCTTCCTCTTCCTCTTCTCTTCCTCTTCTCTTCCTCTTCTTGTCTCTTTCTCTTCTCTTTTCTTTCTCTTCTCGTCTTCTCTTCCTCTTCCTCTTCTCGTCTCTTTCTCTTCTCTTCTCTTTTCTTTCTCTTCTCGTCTTCTCTTCCTCTCTTCCTCTTCCTCTCTCTTCTCTTCTCTTTCTCTTCTCTTCTCTTCTCTCTCTTCTCTTCTCTTCTCTTCTCTTCTTCTCTTCTTCTCTCTCTTCTCTTCTCTTCTCTTCTCTTCTCTTCTCTTCTCTTCTCTTCTCTTCTCTCTTCTCTTCTCTTCTCTTCGCTATATGCTGTATGCTGTATGCTGTATGCTGCATGCCAGTAATGGCTAACCTTTTCCAGACCGAGTGCCCAAAGCGCAGATGCACCCGAACCCCCAAAATTCAATAGAATCCTATCCTATCCTATCCTATCCTATCCTAGTTTCCTGCTTGAGCAGGGGGCTGGATTAGAAGACCTCCAAGGTCCCTTCCAGCTCTGTCCTATTGAATGGCATCTGGAAACCCAGCAGCTCATGCAATAAATGGGGTACCCGGGCAAAGCTAGCCCCTCCCCCCCCAATTACTGTGCATTCTGCCGCAATTCTGGACGGGGTGGCTGGGTCGGGGCTCTTGGGAGAGTGCAGGTGGCTTGTGATGCTCAACCTCCCCACAGACTCCGGGGCCGTGCAATTATCGGGTGGTGGAGACCAGCGTCTACAAGAATCGCCCCCCGCATTACAGCATCATCGCGCGGAACATGCTTCCAGGGGACACGACCATCATTCCGGGACCCGGGGCCTACAGTCCGGAGAAGGTGAGGGCTGCAAGGGGAGAGGGGCTTCTGCGGGGCTCCCGTGTAGCCGAGGGGTCATGGGACGCAGGGGGAGGGGGGCTGCTCCCCAACTCAGTCCTTCCTTTCAACCATTGGCTTCCTTGGCCTCTGCCAAAAGTCCCTGAGTTACGACCATAATGGAGCCTGCCCCTCATGGGCGTAACTGACGATGGTCGTAAAGCGGGTCAGCCACCTGCTTAATTTCAAACATCTCCTTCCTTCACCTCAGCCAATACTGGGAGTCCTCGTATTACGACCATAATACAGTCTTTCCCCTCATAGTCGTAACTCACGATGGTCGTTAAGCAGGTCAACCCCCTGCTTAAGCTTAATCACCTCCTTTCCTTACAACACAGGGAGTCCTCAAGTTACGACCATAACAGAGTCTTCCACTCATGGTTGTAACTCACGACGGTCGCAAAGCAGGTCAACCACCTGCTTCATCATCTCCTTCCTTACAGTGCAGGGAGTCCTCGAGTTACGACCACAGTGGAGCCCTCGTGGTCGTAACTCCTCATGGTCCCCCGACCCCTCCCCCCCCCCAATTTTGCCAACTTCAAGCCGACCTATTCTGCGAGGCTGGGGGGGAGGGAGCTTCCTAGCCCCCTCCCCTTCTCTTCGCCCCCACCCCAGGAATAACACCGCCTTCTCTTTTTTCCCCTTTCCTTCTCTTTCCCCAAACCCCACAGCACAACCCCCTCCGTGGCTTGACTTTTGGGATCCGCCACTCGGACTACGTGGCTCCTCTGATTGTGGACGTGGCAGATTAGGCCACGGCTGGGCAGGCCGGACAAGAAGCCGTTCTTTGCCAAGTCTGGGTCTCTGGTCGATGCTTTGGGGGGGGCGTGGGGGGTTCCCGTGTGGGGCAGGGAAGAAGCAATGAGAGGCTTGGGAGGGCCTTCAGATTGGGCTGGAAGGAGGGGGGCTCTTAGGGACCCCCTCCAGTTCCCCTAGGAAGGTGGGGGGGAGGCTGCAGCGTCCAGGGGTGCCCCACTGATGCGACCGTTTGGCCGGATTGCTGTGCCAGGCTGACATTTGGTATTGGGCCTTTGGAAACCTACTATTTTTTTCTTTTTTGACCCCTGGCATGAACCAGGGTTCAAAAGATCAATCAACCAATCAGTCTTCTTTAGGGGGGGTCTGCCCAAACAGGGTCAAAAAAGTCAAGATGGCGGCCACCTCGCTGGAATCAACGCTGCCCGTAGCTTCAATTGCCGCACCTTAATTTGTTTTGCACCCATTTTATGGATTCTTCAAGCGGTCCGTGCCCCATTCAGCGACTGGAGGGGCAGATTGCATAACTGGCACAAATCACACTTTTGCCTGGCATGGCAAAACTCCGCCTGCTGCGAGTTTCTGACCACTTTGGTTGTGGAAGCACAAACGCACAGCGATCTGGGGCCGTTCTGCCCCAGCGTCCTGAGCACCCCGCAAACCAGGATCCAAGTGTTAGTCTACAGAAGGGCTCTCCAAACCTGGCCACTTTGAAGACTTGTGGAATTCTGGGATTTGAAGTTCACTAATCTTAAAAGGGACGCAGTGGCTCAGTGGCTAAGACGCCGAGCTTGTCGATCAGAAGGTCGGCAGTTCAGCGGTTCGAAACCCGAGTGCCGCGTAACGGGGTGAGCTCCCGTGACTAGTCCCAGCTTCTGCCAACCTAGCAGTTCGAAAGCACGTAAAAAATGCAAGTAGAAAAACAGGGACCACCTTTGGTGGGAAGGTAACAGCGTTCCGTGCATCTTTGGCGTTGAGTCATGCCGGCCACACGACCACGGAGACGTCTTCGGACAGCGCTGGCTCTTCGGCTTTGAAACGGAGATGAGCACCGCCCCCTAGAGTCGGGAACGACTAGCACACATGTGCGAGGGGAACCTTTACCTTTAGTCTTAAAAGTGACCATGTTTGGAGACCCCTGGCTGAGGAATTCTGGAATTTGAAGTCCCCAAATCAAATTGGCTGTGTTTGGCGACCCCTGGTCTATGGGGCTTAAAATGACCAGATGTAGCATTGCACTGCAGTGGGGAGACTTTGGGTGGTGGGACAGAGGGACAATGTTTGGCATGTCGAGGGAAGAGAATATTTGCAGCTCCGGGTTGAACTGTGGGGTCCTTGTTGCTCTCTGAGCTTGTTTGCTTCTTTGCAGATATTTCGTGACCCAACTAGGTAACATCATCAGGGCTAGAAGGGGAGGGGAGGAGCAGGAGGAGGATTGTGGGGTCCTTAGTGCTCTCTTATCTGTTACCGTACTTCCTTGCAGTACATACATACTTTCATGACTCAACCAGGTAACATCATCAGGGCTAGAAGAATTGAATTAGAAAGCTTCTAAGAAACTGATGATATTCCCTAGTTGGGCCACAAAATGTCTACAAGAAAACAACCGAGCTCAGAGAGCATGGCTGGCTGGGGAATTCTGGGAGTGGAAGTCCACCAATCTTAAACTTGTCAAGTTTGGAGACGCCGCTGGCTGAGGAATTCTGGGAGTTGAAGTCCGCCCGTCTTAAAGTGGCCAAATGTGGAGATCTGAGGAATTCTGGGAGTTGAAATTCCGCAAATCTTAGTTGCCAAGTTTGGAGACCCGGCTGGCTGAGGAATTCTGGGAGTGGAAGTCCGCCCGTCTTAAAGTGGCCAACTTTGGAGACCCCCTGCTCTCGGATAACATCTGCCCCCACCGTCCTTCCGAAGGAGCCTGAAAACCTGACTCTGAGGTGCCGATGGGGCCGTTCCATACAGGAAGGGGCTGCTGAATTGATGGCAGAGTCCACCTTCCCCCCGAAACTCCCTCCCCCTCGGTTCTCTGCTCTCCACCCGTCCATCTTTTCTAGTTGTCATATTGAAGTATTATTACAGAGGCCTTCAAACTTGGCAGCTTTAAGACTTGTGGACTTCAATTCCCAGAATTCTCCAGCCAGCTGGCTGGAGAATTCTGGGAGTTGAAGTCCACAAGTCTTAAAGCTGCCAAGTTTGAAGGCCTCTGTATTATCATCATCATCATGTTCTTTTTCATTGCTTATTTTGTGGCTCTATTATTTTACTTCTCTTCTGCTTACATTCTTTTCATGTCGTCCTTTTCATTGTTGTAAGCCGCCTGGAGTGGCCCCATGGCAAGATAGGCGAGCAATCAATCAAATAAAGAAATAAATAAATAAAGCAAATGTCTAATTTGTGCATCTTTACCTTGGACCAAAAAGATTCTGGAAAGAGACTCCAGTAAGGGGGGTGGGGGGAGGTGTCTGTTGTTGGTTTGCAAAATGGCTCCACGTTGCACCATTTCTCCTGCTAAAATTGGGCACAATTGCTGCCACAGCGTAGACTGCCAACCCTTCAAGGTTGGCCAGGTTAGGAAATTAAAGCCACAGAGGCTCACCAGTGGTGGGATTCAAGTAATTTCACAACCGGTTCTCTGCCCTAATGATTTCTTCCAACAACCAGTTTTCCAAACTACTCAGAAAGTTAACAACCGGTTCTCCCGAAGTGGTGCAAACCGGCTGAATCCCATCACTGAGGCTAGGTATTCCTCAGTTTGTGACCACAATTGAGCCCAAAATTTATGTTGCTTGGTGAGACGGTTGTAAAGTGAGCTTTGCCTCATTTTACAACCTTCCTTGCCACGGTTGTTAAGTGAATCACCGCAGTTGATAAGTTAGCAACATGGTTGTTAAGTGAATCTGGTTTCCCCATTGATTTTGCTCGTTGGAAGGTCTCAAAAGGGGATCATGTGACCCCCGAGACATTGTGACGGTCATAAATACGAGCCTGTTGCTGAGCGTCTGGATTTTGATCACCTGACCACAAGGGTGCTGCAACGGTTGTGTGAAAAACTGGCACAAGTCACTTTTTTCAATGCTGTTATAACTTCGAACGGTCACTAAATGAATGGCTGAAGATCAAGAATTCCCTGTAGTACCAGTATTTTCTTTTTTAAAAAATATATAATATTTATTAAATTCCCAAAGATTAAAATACACAGTACAGAAAGAAACATAATACACAAAAAAAAGCAAGAAAAACACACACACAAAACAAAAAATATCAAACATATCAAAATTTCAATACTAATAATTTTTTTGCATCGGTATCTCTAACCTATTTTACCTCTTTACACAAATTCTACTTCTAAATATCTCTGTCTTAAACTTACATCTTTATTTAAATTATCTTGACTTCTATTTACAATTCGATCTCATAACAAAAACATCCATTAAGTTTTAACTTTACTCTCCAGCCATTTATTCCATATTAAATAGTACTTGGTGTCCTCCCTCTCCTTCATTTCCATAGATAATCTGTCCATCTCTGCACGTTCGTATATTTTTTTTTCTATGATTTGATCTGGAGGGGTGTCTGGTTGTTTCCAATTTTGTGCTATCACAATTCTACTGTCATCCAGACAGATGAGCTGTATTCGAGAATTGGTCTAGCAAAGGTTTTGTATGCTCTGGTTCGTAGTGTAATATTACCAGAGAAGAAGCTACGCAAGATTAAGTTTACAACCCTTAATGCTTTTTGGCAAAGTTGTTACAGTAGAACAAGTGAAGGAGACAATGATAGCATGGGCAAAAAAACTTTGGCTACACCATAGAACCAGATAAATGGCAAAAATTATAGGACAGGAACTATAAATTAACAATATCAACTGCAAATTTATAAAAATTTATAAAGAAAATTTGTATAAGATGTTTTATAGATGGCACTTTGCACCAGCGAGGTTGGCAAAGATGTTTAAAGATAAATCAAGCTAAATGTTGGAAATGCCACCAGATACCTGGGTCTTATTATTATTATTATTATTTTTTTAAAAAAATGATTTATATGCCGCCCTTCTCCGGAGACTCAGGGCGGCATTGTAAGCTCAGGGCGGCTTACAATGCGTTAAGCAATAATTATCATATGTGGTGGACATGCGTAGAAGCAAAAAAATACTGGACAAAAATACATACGTGCCTGGAAAAGATGATAAAACAGCACATTGATTTAAAACCAGAAATATTTCTGTTGGGGATTTTACCTGAAACCTGTAGTAAGGGGAATGCGTATCTAATGATTCGTGTATTAACTGCAGCTTGAATTGTATTCGCACAAAATTGGAAAAGTGAAGAGATCCCTACAGATGAGAATGTGATTAGGAAAATATTAGAATGTGCAGAAATGAATAGATTAACACTTGCAATTAAGGAGAAAGAACAAAGTGAATACTACACGATATGGGAATTATTTTATCGATGGTTAGAAAATAAAAATGGAAGCTAGAAATAGGGAAATAAAAGAAGATGATTAATATGAAAATATGTTAAGAGAGAGACGTAAACACTATGATGATGATGATTATTATGATGTCTATTAGGATTATTATGTTTAATATTCGTATTATATTCTTATTAGAAGATATGTTAAGAGGGAGAAGTGAATATGTTTATAATGTTCACTATTAGTATTGTAAAATCAGAGAATTAATATTAATGTTATGAATAATGTTGTAAACTTTGATTATTATTGCACAAAGATACACGTATCCAGATGACACACTGTTTAATGAAAGATGGAATTATTATACTAAAAAAATAAAAAAAAATCTTTTAAAAAAGGCCGTCACACAGACCAAATCCCTTTGATCCCCAAACACCAGATGAGTTGCCAGAAATGCTTCTTTTGAGGCCCCAAAATCTGTTCCCTACCAGCATAATATTTCCCACGATCCTTGTTGCCTCTCGGTGAGATGGGCAGCATACAAAGTCTAATCAATGCACATTTGCCCACCTCGGTTAGGTGAGTCCAGTGGAGAGGAGGCAGCAGTTCCTGGCACACCATAACTGGGCCCTGAAGCTCAGCAGGACCCGGACTCAGATTCTCCGCGGACAAGACCCTGGGACGATCAAGAGCTGGGTTTGACCGAGAGGAAGCTTCTCTTGATCGTGGGCTCCCTCCTCCAGAGAGGAACATGCTGGGTCAAGGGTGTGGTGGAAGGAAAGGATAAGATAAAAACACCAATTTTGAAATAATGAAGGAAAGAAATAACTAATGAGAAAGAAAAAGGAAAAAGGAAAAGAAGGAAGGAAGGAAGGAAAAAGAAAAAGAAAAAGAAAGAGAGCGAAAGAAAGAAAGAAAGAAAAAGAAGGAGGGAGGGAGGGAGGGAAAAAGGAAAGGAGAGGAGAGGTAAATAAAGGAAAACAAGGAAAGGAGGAAAGAAGAGAGGGGAGAAAGGAAAAAAAGGAAAGGAAGGTGAAGGAAAGAAGGGAGGGAGGGAGGGGGAAGGAGGGAAGAGAATTGAGGGAAGAAAGTGAAGGGAAACAATAATAAGGATAGAATATAAAATACTGATATACTAGATTTAGTAAAAACTTGTTATTCTGTAACCATTAGGTTCTGTAACACATATATTGTGCCTTTGTAGTTGTATCACATATATTATTCCTTTATATTTTGTTGCAAACATATTGTTATTATCTGGTATTTGTCAAACGTATGTCCCTGCCATTTGATCTGAACCCATATCAATCTTCTTCCTGTTTTTCTTGTGCCATCTAAGAGCATGGTACGTGTATCTCAGTTGGAACTGCAGACATCATCCGAGGGATAATTTACACTTCAGCCCTAATTTACACCTTTGATCTGTGTAAGCTCCTTCCTTGCAGAACCAGGGAGCCAAATGAGCAATTGGGAAAAACAAAGGAATGCTCAAGGAAGAGATAAGGCTAATTGGGAGGCTTCTATTCCTTTGCAGGGCAACAAGGAATGCACAAACCTAAACTAGGAGGCCAGAATTGGGTATTAAGATGATGCCTCTGAAGGTATAAAAAGGACGCCATACCTTCCCCAAGGTGTGGCTATCTCCTCGCATGCATTGTATCTGTATGTTCTGGATATAGTCCCACCCAGTATTTTGTTTTTGGCCATAAATAAAATCTGCTTTTTTTTGCAGGCCTCGTCTTGAGTCTCTCTTTTTGCATTCTGGTGACTCAAGTATATTTTGGGACCTTACAAAAGGAAATATTATAAAGAAGTGACTTAAGAGCAGCTGCAAGTACATTTACAGTTTACCCCTTCTAAGGTTACAACATCATTTCCTTCTTTCTCTTTCTGATCCACCCTTTCTAATCCTCAAACCCATAAAACCTTCATTTCTTTTTTGGTTTCCAGCAAAAAAAAAAGGGGGGGGGGAAGTCCACCGGGGCTTCCAGTCCCCAATGCATGCATTCTTCTCCTTTGTCTAATAAAACGAGTCAGTTTCTCCATCTCTGCCAATGGCCTCGTCTTCAGCAGCCACCGGTCCAGAGTGGCTCCTTCCTTCAGAGTCTTTCCGGTCTTGGGAGCATCCAATAAACTTGAGAAAGGCTGATTTAGAGGCTGCAAAAAAACTGGGTGCTTTGTGGTTTTGTCTGATGCCACATGAGAGTCTTTGTCTCAATTTGCACCACAAAACACTCAAACCACAAACAATCAAAGTTTCTTGGTCTGGGCAAGTTAAGGGAGCGTGTTGCCCAATTTAACACTGAATGCTTGTTGTGGGAGTGATTTATTTATTCCTTTGTTCAATTTCTCTAACCGCCCCATCTCAGTGGACGATCTGGGGGGAGCTTACAATTCAGAACATACATTGCAATTTAAAAAAAAAATTTTTTTTTAAAGAAATGTGTATTTTTCCAAGACACTTTTCAATGTCTTATTTGTTATGGTGGGTTTTTTTTGTTTTGTTTTTTTTTAAATATTTTGGTGTTTTGCCTTTTAACTTTCCTTGAATGAACTCAATATTATTACGGGCCGTCCCCGACAAACGTCCACAAGGGAGCCCAACATTTCTGTTGTTAAGCGAGGCATTTCTTAAGGGAGTTTTGCCCCCTTTTATGACTTTTCTTGCCATCGTCGTTAAATGAATCCCTGCAGTTATGACACAGTTAAACGAATCTGGCTTCTATTTGGCTTGGATTGTCCAAGGGCCGCAAAAGGAGATCACGTGACCCTGGGATACGACCGTCGTAAATAGAAGTCAGTTGCCAAGGGTGTGGTCACGTGGTCTCGTGAATATTGATCATGAGACCACGGGGATGCTGCAACGGTCGTAAGTGTGAAAAATGGTCATAAGTCCCTTTTTTCAGTGCCGTTGAAACTTTGAAGGTCACTAAATGAATTGTGGTAAATCGAGGATTACCTGTATTATAAAAAAAAAAATAAAAAACATCTTAAAACAAGGACAGATTTTTTTTTAAAAAGTAAAATGTAAAGTAATGGGTGAGCTTGGAAGCCACACAAACAGAGGTCACTTCAGGACACGGGAAAACTCGGTGTGGCTTAAGGTCAGTGTTCAGTTCGTGGCCTCACTGGCCCACTGCCCTTTCCCCCTTTTTAAAGCCCTGGCTGGGGGGCAAAGGGCAAGGCGGGGGGGCATTGAAAGTATCTCCATCCCTCTAACTCAGTTGGGGGGCCAAGAGGCCCCATTTGGGGACCATGCTGCATCACTCCGGGGCTTAAAAATAAACTTTTCCCTTACATACATACATACATACATACATACATACATAGATACATACATACATACATAAATAAATAAATAAATAAATAAATAATAAAAGTTTATTAGCTCAATGCAGAAATCTTTTTTATTTCAATCTTTTTTTTTCCTATAACATATTAAAATTCCAATTTCAGTTAAACCGTCTGTTGTCTTGGTACAAATAATTTTAGGAAATAATAATCAAAATGTTTACAACAGTATTCATTACATTAGTATTGATTATAATATTATTATTAATAGTAATAATGTTTGCTTAACCAATTTAACATACTTTTCTTATATCACTGATCCTTTCCATCTATTTTCCCCGTTTCTAGCTCCTGTTTCGGTCAGCTAACTATTGATAAAATAAGTCCCAAGTCCAAAAGTATTCAGCTTCTTTCTTCTCCTTAATTATAAGTGTTAGCCTCTCCATTTCTGCACATTCTAGTATTTTTTTTTTTAATCACATTTTCATCCATTGGAATCTCTTCACTTTTCCATTGTTCTGCAAATACAATTCTAGCTGCAGCCAGTTACATGTAAAATCAAATATGCATTCCCTTTATTATACTTATCCGGTAAAATGCCCAGCACGAATATCTCTGGTTTCAAATCAATATGCTGTTTGGTCATTTTTTTCCAGCCATGTATGTATTTTTGTTCAATATTTTTTCGCTTTTCCCTTTAAAAAAAAAAGTGAGTAGCCCAATGCAGAAATCTTGATGCCAACCTGCTTGGATAGCTTCCACGCTCTATAAACCACTGAGATTGTAGCAGGACAGCAATGGGTAAGTTTTTTTTAAAAACCCCAATGCATGTTTGCACCACCAACATGTCAAAGATTAACAGACGCAAGGAAATGTGTGACAGGATCCTCGTTGCAACATTTCCAGTTCTTGCCCAAAGCCCCAGGCAATCTTTTGCTCTGGTTGGCAGGGAGGGGAGGCTGGCAAGGAAGTAGATGGAACCAAAAAACCTCTAAAAAGCACTTCTGAATTTTCTCCTCCTTGGCTTGGAGAAATACAGACACCGCCTTGGGCTCTGGAAAAAACCCTCCAGCCAACTTTCGTTTCCGCTTTGCTCCAAGAAGAGCTGGTGCTGCTGGTCTCTGCCACCTGCTCTCCTCCTTCTCCTGTGCCCGGATCCCGCTTGATCTCTTCCTCGGCCTCTGCCAAGGCCAGCCTCACACCCTCCTCCTCCTCTGCCCCTTGAAGAGGACCGGTACGTGTCTGGTGGGACTTCCGGACAGGCGTCTGCTTACTCCTCCACCTCAGGGAGGACTTTGGAGCTGGCAGGTGAGTTCTGCAGGTGTGGCCAACCTAACTACAGGGGGGGGGGGTCTGGGCAGGTGCTTCAGGGAAGCTACCTGGAGACGGTGACAACCCAGACACCTCTTTTCTGTCAGGGCTGGGTCTCCTCTCCTCAGCTTCCTTTCACCCACCTGCTTGTCTCTCTCTCTCTCTCTCTTTCTCTCTCTCTCTCTTTCTCTCTCTCTCTCTTTCTCTCTCTCTCTCTTTCTGGATTGGAAGAGTTCGCAGCCCCTTCCTCATTCCTGCAGCTTCCCAGCTGTCCCTTGCCTTTCCCTTCTTGGGGGGGGGCACCACCAAGGGATGGAAAAATACAGAATGACAGTGTTGGAGGGACCTTGGAGGTCTTCTAGCCCAACCCTCTACTTCAGCAGAAGACCCTCTACCATTTCAAACAAACGGCTTTTCTTAAAAACGTCCAGCGATGAAGCCCCCACAATTTCTGGTGGCCATCGGTTCCCCTGGTTAATTGTTCTCACTGTCAGGAAGTTTCCCCTTAGTTTCTTCTCTCCTTGATGAGTTTCCATCCGTTGTTCCTTGTCCTGCCTTCGGGTGCTTTGGAGAATAGGTTGACCCCCTCTTCTATGGGGCAGCCCCTCGAATACTGGAAGACCGCTATCATGTCGGAATACAGAATGGAAGGGATCTTGGGGGTCTTCCAGTCCAACCCCCTGCTCAAGCAAGAGACCTTATACCATTCTGGACAAATGGTTTCCCAGTCTCTTCTTAAAAACTTCCAATGTTGGAGTACCACAACTTCTGGAGGCAGGCGGTTCCACTGGCTAATTGTTCTCACAGATAGAAGGAGACTAGCCCAGAACAAGGAAAAAGAAACTGGGTTAAACTTGCAAGCAGGGAACTTTGAAGTCTGTGGGAAAATTTCTTTCTTTCTTTCTTTCTTTCTTTCTTTCTTTCTTTCTTTCTTTCTTTCTTTCTTTCTTTCTTTCTTTCTTTTCTTTCCTCCCTCCCTCCCTTTTGCGTAGCTCCTGTTCATTTCAGAACATCTTGTGATGGAAAACATCTAAGCCCCTTGTGTCCCTTGTTGTGATGGACCCTTCCTTCCTTCCTTCCTTCCTTCCTTCCTTCCTTCCTTCCTTCCTTCCTTCCTTCCTTCCTTCCTTTCTTTCTCTTTCTTTCTTCTCTTTCTCTTTCTCTTTCTTTCTTTTTCTTTCTCTCTCTCTCTGTCTCTCTCTCAACCCCCTTTTTGCACCCTCCTCTAAGCTTAGGCAGCATCTGTGCAAGAGAGCCCTAGTAAGAGAGCCCCAGATCCATTTCTCCTGCATCCCAGAGCTGGAGGTCAAGCTGAGAAATTCAGCAAAACAAGAGGCAGAATCTCAGAAGGGGACGATGACCAACCACTTCCTTCCTTCTTTCCTTCCTTCCTTCCTTGCCATTGCCAGAAAATGGCACAAATAGTCATTGCCACATTTGTTAGTCATCGGCTTCAAGCTCTACTTTGCATAGGTAGAAAGCAAAAAACAGATGACAAATTTCCCATCCAGGCCAGCCCTTTTCCTGCAGCTGCTTCAGAACCAGGAAAAAGGAAGTGGGTTAAATTTGCAAGCAGGATAACTTTGAACCCTGTGAAAAAGGATTTCTTTCTTTCTTTCTTTCTTTCTTTCTTTCTTTCTTTCTTTCTCTTTCTCTCTTGTTTTCTTTCTTTCTTTCCTTCTTTCTTTCTTTTTTCCTTCCCTCTCTCTCTCTCTGCCTCCCTCCCTCCCTTTTCTTTCTTTCTTTCTCTCATTCATTCATTCATTCATTTTCATTCTCCTTCCTTCCTTTCTCTCTCTCTCATTCTTTTGTTTTCTTTCTTTCTTTTTTCCTTCCCTCCTCCCTCCCTCTCTCTCTGCCTCCCTCCTTTTTCTCTCTCTTTCTTTTTCTCTCATTCATTCATTCATTCATTCATTTTCATTCTCCTTCCTTCCTTCCTTTCTCTCTCTCTATTCTTTTGTTTTCTTTCTTTCCTTCCTTCCTTCTTTCTTTCTTTTTTCCTTCCCTTCTCCCTCCCTCTCTCTGCCTCTTTCCTTCCTTCCTTCCTTTCTTTTTTTCTTTCTCTCATTCATTCATTCATTTTCATTCTCCTTCCTTCCTTTCTCTCTCTCTCATTCTTTTGCTCTTCTTTCTTTCTTTCTTTCCTTCTCTCTCTCTCTCTCTTTTTTTTCTTTCTTTCTTTCTTTCTTTCTTTCTATTTCTATAGCTGCACATCTCAGCAAACGCATCTGGGAGGCTCACAATTCAAAATCTTGAGTTGCCTGGATTGGATAAACCTAATGCCATTAATGTCACAGAAAGATTCTGCAATTTGTAATATTAACTAAATGTTGGGTTCAAATATGTGCAGCAAATCAAGCTCAGGTGAATTCCATTCTTCTGTTTAGTTATACTGAACATTTTATTAAACCTTTTTCTCCAAAAATCTAAAACTTTCTGACCCTCCCAACAGGAGCTCAAAAACCTTCCCTTCGATTTACAACCTCGCCAGCAACTCCCTGAATATTCAGAATAGCAAGGTGAGACTCTTACCAGAATTTGATGAGTTTGATTGGCCAGTGATTGTAAACCTTTTTTGGCCACGGTCGTTAATCAAATCACTGCAATTCTTAAATGAATTGTGCGGTCCTTAAGCAAATCTGGTTTTCCCCATTGACTTTGGTTATCAGAAGCCGGTCAGAAAGTTTGTAAATGGTGACCCCAGGAGGCGGAGACCATCAAATAAATGCCAGTTGCCAAATTTTGATCGTGTAACCGTGGGAAAGTTGTAATGGTCATAAGTGCGAGGACAGGTTGCAAGTCATTTTCCTCAGCCCCGTCATACCTTCAAACTGCTGCTGAACTAATGGTCCTGTAAAACCTTAAGAGGCCTTCTCAATGTATAGATGCTGAGAAGAGTCATAAGTAGGAACCCCGGATGTAAATCACTTTTCTCAGCCCCCGTTGTAACTTCAAACTCTTGCTAAACCAGGAGTCGGCAACCTGCGGCTCTGGAGCTGCATGTGGCTCTTTCACTCCTCTGCTGCGGCTCCCTGTCACTCAAAATATGTGTCACAACTGCCAATGTGCAACACCCGCCAGCACGCAATTTATTAAGCTTTTCAACCCCTGGTAGGCCAACCATGAATAAATCCAAGAAAAGAAAAGTTTCAGAAGAAAACAGAACGTTTAATTCGACTACATATGCTGGTTTTGTGGCCACTCAAGAAACAGTCAGGCACGGGAAGGGTTTTGTGGCTCCCGGTGTTTTCTTTTCTGTGGGAAACAGGTCCAAATGGCTCTTTGAGTGTTGAAGGTTGCAGACTCCTGTTCTAAAGCTATGGTTGTAAGTTGAGGACTACCCCATACGAGATTACGAGGCTTTTTGTAGATGCCGAGAAGACTCTCCGGGACGCCTTAGGCCCCTTCCATTGGCTGGGAAATATTGGGGTTGCATTGCTGGGCCCCAGAGATGCCTGGTTGGGTTCAGCAGTTCTCCTTCTCCAATCCGGAGCCCTTTGGATGCCTCAAAATTAGTTCTGGCGTTTTCTGTGGGGTTTTTTTGACATTCCAGATGTTAAGGTGGGACTTGTGGCAGAGGTGCACAACAGCTACATTGGAGGTCTTCTAATCCAGCCCCCCTCTGCTAAGGCCGGAAACCCTCTGCCATTTCAGACAAGTGACTGACCAGTTTTCTTCTTTAAAAACTTCCAGTGATGAAGCACCCACAACTTCTGGAGGCAAGGAGTTCCACTGGATTAATTGTCCTCACTGTTAGGAAGTTTCTCCTTAATTCCACGTTGCTTCTCTCCTTGGTTAGTTCCCATCCGTTGCTTCTCCTCCTGCCTTCAGGAGCTTTGGAAAATAATTTGACCCCCTCTTCTTTGGGGCAGCCCCTCAAATATTGGAATGCTGCTGTTATGTTTCCCCCTTTAGTCTGTCTTTTCTCTAGATTGGCCAAACCCAAAACTTGCAGCCATCCTTTGTATGTTTTAGTCTCCAGGCTTCTTGGGAGTAGCCTGTGGAACTCATTGGGACTGAGCTGGTCCCAGCACCAAGGGATGCTAATTCAGGCTTGGAAGCCTTTGTAAAGGTTCCTACCAGCACTGATTGCATTGTTGTTCCTTCCGCAGGTGATGTCTTCCCCAAGAGATCCGAGCCATCCAGGTAATTCCCCCCTCCTCAGTTTTCAAGGAGGGGATGCATAGTTAGCAAAGAGATGATCTCCATGGGAAGAGATGTGGCCATTTGCATATTTGGAGTCTTGGAAGGAGGGGTCTTGGTCAATTCAAGCCAAGGCACACAGGGGGAGATGGAATAAGATATTTTAGGATTGCTTGGCCGCAGCTGCTCTGCCCATGTGCAGAGTGCAGTTTCCCCTCTGCTAAGCATGGGGGATCATGACGCTTTCTAGAGAGGGGGGGGCAAGGAAGGGAAGAGCCCTTTTCCTGCCAAATCGTTGCCCCCTCCCCATCTTCACTGTGGCCCCTGCTTTGCCTTGGCAGGGCCCAGCCCCACGGCCCCCGAGGAAGGCAGTCAAATCAGCATCCCGGGAATTATTCGGAAGAAACGAGATGGTGAGACGCTTCAACCGGAGGAAATCCGCTACTTCGTGCAAACTCTCGGCAGCGGCAGGTCACGGGAGGGGCAAATCGGTGAGCCTGGCAGAGGAGTTGGAGAGGGGCTGGCATGGGGACCGGGAGGGCCTGGGAGCTGCCCTACAGCTCAGACTCTTCGGCCATCAATCCCTTTGGGCCCACCAGAACCATGGTTTGCAAACGAGGGCTTCAGAGGTGGGCTTCAGCAGGTTCTGACCAGTTCTGGAGAACCGGTAGCGGAAATCTGGAGTAGTTTGGAGAACCGGTAAATACCACCTCTGTCTGGCCCCGCCCCCACCTATTCTCTGCCCCCTGAGTCCCAGATGATCGGGAGGAAATGGGGATTTTGCAATAACCTTCCCCTACCACACCCACCAAGCCACGCCCACAGGACCAGTAGTAAAAAAATTTGAATCCCACCACTGGAGGGCTTCTCTTTTAAAAAAAATCAATATCTTTAAAATTAAACAATATTTTTTTAAAAATCCAATTTAAAGAGTTAAATATTTTTAAATGAAATAATTGAATATTTTAAAAGAAATATTTTTTTAAAAATTAAATCAAATGATTAAAAATATTATGACACAGCTGTGGTTTGCAAATGAGCTCTTTTTTTTCAAAATTCAGTATTTTTAAAATTAAATATTTTTTTAAAAATGTAATTGAAGGAGTTAAATATTTTTAAATGAAATAACTGAATATTTTAAGAGAAATAATTTTAAAAAAATAAATCAAATAATTAAAAAAATTATAACACAACTGTGGCTTGCAAATGAGGGCTTCTCTCTTTTTTCACAATTCAATATCTTTAAAATTAAATAATTTTAAAAAATAAATTGAAAGAGTTTAATATTTTTAAATGAAGTAATTGAATATTTTAAAAGAAACAATTAAAAAAATTGAAATAAAATAATTTAAAAAATTATAATAGAATGTTACATATTTTGAAATGAAACACAAAAATGCTTTAAATGAATTTTTAAATGAAATCATTGAATATTTTTAAAGGACACACTTAAACGTTTTCAAGTTAAACAAATGAAGGAAATAATTAAATGTTTTTGAATTGAATAATTAAATATTTTAAGTGAAATAATTAAATATTTTAAATTAAATATTTTAACAAAAGAATGAAATATTTTTAAATTAAACATTTTAATTAAAGAATGAAATGTATTAAATCATTGCTAAAATTAATTAAATTAAATGCACGCAAGGAAAAAGCATAGACGAAACTATTAAGACGGGGAAAGAAACTGAGAGAAAAAAACCCCAAAACCTAAGAATTGATTTACAGACATATCCTTATCAATAAACTGGTGCCATGATTTATTACAGTCATCCAAAGCTCATCTATGTTTAACCAATTCTGTGAACATTTGTCCTTCCGAAGCTGACCAGTAAATCTTTTAACTCAAGACCATTTCCTTTATCCAGAAGTCCAAAGTCATTGGACTTTAATTTTACAAACAACACTTTCCCATTTAGTGGGCTTAGCCACAGTTAAACCACGATTTAGCCGTCTTGATTTGCAGCCATGAGGCCTCTCCTTTTTCCAGTCGGGACCCCCACTCACCCCTCTCCTCTCTTCTTCCAGGGGCCATGCTGATGGCCATCCGTTGGAGAGGCATGGAGCTGTCCGAGACGCTGGTGCTGACCCGGGAAATCGCCGCTTCGGGGACCACCTTGGAGTGGCCGGCCCAGTGGCGAGGGCTGCTGGTGGACAAGCACTCCACGGGGGGCGTGGGGGACAAAGTCAGCCTCCCCCTGGCTCCCGCGTTGGCGGCCTGTGGCTGCAAGGTATGTCAGGACAGCCAGATGCCCTCTTGATGGCTCACATCTGGCTTTGCTGCCAGCTGGCTGTGAATCCTGGTTCTCTTAACGTCTGAATGTGGGCTGGGTACTCTGCAAATCCAGGTTCCCTGGATTTCTTCTCATCTTTCCTATTACCTATCTCCTTTTCTACTTACGATATAAATCGTAGAGATATGAGCAACAAAGTCATAACTTTGTTGCTTGTATTTTTACGATTTATATTGTTTTATTTAATTTCCTAGTATGATTTATGTTGATTGCTTATTTAGTATCCTATGACTATCACTGTTGTATCTTATGATTTATGATGAATGTATTTTAATGAGGACTGTCAAGGATATTGTTGTTGTGTTACCAACCAGCAGAGTGTAGAGCACAAAGAAACGTTGCTGAGAGCAATGAATAAGAGATGTGCAAACTGGTTTATCAAAAGTTTACTTTGTAGTGAAAAAACAATCTCATAGTCTTTAAATCAATCCAAGTCTTTGCCAGTTAAATCAGTCCAGTGATACAAAATCTTCTTACGACACAAACAGTAGTTGGTTAGAATAACAAACTCACTCTGGTTCACAAACCACGATGGTAGCAGATCCATCCAACAATGATAGCACAATGGTAGCAACTCCACACACTATGGTAGCATATCATCGTTGGATGGAATTATGGGAGTTGAAATCCACCCGTCTTCACATCTGCTGTTTGGGGGATTATGGGAGTTGAAGTCCACCCATCTTCAAACTACCAAGATTATTGAGCACTGCTTTAAAGCTTGGGATGCCTGCTCTTTGCTTTCCCTGGGCAGAATCTGAAATGAAAAAACCCCAAGAAGGGACATTAATGCTGCAGAATTGGGGATGGGTGGAGTTTTCTTAAAATCTGATATTTAGGATTTGGGTCAAGCACTGAAACTTAAACCCCTCTCTTAGTGCTTCTCCAATGCACAAAATGAACGTCAGCAACTGGATCACAGACTTGGGTGGGAGGACTTCCTCTGCCCAGGAACGGGGAACGATGCTCCTTCTTCTTCTTACGAGCTGATCCCAGAGGCCTTTTTGCCTCCTCCACCACATACCACAAAGACCAGCTGGCCGGCATGCCAGAACCTGGAAGAACAATGGGCCATGGCTGGTGTGCCATAGGTTTACCATCATGGGTATACAGTATACTCTATGCTCTTCTGTTCTAAGTAGAGTTTCCTTTTTCTTGCTACAGTTAAAAATAGTTAAGCAGTAAAGCACATGGTGACTGTACTCTTTGTTTGTTCTGTGGTGTTATATATAAACAGAATTTCTAACACAGTTAACCCTTGGTGCCTCTTTCTCCTGAGCAGGTGCCCATGATCAGTGGCCGGGGACTGGGCCATACTGGAGGCACGCTGGACAAGTTGGAATCCGTGCCAGGCTTCCGTGTTTCCCAGAGCCCAGAGCAGGTGAGGAGACCGATGTGTTTCATGACCCAACTAGATAAAAGCATCAGTGTTAGAAGGGAGTGGGGCTTGTCCTGTCACTGTGGCTGAGGGTGTTACTGTTTTCTTGGCAGTTCCTTAACAGGGCAAAACAACTTGTACAGAGAGCAAATCCCTAGTTTTCCCTAATTGGATTATGAAATGTCTGCAAGAAAATAACCAAGAACCCCAGTGTCTCAGTGCCCCGGTCCTCCTCCTCCTCCTCCTCCTCCTCCTCCTCCTCCTCCTCCACCCCTCCTCCTCCTCCTCCACCACCCTCCCTACCCACTAGCACTGAAAATGTTCCCTAGTTGGGTCATGAAATATCTGAAGCAAGCAGCCAAACTCAGAGATCACCAATGACCATAAAATCTCCCTCCTTCTCCTCCTCTTTCTCCTCTCCCTCCTCCCCCCTCTTCCACAATCCCCCTCCTTTCTAGCACTGATGATGTTCCCTAGTTGGGTCATGAAACGTCTTGCAAGCAAACAGCCAAACTCAGAGAGCACCAAGGACCTCTCACAGTCGACCTCCCTCTCCTCTTCTCCCTCCTCCCCCTCTTCTCACAACCCCCCCTCCCCTATAGCACTGATAATGTTCCCTACTTGGGTCACAAAACGTCTGCAGGGAAACCCACCAAGCTCAGAGAGCATCAAGGACCCTACAGTTCAACCCTGAGCTACAAATATTTTCTCCTATGCGTTTCCTTCGATTAGATCCAAAAGGGACCGGTGTGTTTGTGGTTTAGGGCGTTGTGAGAACTTGGGCTGAGGTTCTCCCTCACTCAAGCCTTGCCTGGGCAATGAAGGAAGAATGAGGCCAGAATCCTACTTCTTGGACCTCAAACGATGGGCTTTTTTCCTCCCACAGATGAAAGAGATCCTGGAGAAAGTCGGTTGCTGCATTGTGGAGCAAAGCCAACATCTGGTCCCAGCCGACAAAGTCCTCTATGCCCTGAGAGATGTCACTGCCACGGTAGACAGTCTGCCCCTCATCATCAGTAGGTCCTCTAACGCTGGACGGACTCATGGCCGGCACTGAATTCCGGCAGGATTTCTCCACCCCCTTTCAAGTTTTTTATTTTATATTATTTATACCTATCAATACATGAATAGTGTGATGCCTGGGTATCAAACATTTCAATACAAATAGACCTAATATTCATAGTTATTACATTTTGTTTCCATTGTTGCATTTTATTTAAACATACCTAATACTACTGCCCTTCAATTTCTAAACCTCCCTCTTATTATTACATATATCTTGTTATATTAATATATATGTGTGTGTGTGTTTTCTGAGGTTTTCGTGGGTGTTTGTATGTAGGTCTTTGGTTATTCGGGTTTTCTCCCGCGTAAAATTGGAAGTGTCTTGGCTATATATATATATAGTATATATATCTATTTTCTTACTTTTCGTAGGTTTTATGTGTGTGGTTTTTTTTTAGCCAGGTTTTTCCTACGTAGCCAAGATTTTTCTACAGCCCTAGCTCAGTGGAGTCACATCCACTCGATTCTGGGCTTTTTTCTTCTGGTAGTATATATACTAGTATATATACTATTATTCCGCTCTTATTTTTATCTCTATTCTAACTTTTTTTCCCCATGTCATCGTAATATTCAAAGGCGTTTCTTTTCTATCTTCCACCTTTCACCTGCTTCGTTATTCATAGTTCCCTTATTTAGCTCTTCACATCTATTTATATTAAAGTTTCATCCTTCCTTCTTTCATTATTCAGTGTTTCAATGTACCACATCACAATCATTTAAACATATACATCTATTCATGTTCTTTCCAATCATCCAATCCGTGTGATTTTACTGTTAATACACATGTTTACATTCAAATGTATTCTTTCATTATCTGATCACCCATTGTTTAATTTTATCATTTCACTGCCGATCATAATATTTTTATGCCTATTTAATGATACCATCATTCCATGATTTCTCAGCCCCAATGCATCAAAATGTTGGCCTTTCTAGTCTGCGGGACAGCCTGGTCAGAGTATTTTAAAGATACAAACACAACTGAGCCCAGCATTTCTGTTGCTAAGTGAGACGTTTCTTAAGTGGGCTTGGTCCCATCTTACAATCTGTCTTTCCACTGTCGTTAAGTGAATCATAGCAGTTCTGTTGGGAACAAGGTTGTTCAGTGAATCCGGCTTCCCCGTATTGACTCTGCTAGTCAGAAGTTCGTAAAAGGGGATTGCGTGACCCCGGGATACTACAACCGTCATAAATAGGAGCCAGTTTGGGTTCAACTGTGGACGTAAGTCAAGACTACCTGTACAGAGAGTCCTCGATTTACAACAGTTCGCTTAGTAACAGTTCAAAGTTATAACAGCACTGGAAAAAGTGACTTATGACCATTTTTTACAATTATGGTCGTAAGTGCAGTATCCCCAGGGTCACGTGATTTACATTCGGATGCTTGACAACTGGCTCACATTTATGACGGGTTGCTGTGTCCCGGGGGAATGGTCACACGATCCCCACTTGTACCCTTCTGAGAAGCCGAGTCCATGAGGAAGCCAGATTCGCTTAACAACCAGGTTACTCAGTTAACAACTGCAATGATTTACATGCCAAACGGGGCAAAAAAAGTCGTAAAATGGGGCAAAGCTCACTTAACATGTGTCTCACTTAGCAATGGAAATGTTGGGCTCAATTGTGGTCGTAAATCGAGGACTACCTGTACTTCACAGAAAGAATAGTGGGAGCTTGGAACCGACTTTTTCTTTTAACGACCCCATAATCCCTTGCGGAGTGGAGACTGGGCAACCGAATGGAGCTGGGTGTTTTATTGGCCGGATGCCCTTCCTGTCCCCAATGAGGAGTTTTCTTTTCAGCAGATCTATTCTCATTGTGCCCAGAGAAAGAAATATCTGCCTCTACCTAGGATCGAACTCACAGCCTCCTGATGGTGAAGCGAGAGCTCCATCTCTAGGCCACCGCACCAGTCTCATATCTATCATCTGCCAAACATAAAAATAAAATATAAAAATGTTAATTAAAAAATAAGAAATAAATTAAAAACAAAACTAAAAAAATAAATAAAGGGCAGACTCGATGGGCCACGAGGTCATTTTCTGTCTTCAGCTTTCTATGTTTTGTGTACCAGGTCTCAGCGGCTCCTTTCTTGGCTCTTAGGTTCCATCCTGAGCAAGAAGGTGGTGGAGAAGGTTTCCGCTCTGGTGCTGGATGTCAAATTTGGCAGTGCCGCCTTGTACCATACTCTGGAGAGCGCTGAGCAGCTCGCCCAAAACCTGGTAAAACCGAAGCTGCCCCATCCGGCGTCTTTGGGGGGTTGGGGGCCGGATGATGGCGATGGTTAGCATGACAGAGGGGTGGGTTTCCTTCTCCCCAATGTTGTCCTTGGAGATGAAGACCATCTCTTCCATCTGAGGAGCCACCTTTGCAAGGATGAAGCTCAACCCCTTGGGACAGAAGTGTTGTGTTGGCCGCTGGCTCCTCCAGCAGCCGAGTCAGAGGAGGAGGAGGAGGCAAGGGAGTCTGGGTCCGCATCAAGGCAACATGGGAGCTCCGAGGGGGAAGAGGGAATGGACCTGTCAGAGAGAGAGAGACAGAGGAGGAGCCTGGGCCGTCTGTCAGCCCTCAGGTGGAGGGTCAACAGCCCCCAGGTCTGGAGGTGGCTGATGAGGAAGAGGAGGAACAGTTGGGTCCAGTGCTTGATGCTCAGAAGGCAGAGGAGAGGAGAGCAGTGGAAATCTATGGGCCGGTCCTCGGGACGGAAGAGCCACCGCTGCTAGCGAAGCCCCACCCTAATTCTGGGGATAAAAGGCAGGGAGCAGAGATGAATAGATGTGGCGGACAACTATCCATCTTCCGGATGGACAGACTTGTTAACTTGAGAAAGAAACTTTTTGCCGGGGCTGCTGGTGCTCCAAATAAAGGTGTCAGACTTTGATGCTATCTCAAAATAAATGAATTTCCAAACTGCCAATCTTTAAGGAAATCTTTTCTTTAATTGAGCACAGCCACTGGATCATGACTCGATGCGGACAAGACTGACCTTTTGCCCCCCAATCCCTCCCTTTCCGATCCCCAAATCTCTGCTTCTCATTGGCTATCTTCCAAGTCATTCTTCAGACTCCTTGTCTCGTCATTTCCCAGGAATGTCTCCCCCCTTCATTTCCACGATAACCGGACATCAAAGGGACTTAGCAGGCAGAAGTTCAGAGCTTATCTCTCTCTCTCTCTCTCTCTGCTCTCTATGCCAGCGTCGAAACGCTGACATCAGGAACCTTTTGAGTTGACTTCAGAGGGTTTGTCGTGTTTGGGGAGCTGGCTCAGAACAAGAAGTCTTTAGAAGCAGCTGGTGACATCGTCCCCTCTGACGTTTTTGTGGGTGCTCCATCACTAGAGACTTTCAAAAAAAGAGACCGGACAAATATGGAAATTCTCAGTCATCCAGGTCAGAGCTGAAGAAGCTTCTTGGATGTGAAGCGAAACGTCTTCAAAGAAAAACCAGAAAATCCAGACTGGACAACCATTTTGCTGAAATGGTAGAGGGCCTCCTGCTCGAGCAGGGGATGTAGAACATAGAGTAATAATAGAATCGGAAGGGGCCTTGGAGGTCTTCTAGTCCAACCCCCTGCTCAAACAGGAGGCCCTATATCATTTCAGACAAATGATTGTCCAGTCTCTTTTTGAAAGCCTTCAGGGATGGAGAGCCCACATCTTCTGACTAAAAGACTAGAAGACCTCCGAGGTCCCTTCTGACTCTGTCCTTAGATCAGAGGTCTTCAAACTTGGCAGCTTTAAGACTTGTGGACTTCAACTCCCAGCACAGCTGGCTGGAGAATTCTGGGAGTTGAAGTCCACAAGTCTTAAAGCTGCCAAGTTTGAAGACCTCTGCCTTAGATGTTCTCCTGAACAGTTGTGGAACTCTTGAGAAATGATGGAGGTAGACTGATGATGTCAAGCCAGATAAATGGCTCTCCTCCAACGCTAAATTTTTAGCCGCCTCCAACTTGTAATCTTCCAGATGAGTTAGATTTCAGCACCCATAATCCTTAGCCAACCAAAGCAGCTAGGGAAATCTAGGTTAGAACATAGAATAATAGGGTTGGAAGAGACCTTGGAGGTCTTCTAGTCCAACCCTCTGCCCGTGGCAGGAGATCCTATACCATCCTGGACTTTTCTTTGGGCTTGATGGGACCAATACATGTGATCATAGAAAGAATAATAGAATTGGAAGGGACCCTGGAGGTCCTCCAGTCCAACCTCCCCACTCACCCAAGCAGGAGATCTGAAGGTTGTCTGAAGGGCTGTAGGATGAAGAAGGAACCCAAAAATTCCCTCATGATTTTGGACACCTCTTAACTCAGGCCACCCGAACGGTTGAGTCCAATCTGCAGATCAGAAGAAGTTTAGAAGATGTACAACGCAAGAGGGCCATCTAGAAGGTCCATTCATTTACCTTCTTGCAGAAGCTTCCATAAAGATCTGGGACTACTTCCCCCAACTAAGGGTGGAGAAATCTCACCTTTTCCCACCTGTTCTCTCCATCTTCCCCAGGTGTCCGTCGGAAACCAGCTCGGGACGAAAACAGCGGCAATTCTGAGCAGGATGGATGAGCCCGTGGGTGTCCGGGTGGGCAACTCCTTGGAAGTCCTCGAAGCCTTGCAGTGCCTGGAAGGAGGTGGCCCCGGGGACCTCCGTGAGCTGGTCACCACACTAGGTGCGTCTCAGTGATGGCACCTTGATGGTGCACCTCAAGCATATACGGAAGGCGGGTGAGGAAGGTTTTGGGTGGGGAGGTCAGCCCCACCAGGTAGATCAGAGCACGAAATCAACTTCCCAAGAAGGCAAAATCTACTTCGACGGAGATGGCTGAGCGAACAACCTCTTGCAAGTTGGATTATGATGTTCCTCTTCCCCTACTTATACCCATGTGAGTTAGGGAGGTGTCTATCTGACCACTTCCGACTTAAGCCACATCGTTCTCCTTGGAAGCAGAACTGGCCTGTCTCTGTCGAGGTCACCTTCCTCACTCTCCACCCCATGCATGGAGGTGTCAAGAAAGGGACCTTCTATTATGTGGCCAATTGAACCAATCAGCATTCTGGGGACAAAGCAGGTCCCATTTGGGGAATGAATTCTGTGGAAACCTGTACACCAGCTTTCCCCAGTGTGGTGCCTGCCAGATGTGTAGGATGTGGCAGTGTGTAGGAAAGGAAGCTTTGACTCTCTCTCTCTTTTTTAATGTATGCTTTCTCCTCCTTTACCTTCTCTATCACCACTACTATCATTTCTCTTTTCTCCTTCTCCATCTTTTCCTTCTTCTCCTTCTTCTTCTCCTCCTCCTCCTTCTCCATCTCCTTTTCCTTCTCTCTTCTCCTTCCCCTTCCTTTTTTCTCTCCTTCGTTCCCTCTCCTCCTTCTCCATTGTCCCTTTCTCTATCTTCTCTGCTTTTCCTCCTCCTCTTTCTCCATCTCCATCTTCTTCTCCTGTTCCTTCTCCTTCTCCTCCTTCTCTCATCTCTCTTCTTCTTCCTGTTTTCTCTCCTTCATTCCCTCTCCTCCTTCTCCATCGTCCCTTTCTCTATCTTCTCTGCTTTTCCTCCTCCTCCTCCTCCATCTCCATCTTCTTCTCCTGTTCCTTCTCCTTCTTCTCCTTCTCTCATCTCTCTTCTCCTTCCTTTTTTCTCTCCTTCGTTCCCTCTCCTCCTTCTCTATTGTCCCTTTCTCCATCTTCTCTGCTTTTCCTCCTCTTCCTCCTCCATCTCCATCTTCTTCTCCTGTTCCTTCTTCTCCTTCTCTCATCTCTCTTTTCCTTCCTTTTTTCTCTCCTTCATTCCCTCTCCTCCTTCTCTATTGTCCCTTTCTCCATCTTCTCTTTTCCTCCTCCTCTTCTTCCATCTCCATCTTCTTCTCCTGTTCCTTCTCCTCCTTCTCCTTCTCTCATCTCTCTTCTCCTTCCTTTTTTCTCCCCTTCATTCCTTCTCCTCCTTCTCTTTTGTCCCTTTCTCCATCTTCTCTTTTCCTCCTCCTCTTCCTCCTCCTCCTCCTCCAGCTCTACAATTTGCATACAAGCCACCAGGAGGGGATAAGCCCCGTGGAAACATTTCTGCAGTGACATTGTGATATATATGACCCCCTAACCCCCTATCTCCCTACCTCCCTACCTCCATTCCTACCTCTACGGATGCCTCTGCAGCCCTTCGCAGCAGAACACCGAGATAGGCAGACGGATTGGCAAATAGACCTTAAGATTGCGTTCCTCCTTTGCCTACCAACACACATGACATCAAGGCCTACCGTATTACTTACTTTTTCGAGAGGGTGAAAAAAACACACTCCAGGAGCGGTGAAACTCCTTCCCAGTCCAAACTGGTGGGCAGTATGTCCAAGCAGATCCTTGACCGTGGGGATAATTGAATAAGTACCGTATTTTTTGGACTATAAGACGCACCGGTGTCTAAGACACACCAAGATTTCGGAGAGGTAAGTAAGGAAAAAATAGTGTTTGCCCTCCCTGGTCCCCAGGAGCACTCTGCAGGCCTCCCAAACTCTCTGTGTGCCCCATTTTTGCGAAAACCAGCCCATTTTTTGCAAAAATGGGATGAACGGGACAGGGCTTCGGGATGGCTGTATTCGGTGTATAAGACGCACCAACATTTCCACCCTCTTTTAGGGGGGAAAAAAGTGTGTCTTATACTCCCAAAAATAGGGTACCTACCTGGAAAAGAGGGTTGGGCTAAATGACCTCAAGGGCCCCTCTTGACCCTTGCAGTCTACCATCTACGCTCCCCCAGTCCCTGCATGGCTGAGCCCCCCTCCCCTTTCTAAATGCTCCCTCTGGGCTCCGTGGACCAGGCCAACTGACTGGCTTCTCTCTCTCTCACTCCAGGGGGCATCTTGCTGTGGCAGAGCGGGCGCGCCGACTCTGTGCCCGCAGGGGCCACCCAGATCGGCCAAGTCCTGAGCAACGGCGCTGCCCTGCGCACTTTCCAGGCCATGCTGCGGGCTCAAGGGGTGGAGGCCGAGGTGTCCCGCCTGCTGTGCGAAGGGACGGAGGAGCAGCGTTTGGCAGTGCTGAAACAGGCTGGCACCCAGGAGGAACTGGGGGCTCCAGAAGAAGGTATGGAGTGGGCGGGAGAGGGGGCGCTGCAAATCTCTCTCCTTCCCCCCACCTCCTTCCAGCCCTTTCCTGCAGAGGCTCCTGGGCAGGGCTGCTGGGCAGAGGAAAGATGGATGATGGGTGTTTAGAAATGCAGGTAGTCCTTGACTTACGACCAAAATGGAGCCCCCAAATTCCCTTGCTAAGCAAGACAGTTGATAAGTGAGTTTTCCTCCGTTTTACGACCTCTCTTGACACAGTTGTTAAGCGAATCACTGCAGTTATTTGGTAAGTGACCTGGTTGTTAAGTGAATCTGGCTTCCCCATGGACTTCACCTGTCAGAAGATCACCAGGAGACGGTGAGTTCTAGTCCCACCTTAGGAATGAAAGCTGCTGACTGACTTTGGGCCAGTCGTTCTGCCTCAGCCCAACTCACCTCACAGGGTTGTTGTGTGTGTGTGTGTGGGTGGGGAAATAGGAGGAGAAAGTAGTCTTAGATATGTCTGCTGCCTTGAGATACTTATACAGCAATAAAGGGGAAGGAAGGAAGGAAGGAAGGAAGGAAGGAAGGAAGGAAGGAAGGAAGGAAGGAAGGAAGGAGATAAATAGATGATAGATAGATAGATAGATAGATAGATAGATAGATAGATAGATAGATGATAGATAGATAGATAAGGAAGAAAAAGAAGGAAGAAAGGAGAAAGGAAGGAAGGAGATAAATAAATGATAGATAGATAGATAGATAGATAGATAGATAGATAGATAGATAGATAGATAGATAGATAGATAGAGAAGGAAGAAAAAGAAGGAAGGAAGGAGAGAGAAAGGAAGGAGTGAAAGGAAAGAAAGAAAGAGTCCATAACAACAGGGAACATAATAGGCCCAGATGTTCTCCATCCGAAGATGCTCTGAAGGAAACAGGAGCTGCACAAAATACGGAGTCCCTTTCAGGGACTGGAGGGGGGGGTGTTGTCCCTCCCCCTCCCAGAGTGGAGGGGGCACCCAGTCTGCCCGTCTTCTCTTCCTGCAGGGACCGTGCAGCAGATCCAGGCTCTGCCCATCGCGCAGGTGCTGCATGGCTTGGGAGCTGGGCGGACCCAGGAGGGGCAGAGGGTCAACCCCCGAGTGGGCGCGGAGCTGCTGGTCTCCACGGGGAAGCGAGTGGCCAAAGGTAATAATGGCTGCGGATCCCACGGTGCCCAGAGGGTGGTGGGCAATGCCAGGGAGGCGTTCGACCAATCAGAAAGGGGGCCCAGGTAGCTGCAGGTGCAGTCCCCTCCCCCAAGCCAGAGGAGGGGAAGGGGGAAAACTAGGGAATCCTTGGGGGTCTATGGGAAGGTTTGTTGTTTCACAGACGTTTCGTGACCCAACTAGATAGCATCATCAGTGCCTGAAGGGGGTGGGAGGAGGAGGAGGAGGACTGTGGGCTCCTTGGTGCTCTCTGAATTTTCTTCCAGACGTTTCGTGACCCAACGAGAGAGCATCATCAGTGCTAGAAGGAAATGGGATTCATTGCTCTCTCTCTCTCTCCCTTTTCCTTCCAGGAACTCCATGGATCCGAATCCACTACGATACCCCCAGGCTGAGCCAGACCCACCGAGAAACCCTACAGAAGGCCCTGATTCTGGGGGACCTGGAGCCCTTCACCCCTGCCTCCAAGGTGGTGAAAATACTCCTTCCTACCAAAGAGCCAGCAAGGACTGGGTCACAGGGGGAGAGGAAGGGGAGAGAGCAGGCCCTGGACCAGCCAGAAGGAGGAGGGTTTCAAGAAGAGGCTGGACAGCCACTTGTCTGAAATGGTCTAGGACAGTGCTTCTCAACCTTGGATGCTTGAAGATGGGTGGACTTCAACTCCCAGAATCCCCCAGCCAGCAGCGCTGGCTGGGGGATTCTGGGAGTTGAAGTCCACCCATCTTCAAGCGTCCAAGGTTGAGAAACACTGGTCTAGGGTCTCCTGCTTGAGCAGTGGGCTGGACTAGAAGACCTCCAAGGTCCCTTCCAGCTTTGTTCAGATATTCTGGCTATGGGCACTTTAAGCGCTGTCAACACCACTTCAGCCAACTGGTGCTAACTGATTCAATAATTCAGACCGTAACAAAAACATTCTAACTTATATGTATAGGTAGACCTCCACCGATGGCCACAATAGAGCCCAAAATTTATCTTGCTCAGCAAGACATTTGTTAAGTGCGCTTTGTCCCATTTTACGACCTTCCTTGCCACAGTCGTTAAGGGAATCACTGCAGTCGTTAAATGAATGACGCGGTTGTTAAGTGAATCTGGCTTCTCCGTTAGCTTTGCCAGAAGGTCCCAAATTTTTCTCCCCTTTCTTTTAAATTTTTTAAACTGAAATTTTAATTTGTTTTAAATTATTGGGATTTTAATTATCGCGGGCTAAATTATTTAATTTGGTTTTAAATTGTTTCTAACTTTTGTGTTTCTGTATTTTATCCTGTGCCTGTTCACAGCCCTGAGTCCTTCGGGAGTAGGGCGGTATACAAATTTCATTAAAAAAAAACAACAAAAAAAACGCAGGTCACGTGACCTCGGGACACGGCAACCGTCATAAATGTGAGTCAGTTGCCAAGCTTTTTGGATAACAGGATCATGGGGATGCTGCAGTGCAGGGGTGAAATCCAGCTGGTTGTGACGGGTTCTGGAGAACCGGTAGCGGAAATTTTGAGCAGTTCGAGAACTGGCAAATACCACCTCTGGCTGGCCCTAGAGTGGGGTGGGAATGGAGATTTTGCAGTATCCTTCCCCCAGGAGTGGGAATGGGGATTTTGCAATATCCTTCCCCTGCCACGCCCACCAAATGATGCCCACTAAGCCATGCCACACCCACCAAGCCACACCGACAGAACTGGTAGTAAGAAAAATTGGATTTCACCGCAGTGGTCATAAGTGTGAAAAATGGTGATAGGTCACTATTTTCAGTGCCGTTGTAGCTTTGGACGGTCACTAAATGAACTGTTGTTAAATCATTCAAATTTCAAATTGGTGTACTGTAACTTGAAACTCTGCAACCTCTCAAGTTTGCTAACCACAAGCAAAATTGGGAGCGGCAATCCTAAAAAAAAAAAAAAAAAACAACCAGAAGTCCATGAGAAGGTAAATAAATAGACATCAACGGTCACCGTGAAATATTTTAAATTTCTCAGACGCTGCAAGAGTGGGAAAAAAAAACAAACCAGCATTCGGGAGATATAAAACAACCGCATAAAAGAACGAAAATCGAAGGGATGGGAAGCATTTGATACAGGCGTTTCATTTCTTTGAAGAAGCAGCGGTATCTTTTGGGCATTTTCGTCCACAGAGGCGTTTCCCAAGGTCAAACTGGGTTACCTTTTTGGGAGGTACCCTTTTGGGAGGGGAACCTTTATTGCAAAATGGGGGTGGGGGAGGACATTTTGGGGGTGCCCGTGGACGGTTTCAAAGCACAACTTTCTTGCACAGACAGCTGATCTCCTCGCTGCAGATGTTGCTGATTGCTTTTCCGTTGCTAATCGCCACGCAACATTCAGTGGGGAAACAAGGCATCTTTATATGGATGGGTCTGCCAAGGGATTTAAAATAAATAAATAAAATAAAATAGCAAGAGTTACTGATCAAAAAAACGTAATGTCTCGTTGCAGGCAGTCCTCGGCTTACGACCGTTCGCAGTTACAAAGGCACTAATAAAAGTGATCGCCACAGATGATAAATTAGTAATCTGGTTGTTAAGTGAATCCAGCTTCCCACCCCCCCTCGGGACGCTGCAACTGTCATAAATACGAGTTAGTCGCTGCATTGGCCGTAAGCGTGAAAAACGGTCCTAAGTCAGCGTTTTTCCAGTCCCCTTGTAACTTGGAACGGGTTACGAAACGAACTGTTATAAGCCGAGGCCTGCCTTCCAGGTGTGTTCCCACCAACCTGTTGTGGGCTGTTGTGTAAAGCAGGATTTTTGTGTCCATTCTGGAGTCAGAGGGAGGCAGCAATTCTCCCGACTTTTTTAAAAGATTCAAAAACATTTTAAAAGATGTTTTAAAGCAGGGGTCTCCAACTTCGGCCACTTGAAGACTCGTGGACTTCAACTCCCAGAATTCCTCAGCCAGCAAAGCTGGCTGAGGAATTCTGGGAATTGAAGTCCACGAGTCTTCAAGTGGCCGAAGTTGGAGACCCCTGCTTTTAAAGTTTAAAGAAAGGAAACCCCCCGACAACTCCGCCTTTTGTGCCCCCCACCCCAGCCCCCCAGCCCTGGGGGAAGAGGTGACCCTCACATCCGGATGTGCATGAGTTCTCCATCTGCCCAATACCAGGTCTTCTGAGACAGGTTGAAGGACAAACCGATCCAGATCTTCTGTGGGACGTGTTTATGATCAACCATGGTGACCCATTTGCGGGACTCCCGGAGCAGGAATTCCTACGAGGAAAATGGTGGGTTGGATTCTGGCCAAAGCCCAGGAAACGAGGGGAAAATTCAGGGATGTCCAGAGGAATCGCCACCAACATCTGGACCCTCAAGGACAGAGGTCACCAAGCATCTCAGCAATGTCCACCCCTTCAAGCGGAGAAATACGGGAGTAGGATTCACATCTTGATAACAGAAGACTCTTAAAGTGTCTACGGAGAGAAATCCCAGAGACTTCGCTTCTATAAAAGAATCACAGAGTTGAAAGGGACCTGGGAGTTCTTCTAGATAGATAGATTGGATGGATGGATGGATGGATGGATGGATGGATGGATGGATAGATGGATAGATAATGGATGGATAGATAATAGATGGATAATGGATGGATGGATAGATGGATAGATAATGGATGGATAGATAATAGATGGATAATGGATGGATGGATAGATGGATAGATAATGGATGGATAGATAATAGATGGATAATGGATGGATGGATAGATGGATAGATAATGGATAGATAGATGGATAGATGGATAGATAATGGATGGATAGATAATAGATGGATAATGGATGGATGGATAGATGGATAGATAATGGATGGATAGATGGATAGATGGATAGATAATGGATGGATGGATAATGGATGGATGGATAATGGATGGATAGATGGATAGATAATGGATGGATAGATAATAGATGGATAATGGATGGATGGATAGATGGATAGATAATGGATGGATAGATGGATAGATGGATAGATAATGGATGGATGGATAATGGATGGATGGATAATGGATGGATAGATGGATAGATAATGGATGGATAGATAATAGATGGATAATGGATGGATGGATAGATGGATAGATAATGGATAGATAGATGGATAGATGGATCGATAAATAATGATGGATGGATGGAGATGAGAGAAGAAGAGAGAGAGGGAGATAGGATTCCATTTCCAGGAACAAGCAGCCCTTCCCCCGTCTGTCCGTCCATCCATCCATCCGCCCGCCCACCTACTCACCTTCAATTGCTGTAATGGCAGGAATGCTCACCATTTCCCCTTCCGTGTCTGCCATGAGCAGGCTGCCTCCCCGGCTCTTGCATTTCTCCATGCACATTCCCCAGGGCATCAAGACATCCGTCCGTCTGTAGCAGGTCCCTGCCCGTTGCAGCCAGGTGTGGTTGCGACAGAGTATACAATGCTGACCTAGAGAGAGAGAGAGAGGTGGGGTGGGAGGCCAAGGGGAGTGGAAAAAGCATAGGAACCCCCCCGCACACATGCTCGCTCATCCAGTTCTTCTCTCTTGGCACACACCCCTTTTCAGAACTGGGGTGGAGGAAGGCTGAGTTGATGGCCAAAAGGAATGGCTGAGGATGTGGAAATTGATCCAACTGGGAAGGTGGGGAAATCTGTCACAAATGATGATTTCTCTACCTCTCCTATAAGATCTCTCTTCTAATGCACTCTTGATGATGCAGCCATTACCCACATTCTAGGGGTTTTGGGTGTCGATCCTGACTCTGGGGTCCTTGGTACATTCTGAGCTTGGCTGTTTGCTGCAGACATTTCATTACCTAACTAGGTAGTATCATCAATGCTAGAAGGGACTGGGGTTGCTGAAAGGAGGAGGAGGAGGAGGAGGAGGAGGAGGAGGAGGAGGAGGAGGAGGAGGAGGAGGAGGAGGAGGAGAAGAAGAAGAAGAAGAAGAAGAAGAAGAAGAAGAAGAAGAAGAAGAAGAAGAAGAAGAAGAAGAAGAAGAAGAAGAAGAAGAAGTGGAGGAGGAGGAGAGGAAGAGGAAGGAGAAGAGGAGGGGGAGAGGGAGGAGGACTTTACAGCCTTAGCTCTATTCCGTTCTATTTTTGGAGCCAGGAGAAGCAAGCCTGGAGGAGACACTTACCCTGGTCTCCTGCCAACAGTTTGATAGCATCATTCAACCTTTTCTCCCTGGTCCTCATCTGCAAAGTTTGGTCATTTAATGTCTCAGCCTTCTGGATATCTGAAAGAAAGGAGAAACCAACCAGAGACTGTGGTGCAGAAGGAGGTTCTCCTTCAACCTTTCCCAGGACGGTGGTGGACAGAGGTCACTCCCACCAACTTGCGAAGCTCAGGCCAGAAAGTCAGATCTGAAGGGCGGCCACCACCCTCTGTCCCAGGGAATCTCAGCCTCATATTTGGATGCTGGTCCGAAAGTGATGGCAGCAGAAACTCAGCCTGGGAGCAGAAGAGAAAGAGAAGCCGACCAGGTGAGGCAGTGGGACCTCGCCACCATCAACACCGTGGCCTTCTAAAGCAGTGGGTGGGCTCCAACTCCAATACCACCAGGGCCTTCTAAAGCAGTGAACCTTGGCAGCTTTCAGATGGGTAGACTCCAACTCCCAGAGTCCACCCATCTGAAGCCTCTAAATTGAAAGATATTGTTCTAAAGCTACCACCTCTGGTTTAGCTACTTCTTCATCCTTCTAGACCAGATTCTTCTTCTTCTTCTTCTTCTTCTTCTTCTTCTTCTTCTTCTTCTTCTTCTTCTTCTTCTTCTTCTTCTTCTTCTTCTTCTTCTCCTTCTTCTTCTTCTTCTTCTTCTTCTTCTTCTTCTCCTCCTCCTCCTCCTCCTCCTCCTCCTCCTCCTCCTTCTTCTTCTTCTTCTTCTTCTTCTTCTTCTTCTTCTTCTTCTTCTTCTTCTTCTTCTTCTTCTTCTTCTTCTTCTTCTTCTCCTTCTCCTTCTCCTTCTCCTTCTCCTTCCTAACAGCCTTCCAAATCCTACCCATTGGTCTATGGGTCCAGCTCTTTCTTTGGTTGACCTCCCTTGCTTCCTTGGTCCTGGATGTGCCCATCAGGTGTCCAACACTGTGTAAGGGAGTCATCCTTTTTTTTTTTTTTTTAATTTGATTTATATGCCGCCCTTCTCCGGAGACTCAGGGCAGCTTACAATGTGCTAAGCAATAGCCTTACACCCTTACACCCCAATATTGTACAGAGAGTCACGGAAAGTATTCCAAGCCAATTTGTCTGCTGGGACAATTATGACCGTAGATGGAGGAACAGCTGGACCTTTCTTGATGAAGTTTAGCTTCGATGTTCTCCAGAGATGTTGGACAGCACTCCCCCCCACACCCCCAGCCATCCAATCCCAGCAGTCAAGGATTATGGGAGGGATTGCTCAATCCTTCTGCAGGTTCTCCTGCCATTCTACCTTCAGAGAAACCACTTGAAAGAAGAAGAGGTCCAGGAGGGTGAGATTGGAAGGCTGGGAGAAGCAGAGATACTTACAAGTGTTAAGGTAACTCATCAGCACGAAGAACAAACTCAGAGCGACCGCCGCTAAGAAAATGGCAAGTAATTGTGCCCAGCTGGTTATGCCAAGGAATTCTGGTGGAAAACAAAGGACAAATGCCATCACTGACAGAAGAAAATATTTGTAGCTCAGGTGAGGTCTTTGGTGCTCTCTGAGCATGGTTGTTTTCTTGCAGACGTTTCATGACCCAACTAGGGAACTTCATTAGTGCTACAGGGGAATAGGGTTTGCAGGGAGGAGGAAGAGGAGGAAGAGGAGGAGGAGGAGGAGGAGGAGGAGGAGGAGGAGGAGGAGGAGGACGACTTGGTGTTCCCTGAGCTTGGTGGTTTTCTCAGAGATATTTCATGACCCAACTCTTTTATCATCAGTGCTAGAAGAGAGTAGGGTTTGCAGGGAGGAGGAGGAGGAGGAGGAGGAGGAGGAGGAGGAGGAGGAGGAGGAGGAGGAGGAGGAGGAGGAGGAAGAGGACTGTAGGGTCCTTGGTGGTCTCTGAACTTGGTGGTTTTCTTGAAGAGGTTTCATGACCCAACTAGGGAACATCATCAGTGCTGGAGGGGAGTAAGGTTTGTAGGGAGGAGACGGAGTTGTTGTTAAATAACAATTGTGAGGTCCTTGGTGTTCTCTGAGCTTGGTTGTCTATAGAGATTCTCAGTCATCCAGGTCATGGGGCTCCCAAAAGCTGGGGTTGTTTTCAAGACACAACTGTACTTTTGGGTCTGAGCTTGGTTGTTTTCTTGCAAACATTTCACGACCGTACTAGGTAACATCATCAGTGCTAGGAGGGAGTGGGATTTATTTACTCTGATTATATACAGGTAGTCCTTGACTTATGACCACAGTGGAGCCAAAATTTCGGTTGCTAAGCAAAACGACTGTTAAGTGAGTTTTGTCCCACTTTGACCTTTCTTGCCACAGTCGTTAAGCAAATCACCATTGTTAAGTTAGTGACACAGTTGTGGAGTGAATCAAGGACTATCTGTATTCTGGCGCAGCAATACATTTTAAATTTATCACCTTGAACTAATTTAAATTAAATAAAAGAGGATTAAAATTTGAATTGAAATTAAATGGATTACCATTTGAACTTAAATTAAAAACAGATTAATATTGGAATTTAAAATAAAACAGTTTAAAATTTGAATTGAAATTAAAACGGATTAAATTTTCACTGTAAATTAAAGTAGATTAATATTTAAATATCAATTAAAATGGAGTAATATTTGAATTGAAATAAAAATGGATTAAAATTTGAAACTGAAATTAAAATGGATTAAAATTTGAATTTAAATGGGAATAGATTAAAGATTGAATTTAGATTAAATTAAAAAGTTTTGAGTTCAGGTTTTGAGTTTACATTAGAAATGGATGATATTTCAAAAGCACGATTAAACTACTAACTAGACCATAAGAAGAACCAAAGAGGGAACAGGCCAGCTTGCTAGCCATCTCTAACCATCGTGGTTTGTTGTTGCTATAATTATAAATATAGTTATGATGATCATCCATCCTGCCATTTCAAGGAGGATTTAGTGGGCCAGAAATTCATCCTAATTTTGCTGCTTACCTGCAGCGAAAAACTTGCACAAAACCCATCTGCAGCCTCCTCTCCCTCCCAACACACACACACACACACACACACACACACCCTTATGGGGTGCAGCCTCCAATTTAAACAGAGGCAAAGTTTCTAGTCCTCATGGCCACTGGGAAGCATCTCAACCTGGGAAAAAGAGCCAGAAAGGCAAGGAAGGTTTGCAAAGGATCAGAAAGGACTTCTAAGGAAGAAGGCCACTTTATAAGGCCCGTATGGCCTCTTCTCCCCCCCACAACTTGTGCTGGGGTAGCGTTGCCCCCCCACTCACTGGGGGGAGAGGGGCATAGTCTGTACTTCTTCTTCCTGGGCATGGAAACCTGCTGTTTCTGGGGCAAGCTGATTTTCCCCGAGCTGCTCCAGAAAGCTGGTCCTCTCTGGCGTGTTTTTGCCTTCTGTGGGGGCTGGTTGAAGAACTGGAGTGAGGAGTGGGACCAGACCCCGAATGGGGAGCGGGACCCTGAGGCCCCCATCCTTGCTCGGCTGGCCCTGGCACCACCGGGGTGATGGGGGTGGTGTCCCTGTTCTTGGATTCACAGATGGAGCTGGGATGCCAACTGCCACTGCACTGCCACCGGGGCCCCGTTGGCACTTCTCAGCTGGAGGGGGGGCTGGGCTCCCCCCTGAAGATTCCGGCACAGCTTGGAGTCATCCCCCCCCCCCAGCCAGATTCAGATCCTGGCATTGCTAATCTCCCCCTCCTCTTGCAAATGAGAAGGGAGCAAAGCAATTCTCAAAGCTCCATTTTCTGCTTGATTCAGCTCACTGGATGGAGATGGAGGAGTGAGGTGGCTGGTTTTAGGACTAAAGAGATGGGTGTTTTATGCTGTGGGTGGGTGGACAGAGGAGAGAGAGAGAGAGAATATATATTATAAATAAATGATTGATAGATGAGGTAGATAGATATAATACAGATTATAAATAGATGATATAGATAGATAGTATTGATTATAAATAGATGAGAGAGAGAGATAAATAGATGATAGATAGATTATAAATAGTTTATAAATAAATGATTGATAGAAGTAGATAGAGATAATATAGATTATAAATAGATAGATGAGAGATAGATAGACAGACAGATTATCTAGATAGATAGATAGATAGATATAAATAGATGATAGATTATTATTATTATTATTATTATTATTATTATTATTATTATTTATTGAATGTATATACTGCCCTTCTCCCTGAAGGGACTCAGGGCGGTGAGCAGCCGAAAATTAAAATAAGATACAATATAAAAGTTAAGACAACTAAAAAATAAATTAAATTAATCGGCCCCCCAATTTAAAACCCCAAGCTATACAATTAAAAATTAACCCATAAAACCTATTCAGGCCAGGCCAATAGATTATAAATAACCTATCGATTATAAATAATTATAAATAAATGATTGATAGAGGTAGAGATAGTATAGATTATAAATAGGATATAGATAGATAGATAGATAGATAGATAGATAGATAGATAGATAGATAGATAGATTATAAATAGATGATAGATTATAAATAGATTATAAATAAATGATTGATAGATGGTAGAGATAGTATAGATTATAAATAGATGATAGAGGTAGGTAGATAGATAGATAGATAGATAGATAGATAGATAGATAGATAGATAGATAGATAGATAGATAGATAGATGATAAAGAGCCAGACAGGCGATAGATTATAAAGTGAGAGAGACAGACAGACAAGATAGACAGAGCTAAATGACAGAGAAGGATTGACTGAGTGGATAAATGTATAAAATGCCACAGTGCCATTTTGAGGCCTTCCCAGCTCTGGTTCGGAGTTCCTGACATTGAAAGGCCGGTGATGCTAGGAGAAGAGAGGCTTGAAGAGGGCGCCTGGCGCCTGGGCCCAAAGGAGGTATATTGGGGGAGCGAAAGGCCGCTGCCCGGGGAGACCCATGCAACGCAGCCGGCTTTGAAAGACCGGACTGCAGCGGTGAAAAAGCCTCCAGGCCCAAGAAGGGCAGAAGGCAAAGGGAGGGTTGTGTGAACGGACGGAGCAAAGGCCCCAATTTGGCCTGCTCTCCACGCCGGCCCTCCAGATGTCTGCAAGGAGTTTCCTAACCCCTCTGTCCCCAAAGTGCTGTTGCAAAGAGCTGCAAAGGCCATTTTTTAAATTTTCATTTGCATTGCTGGAAGACCTTTGCAACCCCCAATGCCCCAATGCAGCTGCGAGGAGGAAAAGCTGCTTGGGGGTGCGGGTGGGGGAAACCCCGGGACCCCCTGCTTGCTTTGCAGCCATTGCTTCCCCTCTGTAGGGAGGAGGGAGTTGCTGGTCGGGAGGGGCCAGCACCCCTGGGCAGAGAGGGGCATTCTGGGAAATGGAGTCCCTTGGCTGCAGCCCCGCCCAGGAGGGAGGGGCCTCTGGACCTCCCTCTGGACCCCCAAATCGAACTGCCTCTTTTGATCCCCAGGGGAGCCCAAACGAAGCCCGCAGGCCCCATTGAACGGGAAAGGCTGCCCCCCAACCCCATGGAGTTGTAAACCCCCCCAAAGATATTTGGGGGGGGCTTCCCAGGCCTCGCCAGGAGTGCGTGAGAAGCAGGAGATCCAAGGGAGGCCCAGCTGCCATGTTTAAGACCCCCAAAGTCGGCCCTGCCAAGAGGTCCCCCCAAAAGGGAGTGCCCCGGGAGTTGAGGATCTCGCTGGACAGTGACCTCTCCGGGTTGCGCATCCGTGGCCCCTCGCAAGGGTCATCCTCCAGTGAGGTGCAAGATGAGTGGCTCCCCCACATTCCCAAGAGTAAGCCTCAAAAGGGGGAACCCCCCCTCTTCTGGAGGAAGAAGAGGAGGAGAGGGGCCACACCTGGGAGCCCTGGGTGCAAGATGTCCAGCCAAGGATCGGCCAGAGAAGATGGCTGCAAAGGCTTCCCAGAGGCCCTGCTTGACCTTAGTTGGGGGGGACCGCGGGCCCATCAGGAATGCCCCTTGGGGTCTGAGTCTGGGGGCTCAGCCAGGGACTGCAGTGCACAGGAGCCTGGATTGAGTCCTGGGACCCTCGGCTTTGTAGGATCTCCAGACCCCCTTGCTGGTCTGGAGAGACCCAGATGGAATGATGCATGTAGATGATCTGGGCATGGAAGGGATGACCAGAGAGAAAAATGGACCCAAAGGAGAAATTACCCCAGTGCAGAGGGAGGAATTTTTATTTTTATTTTATTTTATATTTTATTAAATTTCATTATTACATTTTATTTTATTAAATTTTATTTATTTTATTTTAAATGTTTAATCTTATTTTGCTTTTCTCTTTGTGCTTTATTTATCATTGCACTTTATTTCATTGTTGTATTTTATTTTGTAGGTTTTCTTGCAAATATTCCATAACCCAAGTAAGGAACATCATCAGTATTAGAAGGGAGTAGAGATTTGCTCTCTTGATAGATACAAATGGTTTGCCCTGTCAGTGTTAGTGGGAGGTTTATTTTATCCCTTCCCCTTCCCATCTTCCCTTCACCTTCCCTTCTACCTTTTTTCCCTTTAACCTGTTTACCTTTTACCTTTTACCTTTTTTAAGCATTTACCTTTTATTTTAGCCATCTGAAGTTACTCCAGGCAGCTTACAAAAAGAAAAAGAAAGAAAGAAATTGTCCAGGCCTCAATTATTCTACCTGTCAGCTCAGTCATTCCTGTGCAGAGAATCTCTTCCGACACCAATTTTGGCAGCTGGGGTTGCATTCCTGCATTCTCATCTCTCCTTTGTCCCTTCCTTCCCTTTCCCAGATGCCCAGAACTGGTCTTGCTCCGTCATTGGCCTCCTCTGCATCTGTGTAATCTTCTTCCTTTTGGTGACCCTCATGAATCTGAAAGGTAGGCTGACTCGGTTAGCGACATAAATTTTGGGCTCAACTCTAGTTGCAAGTCAAGGACTACCCAAAATAGGGTTGGAAGGGACCTTGGAGGTCTTCTAGTCCAACCCTTGCTCAAGCAGGAGACCGCACACCATTTCAGACAAATGATTGTCCAATCTCTTCTTGAAAACCTCCACAGTTGGAGCATTCACAACTTCTGGAAGGAATGTTTTCCAATGGTTGATTGTTCTCACTGTCACAAAATCCCTCCTTAATTCTTCGGTCTGATCACTCAAAAAAGATCTTACAGATCCTTACAAAAACATTTGTAATTCTTTTGATCTTACAAAAAGAAATTTTCTGGTTGTGGGAATGGGAAGGTTGGTAAGCTAAGACTTCTTGCCCTATTCATGATTGGAATGCACACAAGAGCTTTGGCCTCTGGTCAACTTAAAACATTAAATAAGGAAACAAATAAGGAAAAGTAATGAACAGAAACCCATCTCTTTTTCTTCAATTTCCCACTGTTTTGAAATGGTATCATGTCCCCCCCAAGTTATCAACAGGAAAGAAGAAGTAAATTTTAATTATATACATGTAGAATAAAGTTTATGAAACATTTTGCACTTTCCTTCAAACAAATTTGATTAGCAATAGAAGAGAACATTTGTAACACATGGTTGAATTGTGGGGTCTTTGGTGATCTCTGAGCTTCATGGTTTTCTTGCAGATGTTTCCTGACCCAACTATGGAACATCATTAGTACTAGAAGAGAGGGCTGCTTGCAGAGAGGAGGGGGAGGGGAAGGAGGTGGAGGGGCAGGAAGGAGAAAGAGGAAGAAGAAGCAAGGAAGGGGGAGGAGAAGGAGGGATGGAGGAGACGAAGAAAAAGAGGAGGAGGAGAATATGGAAAAAATAGAGAAGATGGAGAAAGGGAAAATAGAGAAGGAGGAGAAGGAATTAAGGGGAGAAGAAAGGAAGAAGAAGAAGAAGAAGAAGAAGAAGAAGAAGAAGAAGAAGAAGAAGAAGAAGAAGAAGAAGAAGAAGAAGAAGAAGAAGAAGAAGAAGAAGAAGAAGAAGAAGAAGAAGAAGAAGAAGAAGAAGAAGAAGAAGGAGGTGGTTTAAGGTTTATTTGGATTTATATACCGCCCTTCTCCCGAAGGACTCAGGGCGGTGAACAGCCAAAGATAAAACACATACAATATAAAGTTTAAAAACAATTTAAAACATATTAAACAAATTTGGCCCATACTTCTACTAAAGAAGAAGAAGAAACAACAAACAATAACAACAACAACTGTGGAGTCCTTGTTGCTTTCTGAGTTTGTTTTTTTGCAGATGTTTCATGGCCCAATTCAGGAATATTATCTGTGCTAGAAACCCACCTCCCTTCTAGCACTGATGATGTTACCTAGATTGGTCCATGAAAACAAGCAAGTTCAGAGAGCACCAAGAGCCCACAGTTCAACCCTGAGCAAGAAATGTTCTCTTCTATTGGTACAAGAAAATGTCTTTGAAGACGTCATCGATAACTTATTCAACCTCTTCTTGGAAGAAGCCCCATCTTTCTTAGAAAAGCGCAGGAGATATCATCCCTTCTCCTCCAGTGATTATCTGTCTTTACTTCTCTTGCAAGTGGCCATGCTGAAGAAGAGGACAAAGGAAGAGGCAGCTCTGTGGCAGTGGAAGATACTCACCTTGACTGAAATCTTCCGCGACCTACAGATGGGCAAAGGTACTATGGATGTGGAGGAACCCGGGTGATCCCCTTGCAACTAGCATAACGAAGGGCCCTTGGTGCTCTTGGAGCTTGGTTGTTTTCTTGCAGATGATTCATGACCCAACTAGGGAACATCATCAGTGTGAAGGAGTGTGGGGTTTGCTACTCACGCTGAGGATGTTATTGAGTTGGGTCATGGAACATCTGCAAGAAAACGACCAAGCTCAGAGAGTACCAAGGATACCACAATTCTCCTCCTCCTCCTCCTCCTCCTCCTCCTCCTCCTCCTCCTCCATCTTTCCACAAACCTCTTTCCCGTCTAGCACTGATGATAGGTTTTCTTGCAGATGATTCATGACCCAACTAGAGAACATCATCAGTGTGAAGGAGTGTGGGGTTTGCTACTCACGCTGAAGGTATTATCGAGTTGGGTAATGAAATATCTGCAAGAAAACCACCAAGCCCAGAGACCAGCAAAGACCCCACATTCCTCCTCCTCCTCCTCCTCCTCTTCCCTTTCTCTTTTCTCCTTTTTTTCTCCTCTTTGTTCCTTCTCCTCCTTCTCTATCTTCCCTTTCTCCATCCTCTCTATTTTTTCCATCTTCTCCTCCTCTTCCTCTTTTTCTTCTTTTCTTCCTTTCTTCCTTCTGCTTTCTCCTTCCTCCTTCTCCCTTCCTTCTTCCTCTTCCTCCTTCCTCCTCTTCCCTTTCTCTCTTCTCCTTCCTTTTTTTCTCCTCTTTGTTCCTTCTCCTCCTTCTCTATCTTCCCTTTCTCCATCCTCTCTATTTTTTCCATCTTCTCCTCCTCTTCCTCTTTTTCTTCTTTTCCTCTACCCCCCTCCTTCCTTTCTTCCTTCTTCTTCCTCCTTCTCCTTCCTCCTTCTCCCTTCCTTCTTCCTCTTCCTCCTTCCTCCTCCCTTTCTTCTTCCTTCTTCTTCCTCCTCCTTTCTCTTCTTTCTTTTTCCTCCTCCTTTTTTCCTCCTCCTCCTCCTTCCTTCTTACTCCTCTCCTCCTTTTCTCCTCTTCCTCCTCCTGCTCCTCCTCTCTGCAAACCCCACTCCCTTCTAGCACTGATGATGTTCCCTAGTAGCATCACAAAACGTCTTCCAGGAAACCACCAAACTCGGAGACCCTCAACAGCCCCTTGAGTTTCAACCCTGAGCTAAACAAATACTCTCCTTTACTGATCACGAGGAGTTGGCTGGAGGGAAGAAGACCTCTTGAAGGATCCCAACAGCCACCCAAAGATTGTGGAGAGGCTCTTCTTGCTACCACAAAAGGGAAAAGAGGACAAGCATTGAACATTCCTTCCCCTTTTCAAATGTTGCAAGGAAGAGACTCTAATTGTGTAATTGTAAACACATCAATCATCATCATCATCTTTTAATGACCCCATAATCCCTTGTGGAGTGGAGTTTGGGCACCTGAACGGAGCTAGCAGAGTGTTTACTGGCCAGATGCCCTTCCTGTCACCAATGCGGAGTTTTGTTCAGCAGATAATATTCTCATTGTGCCCAGAGAGAGAAATATCTATAATAGCCATCCTGAGTCTCCGGAGAGAGGCGGCATATAAATTTAATAAATAAATAAATAAATATCTGCCTCTACCTAGGATCGAACTCACAGCCTCCTGATGGTGAGGCGAGAGCTCCACCTCTAGGCCACCGCACTACTCCTAATTGTAAACACATCAATATATGTAGTTACTTATTAATATACCTTTGTTGCCTTCAAGCTGAGGCACTCCATGTTTGACATGGAACTGACTTCATCCCAGAATTTCAGAAAGAAATTTCAACCTCGGTAAGAAGGCTTCTTTGCCCAACTGAAAATACAAATCACCAAATAATTCAGACAAAGCAAAAAGCATTTATGAAAGGAGGGTCAAGTCTTTTTATGGAACACAGCGCTCCTTGACTTACAACTGGAATGGAGCCCCAAATTTCAGTGGCTAAGCGAGTCATAAATATGAGTCAGCTGCCAAGCGTCTGAATTTTGGATTGTGCAACCCTGGGGATGCTGTAACGGTCATGAGTGTGAAAAACGGTCGTAAGTCAGTTGCCGTTGTAACTGACGGGTCACTCAATCAACTGTTGTAAGTTGAGAACTACCTGTATGGAATCAAGTGACATATATACTTGTATGTGTTAAAGCAGAAAGCAAGGGATAAATAAATAAAGGGATAAATAAGTAACAGGAGGAATAAATAAAGACATTGATTGCTTGCGAAGTTTGAACAATAGCAAAGACAGATTCTGGGTAACATTTCACACGTGACAATTTATTTTTTTTTAAGTTGATTTATATGCCGCCCTTCTACGGAGACTCAGGGCGGCTTACAATGCGCTAAGCAATAGCCTTCATACTTTTGTATATGTATACAAAGTCAGCTTATTGCCCCCACAAACTGGGTCCCCATTTTACCCACCTTAGAAAGGATGGAAGGCTGAGTCAACCTTGAGCCTGGGGAGAATTGAACTCGCAGTAATTGCAGGCAGCTGGTGTTAAATTACAGTGCTTCTGTCTGCTGAGCTAAACCAGGCTCCTTTATGGGTTATGTGACTCTTTCCCAGCTGGGTTTGTATCTTTCTCAAAACTTGCAAGGGCGTTCAAGGCCGTTGAGGGTACAGATAGTCCTTTACTTGGAAGCATTTGCTTAGTGAGTGTTCAAAAAAAGTGACATACGAACCTGTTTCACACTTATGACGGTTGCAGCATCCCCGTGGTCACGTGATCCAAATTCAGATGCTCGGCAACTGGCGTGTACTTGTGACGGTGGCAAGCATCCCGGGGGAGGGAAGGGGGAGCAGCCGATCACAATTGGCCATCTTCCGATAAGCAAAATCAGTGGGGTGAAGCCAGATTTGTTTAATAACCATGCGATTCACTTAACAACCCCAGCAGTGAAGTAAGCATGCGTGCGCGGGGCGAACCAGTGGTAACAAAATGTGAAACCCACCGCTGCCTTGCCCCAATGTGAGATCCGGGCGCTGGGTTGCTTCTCCTCTCTCTAGTTCTGAACTGCAGCATATGCAAAATCCAGTGGATGCAACTAAGCGAGAAATGCTACTTCTTCCGGAACAGAAAAATGAATTGGGAATCGAGCCAGAGATTCTGCCAGGAGGAGGATGCTGAACTGATGGTGGTCAGCAACAAGGATGAGATGGTACTGAGGCTGGGGGAGATGGGGGCAGACCGAAGAGGGCACGGGGGGGGGGAGGTCTGGGTGTTTCTCAAGCGGTTTAAGATGGGTGGACTTCAACTCCCAGAATTCTGCTCCAATCTCTTCTTGAAAACCTCCAGTGATGGAGCACCCACAACTTCTGGTGGCAAGCTGTTCCACTGGTTAATTGTTCTCACTGTCAGGAAGTTTCTTCTTAGTTCTAGGTTGCTTCTCTCCTTGATAACTTTCCATCCGTTGCTTCTTGTCCTGCTTTGGAGACTAGGTTCACCCCCTCTTCTTTGGGGCAGCCCCTCAAATACTGGTGCTTTGGAAAATAAGCATTTGAAGCACTGCCACTTCTTTCTGTTATTCTGTTAGGCCAGAGTGGAGGAGGCATTCCAGCGCACAACCTCTTAACGCGCCTTCAAGAAGGTGTCTAAGCAGCAAGGTGGCAGGTGCACAGAAAGTTTTTTAGGAAGAGATTGGGCATCCATTTGTCTGAAATGGTATAGGGCAGAGGTGTGAAACGCAAGGCCTGCAGGCCGAATGTGGCCCGTGGGGCCGTCATGGAAAATGTAAGGGGCCAGCCTGTGTCGCTTTGGCCCAGTCTACCCAGTGCGAAGAGGAAACATGCCAGCAATTTGGGGAGTGGTGTCAAGCTGGCCACGCCCACTCAGGAAGCCATGCCAAGTGAGGCATCATTCTGGCCACTCCCACCCAGTTGGCCACGCCCACCCAGTTGGCCACGCCCACCCAGTTGGCCACGCCCACCCATCCCCCCCCTTCCCGAGGTCAACCACAGCAGGGTTGCCCCCGGTTCGCACCAGTTCTATAGAACCGGTAGTAAAACCAGCGGGAGGCTCCGCCCACCGACCCCGACGTCATCAAAATGGTTCTGCGCATGCGCGAGCGAAGCAAGTGTGCACGCATGGCCCCGTTGCAAACCGGTAGTAAAGGTAAGTATAACCCACCCCTGAACCACAGCCCTGATGCGGCCCTCAATGAAATTGAGTTTGACACCCCTGGTATAGGGTCTCCTGTTTGAGCAGGGGGTTGGACTAGAAGACCTCCAAGGCCCCTTCCAAGTCTGTTGTTCTGTTATCATATTTATTTATTTTATTTATTTATTTATTTATTTAATTTGTATACCGCCCTTCTCCCAGAAGGGACCCAGGGCGGTGAACAGCCAAAATTAAAAAACATACAAATACAAAAGTTAAGATAATTAAAAAGAATTTAAGAATTTAGCCATTTATATGGCTAATGCAGCCAGGTTAGTGGTGAGTGAATCAACTTTCATCCTTAACTGGAATTCTGCAACTTTTATCTTTCTTCTGAAGGCTGGCCTGACTCTGGTCACTTTATATTTTAGCAGTTCCTGAAGTTTCATGCCTCCATGCATTATTACCTGGATCCGAAGACGTACAAATACGACAAATTCTGGATTGGTTTGGTCTACGATATCGCGGAAAGGAAATGGCTGTGGTTAGACGGAACTGCCTACAAGCCCAGTCGGTAAGTTCTCTCCAGAATGGGTGATTCCTCAAAGCCCCCCTTACATTATGAACCTGAATAACAGATGGGAATTACTGTGTGGTTGAAATTGGCCTCACACCCTTGGTCATCACATTTCAAATTATTCTCAGAGAACCGCCAGTAGCTCAGGGTTGAACTGTGGGGTCCTTGGTGGTCTCTGAGCTTGGTGGTTTTCTTGCAAACATTTTATGACCCAACTAGGGAACATCATCAGTGCTAGGAGGGAGGAGGTTTGCAAGGAGGAGGAGGAGTGAGAGGAGGAGGTGGGGTGGTAGTGGTAAATCAGCACTCCTGTTGACCAATGAGGGGCCTGTTTCCCAGACTTCAATCAGTTCCCTGGCTGTTTTTGTGCCTGCTTGTCCAACAATCTTAGTAACTGCAAAATTGAAAGTATGTCCTTGTTTATTTCAATGTGAAGTTACCAATGAGTTTGGGACTCTTCGTCTGACCGCTCACTTGTCCTCTTGAGATCGAGCTGTTAGCTTCCTCCCTGTCTGTCCTACATAGTCACAGGGGCAATCCATGCAAGGGATCCAGTAGATTACATTGGAACCATCTCCCACCTCCAAGCGATCTTCACAGGGCACAATTTGTCCTACTATGGTAGCCTACGGGCGGTGTGCGATGCCCACTTGCAGATCTCATAAAAGCTGAGTTCTATGGCTTCCGAAATTGTGTGGCTTGTTCTCACCCTGCCATATAGTGTTCTCGTGCAGCTTTTTGTGTGTGTGTGTGGCAGTGGATGGTTGCTGTTAAAATTCAGAATGCGTGGAGTGTGTTGGTGGCCTTGTTAATACCAGATAAGCTCTGGTTTCTAGGCTTCCATCTTCTTATCTTTTGACAAGCACATCTAAAAATGGTCACTGTCGAGCTGTGTCTTCCTCCACGGTGAACTGTATGCCCAGGAAGACAGAGTTCAGTATGGCATGAGAGTCTTTCGGTGCAATTCCTTTTGATAATGACAAACGTGTCATCCACGTAGCGGCAGTGGTGGGTTGTTCCTGGTTCGCACCGGTTCGCAAGAACCGGTAGTAAAAATTTGTAGCAGTTCGGAGAACCGGTAATAACATTGGCTGGCCACGCCCCCGAACCAGTCCCCGGCCCGGTCACCGCTCACTTACCCCGCCCACCTCATCAGAGGCTTTTTTTTTTTTTTTTTTTACTTTTAAAAGCATTTTTTCTACAACCCCTTCGGCTGAAAAAATGCTTCTAAAAGTTAAAAAAAAAAGCCTCTGATGATCCCGCGGCTCAGCTGGGATCGTCAGAGGCTTTTAAAAGCATTTTTTCTATAACCTCTTCAGCTGAAGAGGTGGTTTAAAAAATGCTTCGAAAAGCCTCTGACGATCCCAGCTGAGTTGCCTGATCGGCAGAGGCTTTTCAAAGCATTGTTTCCTGCAACCTCTTAAGGTTGTAGAAAAAATGTTTTTAAAAGTAAAAAAAAACAAAACAGTTGGCCACACCCACCCAGTCACATTACCCCCACCACCAAGCCACGCCCACAAAATAAGCCACGCCCACAGAACCGGTAGTAAAAAATTTTAGAACCCACCCCTGCGTAGCGGCACCAAAATTTGGGTGTGTAGTTCTGAAATACACGAGGTTCTGGCTCACGCAGGACGGCTTCTGCAATGACTCCTGATATTGGGGATCCCACTGATGTCCCTTTTATTTATTCATACATTTCCCTTTCGAATGGGAAGAAGGTGTGTCGGCAGTATTGGAGTAGCCTCGCATGGTTTGTGTTCTGGTTAGGATGTTCTGAACTGTGTTGTATTCTTCTTCTGTTACTTCATATGCCAAGAGGGCCTGGTGGCTCAGCAGACTGAGAGCATTGTGATTAACACCAGCTGTCTGCAATTACTGTAAGTTCGAATCCCACCAGGCTCAAGGTTGACTCAGCCTTCCATCCTTTCTAAGGTGGGTAAAATGAGGACCCAGATTGTGGGGGCAATAAGCTGACTTTGTATAAATATACAAAAGGATGAAGGCTATTGCTTAACGCATTGTAAGCCGCCCTGAGTCTCCGGAGAAGGGCGGCATATAAATCAAATTAAAATAATAAAAAAAAGGTTGACTCAGCCTTCCATCCTTTCTAAGGTAGGTAAAAGGAGGACCCGGATTGTGGGGGCAATAAGCTGACTTTCTATAAATATACAAAAGGATGAAGGCTATTGCTTAGCGCACTGTAAGCCGCCCTGAGTCTCCGGAGAAGGGCGGCATATAAATCAAATTAAAATAATAAAAAAAAGGTTGACTCAGCCTTCCATCCTTTCTAAGGTAGGTGAAATGAGGACCCAGTTTGTGGGGGCAATAAGCTGACTTTGTATAAATATACAAAAGGATGAAGGCTATTGCTTAAAAGCATTGTAAGCCCCCTGAGTCTCCGGAGAAGGGCGGCATATAAATCAATTTTTTTTTAAAAAAAAGTGTGGAGGGAGGGGTGTAAATAGGGATATTACATCAGAGGAGACCATGATCTCGTCAGGAGCCACATTTACACTTAGGCTTAGAATAAATGTTCTGATCAGGCTCCCAAACACAACGAACCCTCTGTAGGTAAATTAGTGATTCCGTTATTAGAAGCGCCGGCAGCCCCGGCAAAAAGTCTCTCTCACTGCAGGCTAACAAGTCTGTCCGGCAGGGAGATGAATAGTTGTCTGCCACACCTATTCATCTCCTCCTCCTGGCTTTTATCCCCAGAGCTAGGGTGGGGCTTTGCTAGCAGCGGTGGCTCTTCTGTCCCAAGGACCGGCCCATAGATTTCCAATGCTCTCCTCTTCTCTGCCTTGTGTGCATCTGTGCATCAGGCACTGGACCCAGCTGTTCCTCCTCTTCCTCATCAGCCACCTCCAGACCTGGAGACTGTTGACTCTCCACCTGAGGGCTGATGGATGGCCCAGGCTCTGCCTCTCTCTCTCTCTCTCTCTCTCTCTCTCTCTCTCTCTCTCTCTCCCTCCCTCCCTCCCTCCCTCCCTCTCTCTCTCTCTCTCTCTCTCTGCTAGCTCCATTCACTCTTTCCCATCGGAGCTCCCAGGTTGCCTTGATCCTGGCCCTGACTCCCAAGCCACCTTCCTCATCTGAGTCTGCTGGAGGGGCTGGCGGCCAACAGGCCACAACAATTATTGTCACTTTGAATATTGTCACTTAGACTAATCAGCATACATTAAAATGAAATTTCATTACATACAGCTCTCAAAGGGTCTCCACCTCTAAGATACACTACATCAGTGTTTCTCAACCTTGGAAGCTTGAAGATGGGTGGACTTCAACTCCCAGAATCCCCCAGCCAGCAGCGCTGGCTGGGGGATTCTGGGAGTTGAAGTCCACCCATCTTCAAGCTTCCAAGGTTGAGAAACACTGCACTACATAAACATGGCTAAATAAATAAATATACACATAGCCACATATATTATATGACACGGAGAAACAGCACAGTCTAGTTCAGATGTACACATCTACATGGCGAAAGAAACGAATCTTGTGAGTTTACCAGATGGATGGCCTAGGGGGGCAAAGCTGTGGCAGAATCTGGTAGTCCTGCTATTTAAACCTTGTGGTTTTGTCGGAAATTATGTGGACGACGTGACGGTGCTGTTCCAGGATTGTGGCAGGAAGCTTAAGCGTTGTGCCAGCCATTTAGTCCGGTTATATGTAGGGCAGTAGTGGGTTTCAATTTAGTTTGCTACCGGTTTGCTCGTGTGTGCAATGTTTCTGTGCATTCGCAGAAACATCCGGGCACGTGGGCGGAGCCTCCCGCCACCACCACTACCGGTTCACCGGATCTGGAGCAAACTGATAGCAACTCACCACTGATGTAGGGTTATCTTTTAAAGCTTCGAGGGGGGGCTCCTACTTTGTGTATATTAGAGAGTCCATAGAATCTCGCCGGGGTGGCGTCTGTCCCTCTCATTTTCCGCCATTCCTTCTCCATCCTAGTGTTGTTTTGTCTGAGTTGGCTGAGCTGAGCATTGAGTTGTGTGACCGTTGTTCTCATCTCTGACGTCTTTGGTAGTGTTCGGCCCCAGCTACGGACCCCAAAGAACGCAGCACACACAAAGTCTGTACAAACCTTAGTTTGCTAAATTAAATCAGTCTTTTTCAAACAAAGGCTGTTAATTCACTTTCTTAACAGCCTGCAAGAATCCAAAGAATAAATAATCGTAATCTTACTATGGTTGGCAGAAAGCCCAGAAGCAATTTGCAGAGAACTAAGATCAAGATGCGAAGGAGAGTGGACGAAGTTGTTCCCTGCAAATTGCTTCAGTCGGAGTTCCTCCTTAAATAGGCTAAGGGAGTGGCCAATTAGCCCCAAGCCTTACTCTCAGGGAGACCTCCTCCTGAGGAGCCACTCCTGCCTTTTAGCAGCTCTGCGCGCCCATGCATCGAGAAGAGGCTCCTCCTCTTCGTCCTCTTCACTTATGGGAGCTTCTGGAGGTTCGGAAGGCCCTGGCTGAATCCCCGCCTCTGGCACCACATCTTCTCCAGCCTCCTCATTGTCCGACTCGAGCGCCAGCAGCACAGGCTGCTGGCACAGCACCACACCAGCCTCCTCGCTGTCTGAATCAGCTACTAGCTGCACAGGCCGCTGATGGGCCACAATAGGTAGTCTATATGCTTAGGAATCACTGAGCAGGACGAGACCCTGCTGGACGTCTTGAAGCTGGGAGAACGAGCGCGAAGGATGACTAACCAACCTTCTCTATTTCAGGTACGGGATATTGGGCGATCATGGCTGCGCCTACATCCAGAATGACACCCTTCATTCCCAGCCTTGCGGCAAAGTAGCCAAAAGCATTTGTGAGACAACCGTCCAGTTTGGATGGAGCATGTAGTCCAGTTTATTGGCCCCTCGCTGCGCAGATGCTGTTTCCCGACCTGTTGTGGTGTTGCAGTGGAGTGAAGCTATCGGCCTTCCTTCTCTGTCTGAAATGATATAGGATTTCCTGTCTCTTCCAACTCTGTTATTCTCTTGTTATGCTGTTGTTATTCTGCTATTCTTTCTGTTAGGGTAAATAAATCTGAATTTCTCCAGACTCAGCCGAGTGCTTTCATTCAGTTCAAACCCTGCTCGGTCTTAACTGATTCCAGGGCAACAGAGAGCCGAAGGAGAGTTGTGGTCCTACTTTGCCTTGTTCCAACTCAAAATGGCTCTGCCCAGCAGGGGCCACCGAGACGTTGCAGAGCCCAAGGGGAGGTGGGTTTTTTGTTTTGTTTTGCAGCCTCCTATTGCTGCTGTTTTCTGCCAGGCGGTCTCCAAGACCCCAATTTGCCCTGACAAGACCTTCTTCAGCCAGCCAGCAGACTTTCCCTGGGGCTAACAGGAAACAAACAAAGGGCCCTTGGTCTTTGCTGCTCTCTGCAAGATGAGCAGTTCTAACAAGGTGAGAAAAGAAGAGAAGAGGGGAGGGGAGGGAAGGGAAGGGAAAGGAAAGGAAGGGAAGGGAAGAGGAAGAAAAGAGAAGGGAAGGGAAGAGAAGAGGAAGAAAAGAGGAGAGGAGAGGAGAGGAGAGGAGAGGAGAGGAGAGGAGAGGAGAGAAGAGAAGAGAAGAGAAGAGAAGAGAAGAGAAGAGAAGAGAAGAGAAGAGAAGAGAAGAGAAGAGAAGAGAAGAGAAGAGAAGCACCTGAGTGCAGGACAAGAAGCAACGGATGGAAATTAATCAAGGAGAGGAGCAACCTAGAACTCAGGAGAAATTTCCTGACACTTAGAACAATTAACCAGTGGAATCAATCCAGAAGTTTTAAATGCTCCAACACTGGAAGTTTCTAAGAAGAAATTGGACAACCATTTGCCTGAAATGGTATAGGGCAGTGATTGCTAACCTTTTTGCCGTTGCATGCCAAAAGCGGAGAGGGGGGAGGGGTGTCGTACGCACGTGTGCCTACACCCATAATTCAATGCCCCTCACCCCCCCATGCATGCATACGCTCCCCCCCTGTGCTCCCCCCCCGCTTTTGGCATATGATGGCATGGTGGGCCTGTTTTTCACCCTCCCCAGGCTCCAGAGCCTTTCTAGGGGCCTGGGGAGGGTGAAAACAGCCTCCCCCCTCCCGGAGGTCCTCTGGAAGCTGGAAACAGCCCATTTTCCGACTTCCAGTGGGACAGTAAAGCTCGTTTTTTTGCCCTCCCCAGGCTCCAGAGCTTTTCTAGGAGCCCGGGGAGGGCGAAAGTGGCCTTCCCCACCCCCGGAGGCTGGAAACAGCCCGTTTCCCAGCTTCCAGTGGGCACAGAAGGCCCAAAAATCAGTTGGCCGGCGCACGCATGCACGCTGGAGCTGAGCTAGGGCAATGCTCGCATGCCTTAGCTCATCTTGTCGGCGAATGGATCATTCCGGGTGCACTTCAAGGTTTTGGTTACCACCTTTAGAGCGCTCCATGGTTTAGGACCGGGATATCTACGAGACCGCCTTCTGCCACCAGTGGCCTCTCACCGACCAGTACGCTCCCATAGAGAGGGGCTCCTCCGGGTGCCGTCAACCAAACAATGTCAACTGGCGGCCCCTAGGGGGAGAGCCTTCTCTGTGGGGGCACCCGCCATCTGGAACGAGCTCCCCCTGGAGATAGGGAGGATCCCGGACCTGCGCGCTTTCCACCGTGCCATCAAAACATTTCTTTTCCAGCAAGCCGGCCTGGCCTAACCTCTCTTTTAAACTTTTTAAACTTTTTAAAATTCTTAAATTTTAAATTTGTCTTATAAATTGGGGTGTTTTAAATTTTGTTTTTTGGGCCAATTATTTAATTGTATTTTAATGGTTTTTTAACATTTGTATTATATGTATTTTATTTGGCTGTTCACCGCCCTGAGTCCTTCGAGAGTAGGGTGGTATACAAATTCAATAAATAATAATAATAATAATAATAATAATAATAATAATAATAATAATAATAATAATAATAATAATAATAATATTGTGATGCCAGATGGTTCTAATGGTCTGTTGGTGGTTTCAGAGATGTTTTTGATGTTGGAGTGCCATATATCTCCCATAGGGAACATTCTCAGTGCTGCCACGATTGGTTCATTTTGGATTTGGTTCAGTTTTTTGGCAATGAGCACCGGGAGTCCTCTCAATGAATGAAAACACACAAGAGAAAAATTCAGAAGCATCATCTGCCCTCGGATTAGAGTTTATTGATTAGTGACACCACATGGAAAAGAAAGTCTGATGCGCAGGCTTCTTCTGTGGGTCAGCAGGCTGATGTTGTAGTCGCCAGGGAGATTCTGGCTTCCAACCTTCAAGCTGTATTCAGTCGAGAGGCGTCTTGCACAGATAGGGCTGTTCGATTTCACAAAACTGGTCATTCCAACTTTTATAGTCTAGAACAAATCAAATCATTGGTTAGACTTTTGTTGCAATTGTTTTTGGATCGCTCATCATTTGTACCAAAAAAACCGCGGGGGGGGGGTTGTTTGTCACAAAGGATTCACTTTCTTGGATAGGAATGTTTAAATATACAGCTTTCTCATTGTAGTTTACAGGTAGTCCTCAATTTACAACTGTTCCTTTTAGTGATTGTTGAAAAGTTACAACAGCACTGAAAAAATTGATTTATAACTGATTTTGACACAACCGTTATAGTATTCTCCTGATAACGTGATCAAAATTCAAGCATTTGGTAACCAGCATGTATTTATGATTCTTTTAGTGTCCTGGGGTCATGCGATCACCTTTTGCGACCTTCTGACAAGTAAAGTCCAAAAGCAACTGGACTTTCTTGGGCTTTTTTCTTTGAAGATGTTTAGATTCTCATCCAAGAAGCTTCTTCGGTTCTAGAAGTTGGGAGTTGAAGTCCACAAGTCATAAAGGAGCCGTCATTCCCCATTTCTGCTCTACTGGATGGTTGCATACACACTTTAGAGTCATTAGTGATAGAAATGATCCCTAAACTTACAGAAATTACTAAATAGGATTCATTCAGAAACGAAGCCCACGCAGTCTCTGACTTCATGCATATTGGCTGTGGAGGATTGGAAGGTTGTGTTTTTTCACACATGTGGAGAAGACATGCTTGAGAAGTCTGATACATTAGAACAAAAAAATCTTCTCCTTACCGTTGGTATATAGCTCGACACAATTCTGCTTCTTTTTGCAGTTGGAAGGTTGACCGTGTGCCCAAAAAATTTCCTGTGTCTTGGCGTGGTCTGACCATCTGAATCGTGTCTGTAGAGAGAGAAAGCAACAGCGGACAACTATATGGACAACTATTTGTCTTAAATGGTACAGGGTCTCCTGCTTGAGTAGGGGGTTGAACTAGAAGACCTCCAAGGTGCCTTCCAACTCTGGATCAAGTCGGAATGGGACATTTAGGCACGGACCTTTTGCTCCAGCCACCTGCCTCAGCCATTTACAGCCAGCTTTCTTCCTCCGTTGCTCCTTCCCCGGTCATTCTCCATGGCCAATGGGCCCCTGGCCCCTGGCCCTAAGCCCCTTGTCCTTTGTCCCTGCCTATCTGTCCAGACACCATTTGACCAGGGCCTTTAGCTGCACTGCACAAGAAGCCACCAGCCAATTGGGGAGCAGTTCATGACTGGCTGTGGAAGGTGGCAGCATGCAAAAGCGATTGCAGAGAAGGGGGGGCAAGCCGGGAAACTGGCAGCAGTGGTGGCAGCATGCAGAAGCGATCGCAGGGGGCAAGGGTGCCAGGCAAGTAGCAGAGGCTTTTGAGCAATAACTACAGGTTGGCATAGCTGCTGGTTGCCTGGCTCACATGACGGTCCCCGCAATGGCGCGCTATCCCCTTCCACAGACAGCCACCGATTGCTCCCCCATTGCCTGGCAGCTTCTTGTCCTGTCCAGCCAAAGGCCCAGGTCAAAGGGTATCTGGACGAATGGGCAGGGGCGAAGGGCGAGGGGCAGAGGGTTAGGAGCCCATTGGCCATTGGATGGCCGGGGGAGGGCCAGCAGAGGCGGAAAGCTTGCTGTAAATGGGCTGAGGCAGGTGGCTGGTGGCGAAGGAGGCACGGCCAATGGTGGATGCCTAAATGTCCTAAACCTCTAGAAGCATAGTCCAGCCATTGCTAGAAAGTTGCATGTTTCCAACTTCCAACTGGATCCCACCCAAAACGTCTCAAGAGGTCTCCTGGAAAGGGAGACGTATAGAAACATGGAAATTTCTAGAGAAGAGAAAGCCACAGAGGTCTGGAAACACCTCCAAAAGATCCCACTTCACTTAAGGGCCTTCTTTCAAGTCATAGCTGTTGATCAGCATCCAAACTGGAGGTGGAGAGGGTGGATAGTTTTAAATTTCTGGGCATTTGTATCTCATGGACTATGAATGCTAACATGCTTGTGAAGAAGGCACAGAAGAGGCTGTACTTCCTGAGAATGCTCAGGAAGATAAATCTATGTCAGCATCTACTTCTGTCCTACTATTGCAGCACCATTGAGAGTGTCCTGACATACGGCATTCTTGCATGGTATGGGAGCAGCTCTGTAGCGGACAAAAATGCTCTACAGAGAATCATTAAAACTGCCCAGAATATCATCGGACTCCAGCTACCAGCCCTGGACGACATCTTCGAATCTCGCTGTTTGAGGAAGTTGCATAACATTCTCAGAGACTCTTTCCATCCTGCTTACAATCTTTTTGGACTGTTGCCTTCTGGCAGAAGAGACAGGACAATTAAAACTTGGATCACACGTTTTCTGAATAGTTTTTATCCCAGAGCTATAATTGCACTCAACAATGAACTAAAGGGCCACCATCAGTGAGCTCTTGGACAGCATTACTTGGTCTGTTGTGTGGATGTTTGGGTGGTTTAGGGGTGGGGAATTTGTGGTGGGTGGGAGTGTGTTTGGGGATTGTTATGTGTGTTGGACCTGGCCTTTGGGTGTTAAGTGAATTTTGTTGTATGGGTATACTGTGTATACATGTACAATGACAATAAAGTTATTTATTTTTTATATAAAAACACAGGTGATGTTGATGAAAATTCCTATGTTGAACTGTGTGAATTGGGACACGGGTGCCCTGGGTGTGCAAAGACTATGAGGGAGTTTGGAATTGTGACAGAGTTTGTTAAAAATGCTTATACTCACTGATGAGGGGAAACGATACAGATGTTTTTGTAATTCCTCTGTTTATCTACTCTTGAGCAATCAGCTTGTGTTTCCTTACTTATTCTACGTGGTTCCTAGCCAGCCTTATGAAAGTACCAAAAGGATACTATTGCTCAGATCTGAAGAAACGTGTCATTTAGAGAGAATTGGGATCTGTCCCTTTGTCTATTCCGAGCTCAATCTAGACAGCGTGTGTAACATAGCCATGGTCAACTTCTTAAGATCCCAAAATTGCACTGAGATCCAAAACTGAATGTTTTGAAGGCTCTCTAAGGAACCCCCCACATACTAGGATTGCTATCATGCTGTTGTTAAATCCTGGTGTAATTGTGCCGTGATGTAAATCCATTGAGAGATTGTCTTATTCTTGTCACCTCCTCCCTCTCCCCACCCCCACCTCCGAGCTTTTTATTGTCTTCAGATATATACCACTCACTCCCTTCCCTCCCTGAGGTCAACACAACTTCTACTCACCTTCCCGCCCCGGATTTTGTACAATCCAATCCAGATTCTATATGTCTTTTCAAAGTTGGTTCTTATAGCAGAAGATAAAAATGCCATTTCCCGTTCGCTGAGGATGGAGGCGAGGTGGCCATTTTTGCCGTAGGTATTGCAATCTGCCTGGGAGACACCAAACAGGCACAGGTGAGTACTTTGTGCTTTAGGGCAGGAGTATCCAAACTTGGCCACTTTAAGACTTGCAGATTTTGTCAGAGAATTCATGACTGGCAGAGACATGGTAACAAGGTCAATGAATAGGGCTTAGTAACTAAGTCAGCCAATGGGGACTGTTTGGAAACTGAAACAGTTTGGAATCTGGGCGTGGCTGAACTAGTCTGCTGAACTGGAATTGGAATTGAAACTGAAACTGTTCTCTCCTCTGGCTGTTGGTATCATATATTTATTTCATGTATTATATTATGTATAAAGAGAAGTTAATGAATCCTGCTGAATCAGTTAACCTGTGTGTGCTTTCCAGATTTGATTTCTGCAACAAACACTGATAGATTTCAACTCCCAGAATTCTGGAATTCTGGGAGTTGAAGTCCGCAAGTCTTAAAAGTGGCCAAGTTTGGAGCCTTCCCTCAGTTCCTCAAGTCTATCCCTGTCCTTCCTGATTCCCCAATTCCATCACCCAGCGCCTGTCTTCACGACATCCAAACTCTATAGTGTGAAATCAAAAGCAAGACCTAAAAAGCGATCACCCAGGCTCACTGCAGAATTTATCATTAACAATGCAGATCGGAGGAATTCCTTCCAGAAGAAAATGGGAGGGGCTCCCATGCAGACTAAAAAAAAAAAAGTGCTCATATTTATACATTTCAGGAAAGGAGGACAAAATGATAAGAGTCATGCACATACCTAAGTCATAGATGATGTAAGCATAAATATTCATAATTAGTAGATGATAGATGATGCAAGCATAAAAAGGTATGTGGTGTCCTGCCTGAGCAGGGGGTTGGACTAGAAGACCTCTAAGGTCCCTTCAAACTGCCATTTGGGTCAGGAGAGCAGCTGAACTCTTGATAATATTGCTTTTTTTCCTTTTGTGAGTTGGGTTGTTCTTTATCCTTGGGCAGCAGGGGTCCTACATGGTGGGTTTTTCCATGTTTGTAAAACTTGCATGCCGCCCAAGGCGCTTGCGTGAGATGGGGGGGCACAGAAATCAAAGAAATAAATAGGTTTTGAAGGAGCCACATAACAATTCAGTGAGTTTGTGGAAGTGCAGAGTTTTGAAAGTGTTGTGGTCTGGTGGCAGCAGAGTCGGACAGTGAGGAGGCTGGGGAGGAACATGGGCCAGTCCTGGACTCTGGGGAAGGCTCAGATGAGGGCTCTGCGTCAGAGGCAGAGAGGGGGCCAGGACCATCTGACAGTTATGTTCTGCCTCCGGAATCTGACATCAGCGAGGCAGAAGAACAGTGTGAGCCTGTTCCCAGTGTGCGCATGCGCAGAGCTGCCAGAAGGCAAGAACAATTAAGAAAAAAAAGGGCGACTCGGGAGTAAGGCTTGGAGTTGATTGGTCCCTCCCATAAGACATAAAAAGAGAAGCAAAGGGACTGAGCCTTTGCAGGAAGCAATTAGTTCATATAGTCAATTCAAGCTCTGAGAAGTCCTGTTTGACTCTGTGTTATGTGTGGCTTTGCAAAATTAATTGGCAATTAGGTCTGTGGCAGCGTTTCAAGGGAGATAAAGGTGGGTGCTTATCAACATTACCCTGAACAACTGTGTCAACTCGAGCAGACATCTGTCGGAAGCTGAACAGACTGTTTGTGAATCATTACGGGCTGTGAATGACCGTAATTCACAGCCGTCTCAATAAAAGAGGTTTTTGGGGACTAAACTTGTGATTTATGCTTTGTCAGGAAGCCTAGGTCAGAACAGAAAGAGTCTCTTTCTATGTTCTCCTAAGAGTAAAAGCTGGAGAGCAGGAAGCTATCTATCTCTCCAGACCTTTTGAAGTGAGGGGAAAGGAATCGGGAGAAGGTCCCGCCAACCCTTCTCTGAACCCCAAACCCATCCTCTCCTCCCAATGGTTCTACTTATTGGCAGATGGTTTTGAGGTCCTTGGTGGAAGGGAGGAGGTAGGATAGGGACCCAAATGGGGAAAACAGCTGCTGGGATGTGTTTCTGCCAATCCAAGGACAGGTGGGTAGCACAGACACAATCCCATGCCAAGGTCCCTCATTTCCTTGGCAGGGGTACCCATAAGGGATGGTCAAACAAGTCTGTTGCTGTCTATAATGGTGTGATTGAAGCTCAACTATGGTTCTGTTCATGCTTTAATCACATTGTTGTGGCCATATTGACTTTCTTGACCATAATTTTTGGACATCTCTCCTTCCTTCCTTCCTTCCTTCCTTCCTTCCTTCCTTCCTTCCTTCCTTCCTTCCTTCTTTCCTTCCTTCCTTCCTTCCTATTTTCCCTTCCCACCCACAGGGAAGCATTACACTCAGACAGTAAGCTTATAGGCTGAGTTGGAGGCTGGTGGGGCTCCTCTTACTTCTGCCTCATTCCAGGTCAGTTTTTCCGTGAAAAGTGCATAACAAAAATCCTCAAACATGTACCAGTGCCTGGGACAAGTTGATGCTTCCAGACCTGTTGGTGGAAAGAGGAGACCTTGTCAAAGAGGAGGAGATGGGGGTCACCCAGTGGTGGTATTCAGCCAGTTCTCTCCGGATCGCGTGAACCGGTAGTGGCGACTGCAGGAGGCTCCACCCACCCACCCAGATGTAATGTGTGACTACTGCGCATGTGCACACTCGTTTTTGTGAACCATTATGGAAGGTAAGTGAATCCCACCTCTGGGGTCACCCATCCTGAACCCATAGATTCAAACTGAAAAGAGGGGGAGGAGAAGGGACTTGAAAAAGGGGAAGAAAATAAGGGCAGGACGGTGCCCAGCTGGAGGGAAGCCAGGACGTGGATGGGGTGCAAAGTACGGCGAGAGCCTGGGAAGACAGGTGGGGGCAGCCTCCCCTCAAGTAACAGGGTCAGAAGAAGAAAACAAAAGAGCAACTCAACAAGGACCGATATCTGGACCAATGGGCAGGGAAGGGTCTCAGGACACCCTTTGCTTAAATACCAATGGATGGATGGGTGGATTTTCTGCTCTTCGGTTTCACAAATTCCTTGACCCATTGTTTACTAATTCATTGTTGGTCTGCTATTAATCTTGGTTAATCTTTGTTTACCTGTTGTTGATTGCTGGCAAGGGGGTATTTGGGGTTTTTGGTCTCCTTTTTGGCTTTCTCAAAGGATTGTCTCTTTTGAATGGTGTGTAAATGTTGTTTATGTCCGTATCACCTGTTGATGGCTGATTTGGCTGGGTGCCAGCCTTCTGGTTCTGTGGTGGCAACCTTTATATTTTCCTGCCATGAATGGGCATTTTATCCCCAATTTTCATGGCTGGTACCCCATCCATATTTTTAGTTGTCCAACATAGAATCTTAGGGTTGGAGATCTTTTTCTTTTTTTAAAAGTTTTTTTTAATTTTTTTATAAAAATGTCAAATCAATGCATGAACAGTGTGGCCCTGGGTGCCATACATTCCAATACAAATGAAACTGATCAGATTTAACATTATTATTACATTCAATCAACTTATGTATTTCTAATAACAATACACTCTATATTAGGGTTACAATCTATCATTATTCAAGTATTCCACCTATTTCTCATTATTACTTCATTTTATCAAATAAAAATGTATACATTAATATTTCCTTTATTTCTATCACTTATTCTAGCTTTTAATCATGTCACCCTATATTAAAAGGATTTTTCTTTCTTTCCTGTCTAACTTCTAATCATGTCATAGTTCTGAATTATCTCTTGGGGTAATTTAAAACAAAGAAACATCCTCTCCCCCATTCCACCACAGCTCACCTTCTTCTCTCCAGCACCAGTCTTAGTTGTTATTCTTCAGGGTTTTTTTTTTATTTATTATTATTATTCATATTTCTATGCCGCCTACTCTCCGAGGACTCTGGGCGGCTTACACCAAAGACAATATACTAAATAGCATATTACAAAGCCGAGGTGGTGCAGTGGTTAGGGTGCAGTACTGCAGCTACTTCAGCTGACTGCTAGTTCAGCAGATCAGCGGATCAAATCTCACCGCTCAAGGTTGACTCAGCCTTCCATCCTTCCGAGGTGGGTAAAATGAGGACCTAGATTGTTGGGGGCAATGTGCTATTTAGTATACTGTCTTTGGTGTAAGCCGCCCAGAGTCCTCGGAAGTGGGTGGCATAGAAATAATAATAATAATAATAATAATAATAATAATAATAATAATAATAATAATAATAACCCCCAACAATCTGGGTCCTCATTTTACCCACCTCAGAAGGATGGAAGGCTGAGTCAACCTTTAACTGGTGAGATTTGATCCGCTGATCTGCTAAACTAGCAGTCAGCTGAAGTAGCTGCAGTACTGCACCCTAACCACTGCGCCACCTCGGCTCTACAAAGCTAGGACAACAAAGTTAGTTGTCCTAGCTTTGTAGCAGCCATCTTTAGGCTGCTGCTGCTTCTTGCCGTGGCTGAGAGGGAAAAAAGACCCTGGGCCGTACATAAGAGCTGCAATTCTCCCCGACCCCACAGGGTGCCCCTCTTTGCTTCATCACTCCTGCAGGGTGGCTTAGGCTCCCTCCGGAGCCCACAAACATGACGAATTCAGCACAGGGAATGCAGAGACCCATTCCTCTGTGTCTGTACCGCGGCGATGTCAACAGGAGGTCCAGGGCTTGGAGGTCTTCTACAGTAGTTCAAACTCCTGCTCAAGGAAGGAGACCTTATACCAAATGGTTGTCCAGTCTATTTTTGAAAACCTCCAGTGATGAAGCACAACTCCACAACTCCGGGAGGAAAACTATTCATTGATTAATTGTTCTCACTGTCAAGAATCGTATCTCCAGGTTGGATCTCCCTTTAATGAATTTCCACCCATTGGTTCTTGTCCTGTCTTTCTATGCTTTGGAGAATGTCAACTTCCTCTTCTCTGTGACAGCCTCTCAAGTCCTGGAAAGATGCTATCATGTCACTCCTAGTCCTTCTCTTTGCTAGACTAGACATATCTAGAAATGCTTCAACGTTTTTTTGCATCAACAAAGACCTACCTTGTATGAAGAAAGAGGCCACCAGGAAGCCCAAAAAGGGCACACAAAAAGAGGCGAACCCCATCTGGAAGGGAAAGGAAAGGGCAAGCTAAATCAAGGAGCTGCTGTTACCAGATGTATTGATGCCCTCCAGCTGTGTTGATTTCAGAAGGAGATTGGATAAATTCAGGGAGGAGGATGGGATCTCATCAACTCCTAGTCTTTCTGGCTGTTTATCCCCTCCTGAGTCAAGACTGTTGGACAAGCAGGCACAGAAACAGCCAGGGAAGTGATTGAAACCTGGAAAACGGCCCCCTCCTCAGTCAACAAGAGTGCTGATTTACCACCAGTTGGTAAATACTTGGGAGGCAAGGGCTTGGCAGCACAAACTTCAGCTAATGACTTAATAGCCAGCCATCAATACCCCAATCAACATCTAACAAGCCACATACAATATGCACCATATAAATACCACAAACAGAACAACCCAAAGCCCACCCTCTGCTAGAGAGAAGTTCCCTGAAGATGGGCTCCAGCACAAGTCCAAAAGCTCAGGAGGCAAAACCTCTGGTCCCGGTGACTGACCCAAATTAGTTCCCACAACATTCTCCTGGAACACATAGATTCACCTTCATTTGAATATCAATAAATTACAGTAGCATCCTCAACTGTCTAACAGCTTGCCACCCTCTTCTTGCTACTGAATTGCCTAAAGACTCCTGGGTTGACCTCTGTGGGACATAGAATGGTGGCCTGGATGGACTCCACTCTGTCCTTCCATCTTTCTGTTTTTAGATAATGAAAAAGAAATCTTCGTTGGCCTTTTGGTAAATTGCAGAAACATAAAAAGCCACACATGAGGAGAACTTCATGAGAACCTGAACAAGTCAATCCCCCACCTGTAATACCTTGACTGACACTGGTTTAGCTGCTTTTAAAAAAAGGAACCTGTGGTTAGCATCTCGTTATTAAATGCTATGGACCAGCCAGATGTGTCCCCTCTATCAATCGGTGGGTCCCCTCTGACGTATCCTAGAGGCTGCTTTCGGATGGAGGCTGCTTACAGGTCAGTCTTTGTATGCTGTCAGGAGAATTATGAGCTTTTGCTCCTTCTGGGTACAATGCTGGTTCTTTCTGAACCATTTATTTATGAGTGGGTTTGGGAGTAGTGTGTAAGTGTGGCAAACAGGTACTACAAGGACAAATATCTACTGAAGCCAGAAGCACATCGAGATCATTTTTTATGTGGAAATGCCACGGCTGAGCAGTGATCCAGGCAATGGGAAATACATGCTGGAAAGAGGAAAACATGCACCAGCAGATCCCAAAGAGTTGACAAAAATCTTATTGAGAGCAAGGTAGACATCTAGGAAGAGTGTTTTAATCTATGGTAGGAAAAGGAGGCTGGTGTGAGGAAAGGACAAACTTTGTGCAGACATGTTAATGGACAGGAGGTTGATATAACATCATGGAGAAAGCCAGATCAGAGCATTTTCAACCCCTCTATGACAGACCCAAAGTGACCATTTTGGAAAAAGGAGACTTTGAAACAAAGAATCCTAGAACTGGAAGGGACTCTGGAGGTCTTCTAGTCCAGCCCTACTCTCAAGTGCAGACCAGAGGTGGGTTTCAGCAGGTTCTGACTAGTTCTGGAGAACCGGTAGCAGAAATTTTGAGTAGTTCGGAGAACCAGTAGTAAAAATTCTGACTGGCCCCGCCCACATCTACTCTCTGCCTCCCAAGTCCCAAGTCTCAATCATCTTTATGATACCGCATCAGCCTTCGAACCTGTGTCATCCCAAGGCATTGGGATGGGGACTCCCGGCATTCCTGGCTGCAGGGAGAAAGGATGGGAAATATGGGGGTGCAGTCCCAATGCACATCACGAGCATCTTGTTAGGACAGACTGTCCCAAATCACAGCAATATCTCCTCTTCAGTTCATTGCTGATCAATTGACCAAGAATATCAGTCAATATATCTATGACTTGTCTTGTTCAGTAGTTTTATTTCAGGAAGAAATAACTCCATGATTCAGCCGGCAGAAGGAAGCCTCCAATCTTTTGTACTGCGGTATGAATTTCCTAAAGAAATTAGTTTCATCTGAATGAACTTCATGTCTTCAGCATCTTTATTGCTCAAATGACTTCGTCTCACTTTGGAAGGGCACTTTTGATCACTGGTTGTCGAGCTGCTTCTTTAATAGAATAACAGAGTTGAGAGGGACCTTGGAGGGCTTCTAGCCCAACCCTCTGCTGAAGCAGCAGACACTGTGCCATTTCAGACAAACGGTTGTCCCATCTGTTCTTGAAAACCTCCAGCGATGGAGCACCCACAACTTCTGGAGACCAGTCGTTCCGCTGGTTACTAGACTAGCCATGGCCAATTCAGCCTCCAGTCCCCTAACCATCTTTGTTACTCTTCTGTGCTCCCTTTCACAACTCTCCAAAAGTCCTGCCTGTTTCCTGATCCTTGGAAAAGTTCCTTTGGAAAGAAGAAGCCAAAGATTTGATGGGCTCCATCCCTATTTTCTCCTTCAGACGTTTCGTTAAGAGAGAAAATGTTGTCTCCTCCAGGAGGGCATCAGCCACCAATTTTCTGGCTGGAGTTAAATAAGACAAAACTAAAGTCAGCAACACATGGAAGACTTAATGGGCTGATTTCAGTACAGACTGTGATATTTTTAATTGCTTTTTAAAATTCCTTGGCTATCATCCCTTTCACATTTTGATTTTCTTATTTTGTGGGTTTGAATTTCTAATTTTTGACAAGTAAAATTAATTAGTTACTGTAATTAATTTTACTTATCAAAAATTATGAATTAATGAAATGAATAAATGAATGAATGAATAAACAAATAAATTCCTTGCCTATTGTCCCTGTCAGATTTTGATTTCTTATTTTGTGGGTTCAAATTCGTAATTTTTGACAAGTAAAATTAATTAATTAATTACCGTAATTAATTTTACTTGTCAAAAATTACAAATTAATTAGTGAAATGAATGAATGAACAAATAAATTCCTTGCCCATCGTCCCTGTCACGTTTTGATTTTCTTTATTTTGTGGGTTTGAATTCGTAAAATTTTGTTTGAGGAAGCCAGCAAGGAGAGAGAAAAAATTCTCTCCCCCCTGAGGTAAAAAAATACCTAGTCAGGGCTAAGAGACCCTTATCTCTGACCCTAAGTTACCCTGTATTCATAATCATCTTTACACTTATGAGTGTTATCTTATACGTGATAGATAGATAGATAGATGATAGGATTAATTAGAATAGATAGATAGATAGTTGTGCAGAAAATGGAGGACATGGGGTCTTGGCAGGCTTTTTAGCTGTCCGTTTCACTGCCTGTAGAGGGCAGTCTACATTCTTGCCTTTAAATCCTAGCTGGGCTCTACAGGCAGTGAAACGGACACCTAAAAAGCCTGCCAAGACCCCGCGTCCTCCATTTTCTGGCGCGAGTCTTAGCCCTGAGTAGGTATTTTTTTACCTCAGGGGGGAGAGAATTTTTTCCCCTCTCCTTGCTGGCTTCGTTCCTCTCGTCTTCAGCCTGGAATCCACGTAAGGGCTCTAAAAGGGGTTAAAATAGAATGGAGGGCGAGAGGGAGGGAGGGAGGGAGGGAGGGAGGGATGGATAGATAGATAGATAGATAGATAGATAGATAGATAAATGATTGATAGAGGTAGATAGATAAATAGAGATAATATTGATTATAGATAGATATAGATATGAAGATAGATAGATAATAAATAGATAGATAGATAGATAAATAGATAGTATAGATAGATATAGATATGAAGATAGATAGATAATAAATGATAGAGGTAGATAGATAAATAGAGATAGTATTGATTATAAATAGATATAGATAGGAAGATATAGATATAGATAGATAGATATAAATAATGATAGAGGTAGATAGATAAATAGAGATAGAATTGATTATAGATAAATAGATATAGATATAGATATAAAGATAGATAATAAATAAATGATAGAGGTAGATAGATAAATAGATAGATTGATAGATAGATATAGATATATAGATAATAATAGATATAGATAATAGAGATAGTATTGATTATAAATAGATATAGATAGGAAGATATAGATTATAGATAGGAAGATAGATGATAAATAATGATAGAGGTAGATAGATAAATAGAGATAGTATTGATTATAGATAGATAGATATAGATATAGATAGATAGATAATAAATAAGTGATAGAGGTAGATAGATAAATAGAGATAATATTGATTATAAATAGATAGATATAGATAATAGATAGGAAGATAGATAGATAATAAATAAATGATAGAGGTAGATAAATAGAGATAGTATTGATTATAAATAGATAGATAAATATAGATAATAGATAGGAAGATAGATAATAAATAAATGATAGAGGTAGATAGAAAATAGAGATAGTATTGATTATAGATAGATAAATAGATATCAGATGATGGGATGTATGTACAGATGAGGCCCTGTCATATGGGGGCCATATGTGGAGATAGGATCCAGGTGTGGGTTTAATGGACATGAGAGTGAAGAATATGAATTCTGAAAAACATTTACTCTTGTCTTCATTTCATTGCCTTAAAACAATTCTTTTCTACCTTCCAGTATAACAGGGGATTTGCAATGAAGGCTTTCCATACTGTGAGGGCAGGGAATGGGGGGGGGGGGCTGCACAGTCAAAGCGAGGCAGAAGTAAAAGGCTTACCTGTCAGAAACCACTAAGGCAGGGTACTGGATGCAAGAAGATTTATTTTTATTTGTTTATGTTTATTTATTTATTTTGTCGAGGACATATTAGATAATATATATAAGTATAAGCATGAATTGAATACATAAAATGAATACAATTAAAGGGAACATTAGGACAGGGATTAAAGGCACACTGGTGCTCTTATGCACACCCCTTACAGACCTCTTAGGAATGGGGTGAGGTCAACAGTAGACAGTTTAAGGTTAAAGTTTTGCGGGTTTGGGGAAGAAGCTACAGAGTCAGGTAGTGCATTCCAGGCATTGACCACTCTGTTGCTGAAGTCATATTTTCTGCAATTGAGTTTGGAGCGGTTCACTTTAAGTTTGTTATCTATTATTTGCTCGTGTATTGTTGAGGCTGAAGCTGAAGAGGTCATTGACAGGTAGAACATTGTGGTAAATAATTTTATGTACTACACTTAGGTCAGACCAATGGCGGCGTAGTTCTAAATTGTCTAAGCCCAAAATTTCAAGTCTGGTGGCATAAGGTATTTTATTGCAGGTAGAGGAATGGACGACTCTTCTTGTGAAATATCTCTGGACTCTCTCCATTGTATTAATGTCCGATATGCAATGCGGGTTCCAGACAGATGAGCTGTATTCCAGAATTGGTCTAGAAAATGTTTTGTATGCTCTAATTAATAGTACAATACTTCTAGAGAAGAAGCTATGCAAGATTAGGTTAACAACTCTTAATGCTCGCTTATTAAAAAAAGCCCCAAACCACATAGCTAGAACATGCAACTAGAAACTTTGCAAGATACCCATCACCTGGGGTGAGTGCCAGGTGACATGAGAGTTAGCTACTTCGCACAAGCAAGTGCAAAAGCCTTGCTGAAACCTTTAGGGGGCTGTAATCCAGGTAACCAATCAATATATGTTATGCAAGCATTAGTAGGGGGAGGGCAATGGGGTGAATGTGATCCACCCTTAAGAATTTCTGTAAAACTGTAATCACAGCCTTGGCAGATTTCAAAGCCAGGGTCCTTGTAGGTAGGTACGTAGGTACTTATCTTTGTAGGTAGGTAGAGAGAGGGGGGGGGAGGGAGACAGAGAGAGACAGACAGATACAGATATATAGAGATATGATGATAGTCAGGAATTGAGGAGCAGAGGGGAAGTTTAGTTTTAGCACCTAATTGGGGCCCTCTCCCTTCTAGCACTGATAATGTTACTTAGTTGAGTCATGAAAAATCTTCAAGAAAAAGACCCAGAGTAGTGGATTCGTAGCAGCGAAAGGCAAAATGGCATATTCTTAGCAAACCATGGATGATTTCAGTGATGAGCAAATTATTTGGACAAAAAATGAGTGAGTGAGTAAGTGATGGGATAGTGTCCTGGATCACACTCATCTCCCCAATCTGTTCCTCTCTGAATGTCTTGACATATTGGCAGAAGGCAGAGGTAGACCATAAGACTAAGTGATTCTTGCCATGTCAGCTTGGGCTCATCTAAGTTGGAGGTTGAACATTTTAAGCAGTATATAAGCAGCTTTGTGGATTCCTCTAGTGCGGAGTGTCCCACCTTTGGCCACTTTCAACTCCCAGAATTCCACAGGTGGCTAATAGGGAATTGACCTTTATGGGCCTTGAGAAACTCTAATGAAAAAGGAAAGCAATGACAGAGATAAAATTGAAAATAGTTTATTGGTTTTCACAGGAAAGTATCGGACCCTTAACCTGATGGAATTGACTATGTAGGCTTAGGACTGGTGGTCTTCAAGGATTGGGAAACAAGGAGTCTCTCTTGTAGTCAAGACATTTCTCAACTTAATTCCAAGAGCCATGGCATCCCTAATGAAAACCTGCTGTCACTAACTCCTCAACATGCAAAGGAACTGTGCTTTTTTTGAACAATTTCGATTCTTCCATTTTTTAAATCCTGAAAGAGAAAAGTGAAAGGAAATTGGGCATGTGTCTCTTTCTCCACCTTTACCTTTGCATAGAAGAAGCATAGCCCATTAATCCCCCCTAATTTTAAGCATTCAAAGCAGAACATCCCAAGCCATGAACTTTATGAGGGCTTCACAATTTCTCCCATTCTTGTAGTGCACAACTCCTTATCTAACATGCTATCTTTGGACTTTCATCACTGACTCTAGACTTCAGTTTAAGGCCTTCCTGGTTGAGTTCACTGTACTTTGTAATTACACCATGTTCCCAGTCTTTGCAAGTTGTAGGTCATACTCTACCAACAATGTATTACCTGGATTGGGTTTTTGGAAGTACATTGGAACATACGATATTCTATATTCTAAGGAATGCATGGTAATGGGATGGGGTCTATCGGAGGAAGAGGGGGAGAAGGGGAAACAGGAGGAGGAAGAGAAGGACGGAGGAGAGGGAGAAGGGGGAGAAATGGTGATGGAGGAAGGAAAAGGAAATGGCGAATGATGGTGGTGGTAGTAGTGATAGTGATGGAGAAGGAGAAAGAGAGGTGGTGGTGAGGAGAAAGAGAAGGAAAGGGAGGAGAAGGAGAAGAAGGAAAGGCAGATGATAGAGAAGAGGACTATTTGAAGACCAGCCCATTTGAAGTTTGGTCTTGAGGACATCTCTCACTCCTTCCCAACCTGTTGCATATTAGAAGGACCAACCATGTTTCTGAGAATTTGGGTGGACAGTCTGAGGATTCCTTTCCTAGAAGACCTCCACAATGTCTTCCAATCCCATGATTCTATGGAAGAGTGTCCCATTCTCACCTGACGAGGCAGACAGCTGGATGCAATTCAGGTAGTTCCTTGGTCTAGGAAAGGTTTCATCCCAGGATACATAGGGAATGGATGAATAATCAGTCCATTTCCAACATTTTTTCTGTAAAAAAAGGAGGGTTTTTTTTTTTTAACCTCATAGAGATTGAGAGTCTCCACATGGCTAATTGCCCTCAAATCATTGGCATCTCATGTTTGGCCACAGTGCATGTTGACCCTGCTGGGCTCGGAGAAGCCAAGATGGGGTAAACCTGGTCAACCAGACCTACTACTTGGCCCAGAGAATCACTAGGAATCCATTTCATGTTCAGGGACCCCTCTGCAAAGGGCAAAACGGGGTAATGTGAACTCCAACAGGCTCTTGCTGAGAGACTTCCAAGCTTGGGAGAGAATTTAATTGAATTGAATCCTTTATTTTGCCAAGTGTGATTGAACACCCAAGGGTGTTGCCTCCAGTGCAGAAGCTCTCAGTGTACATGCAAAGCAACAGAATAATAATCATAATAGTACCAATAAGAAGGGGTAGTTAAGATAAGAAGGATAATACTACTATTACAGATAGACTACATGGATAGATATACTTAGACGTGAGACAGTACTATGAGTATTAGGAGTTCAGCAGAGTGATGGCACGGGGGGGAACTATCCCTGTGTCTAGTTGTTTTGGCATGCAATGCCATGTAGCAGTGTCCTAAGGGCAGGAGTTGAAACAGTTTATGTCCAGGATGTGAGGGGTCTGTAGGTATTTTCTCAGCCCTCCTCCTGATCTGCACAATATACAGGTCCTCAATGGAAGGCAGGCTGCTTGCAATTGTTTTTTCTGAACTCCTATCTATCTATCGAAGTCTGTCCCTGTGCTGTTTTGTTGCTGTACCAAATCAGACAGTTATAGAAGTATATATGACAGATTTATTTATGTATGTATGTATGTATGTATGTATGTATGTATGTATGTAGTCTTGTTTATTCATTTATTTAGTTACTTATTTAAAACATTTACACAGCTGCCCATCTTTCAACCAACACTGGACGACTATCAATCCAAAGTGAAAAAACATCTAAAGTCATGTTAAAATTATACAACTTGACCAATTGTGAATACGCTAAAAGCAACAAATTGGTTCTAACACATAATAATCCAATTTTCTCGTAGCTAGGAAGCCTCCCATCAAATGGCAATACAGGTTGTCCTTAACTCATGACAGGTTGCTTAGCAACCGTTCGAAGTAAAGACCTTCCTGAAAAAGGGGACTTGTGACCTGGATTCAAAGTTCCAACAGATGGGTAGCTTCCTCCGTCATATGACCAAAATCTGGATGCTTGGAAATCTAGACACAGTTATGACCGTTTTCAGGGTCACGGGGTCCCACAACACAGTAAGTTTCGCTGAAACCCAACACGTACTTTCAGTTTTTGGCAAAACTACACCCTTAGTAAACCATTCGCTCATTGAGGTCTGCCAGAAAATGGCCATAAAATTGGGCAGTTATGTTACCAGCCCATTTTATGACCTTTATGACAGGGGCCGCCAACCTTTCAGACTTCAGGGACCACTAAAGTCATAATTTTAAATCCTGTAGACCATCAATATGATTTTTTAAAAAAGATAAATAGTATTTAGTGCAATATAAAAAATGGAAATATTTTTTCTGCGGACCATCAAAATTTTCCATGGACCATTGGTTGGTGACCACTGCTTTATGACACATGACCATAATGGGCAGTCTTCGATACAGTCATTATGTTGAGTCATATGTCCTGGTCCCATCTGTTCTTTCCTCCTTCCCTAAACATCTCCATTCCCAATGGGAAATGTCAGAGGAAGCGAATTCAAGGAAGGAAGCTGTCAATTACCGTAAATCCATAGGTCACCTTTATAACTGCCTGGTTTGGTTGTGCAACCCAGCAAGACAGACAGAGACTTCAGAGGATAATTAGAACTGCAGAAAAAACAATGGCTACCCACTTGCCTTCCATTGAGGACCTGTATACTGCAGGAGTCAAAAAGAGGGCTGGGAAAATATTTGCAGACCCCTCACATCCTGGACAAACTGTTTCTACTCCTACCCTCAAAATGACACTATAGAGCACTGCACACCAGAACAACTAGACACAAGGACAGTTTTTTCCCGAACGCCATCACTTAATCTTCTCATCCTTCCCATCACCCATCTCCTTCCACTTATGACTCTTTGACTGTAACTTTGTTGCTTGTATCCTTAAGATTTATTGATTGTTTCCTGATTGCTTATTTGTACCCTATGACTATCAATAAGTGTTATACCTTATGATTCTTGATGAACGTATCTTTTCTTTTATGTACACTGAGAGCATATGCACCAAGACAAATTCCTTGTGTGTCCAATCACACTAGGCCAATTAAAAAAAAAATCTATTCTATTCATAGGTTATCATCTCACAGCAAGAGAGAGTTCAGGTGTGTAATTCTCCCAGGTATTTCCGAGCCCTCTTCTAGGGATCTCATGAGGCAAGCCATGGAAACAGAGCATGCAAAAATAAAGAAACAACTGGACTGGTTAGTTACCATGCAGGAATCATAGAGGCCAATCCAGACACCTTTACTGGTGATGTAGTTGGTGGAGATGTGACTGGCAATCATCTCCTGTTCCATCTTGGAGACGATGGAAGCCAGGTGAGCGTACTGGCTGTACTGCTGGCAGTCGGTCTGAAAGGATCCAAAAGAAGACCTTTTTGGATGAGCCTCTGATAGGGGAGGTGCAGAAGAGCAAAGCCGACCTTCCACGTGTTAGTGATGGTGGCTGGAAGGGAGACTCAGGGAAGGGCTGGAGGATGTCTATGGGCACAAAGACAGGCTTCCATATTCACAACTTTATACATCATTTGCAAGATGACCTCATGAAATGCACTGCTTGAATCGAGCTGTAAACAATATCCCAATCAAGGAGAACAAACCATCAAAGAAGAAACAAAGCCCAATCAGGAATGACCAAGAACATGCCCACCAACACTGGCAGGGCAACCCAGAGACTTAAGTTTTGGATGCTGAAAAGAAAGATCCAAGTGATCCAAAAGGCTCATTTCCAGTTAGCATTGACTTCCTTCAAGTTCAAAAGGTAGTTTCTTCTTACCTCAGCATCTTTCCATGATTGGGGTACAGAATGGAACCCATAGCATTTGTTTTGGAACCTGAACCAACCTAAGGGGCAGACTATCCCTTTTATGCCTGTTCAAGAGAGAGAGGAGAGCATGATCAGGGAGGTCAGAAGAATCAAAATGGTTGAAATGATTTCCCTAGAAGCTTTTGATGCTCCTGGAGAGGAAGCTCTGAGGAAAGGGGTTGGGATTACAGAGTATAAAACATTTCCTGGCAAGTGAAGATGTCTTCTGCTAGAGAACTTGTTGAAGTGTCCTGCAGGTTGTTCTATTGGGGAGAGTTAGCCTTGGCAAGTTGGCTGCGGTGAGTTGTCCCATTCTGTTTTCCAGCTATGTTTTGCTCAAGGGAATGAGGGCTGAACTCACCTGATATAATGAAGTTGGCAACGAAGATCAAAACCAAGTGGTTGAAGGATCTTGAAAGTCGGAAGGAGAGAGAGAGAGAGAGAGAGAGAGAGAGAGAGAGAGAGAGAGAGAGAGAGAGAGAGAGAGAATGTAAGAGCATGCACGTTTTGAAGGTTAAGCCATTAAGACCCTTATTGTGTCTCTTTTGGGCAGCCTTGCTTCTGACTAATGCCTGGACCAGTCCCTGCTATTTCCTTAGCAAACATTTTCAAGAACACTATTGTCTTTATTTTATTTACTCATTCAGTTTCTACAGCCCAGTGACTCAAAGCAAATTACAGTTCTCCAGCAAATAAAATCAGAACAATTAAAAATAATAAATACATGCAGGAATAAATGTACAGAGAGGTGGAGGCAATCAACCTGCTAACAGTAAAGCCTTTAACACATTTGGTGCTCTAGGCTGTTTAAGAACAGCCAGGTTTTTAAAACCTTACTCTAAAAGGCCAATGTCTTAATTCCCAAGGGATGAATATTCCGGAAAGGAGAGCCCACGGCAGAAAAGGCTTGTCTCCAGGTCCCTGTCAGCTCACAATCTTGGGTTGATGGCATCTATACCTCTACTCAAACTGTTGCATCAAATAGGATGGATAGAGATTTTTTTTGGAAAACTGGATAACAGTTGGAAGGGACTTTGGAGGTCTTCTAATCCAATCTTCTGCTCAGTAAAAAGACCCTGAACCATTCTGGACAAATGTTTGTCCAAACACTTCTTAAAAACTTCTAGTGTTGGAGCACCCATAATTTCTGCAGGCAAGTCATTCCACTAATTAATTGTTCTCACTATCAGGAAATTTCTCCTTAGTTCTAGATTGCTTCTCTTTGATTAGTTTCTACCCATTCCTTCTTGTCCTGCCCCCTGGATTTTGGGAAATAGGTTGATCCCCTTTTCTTTTTGGCAGCCCCTCAAATATTGGAAGACTGTTATGTCACCCCTAATCCTTCTCTTTGTTAAACTAGACATACCCAATCTCTGCAACCGTTTTTCATATGTTTTAGCCTCCAGTCCTCTAATCATCTTTGTTTCATTTTCTCTGCCTCTTTCCACAGTCTCAACACCTTTTTATATTGTGGCAACCAAAATTGGATGCAGAATTCCAAGTAACCCAGTAATAATCACGTAACCCAATAATCCATCCTGTTACCCAGGAATCCATTACATAATCCAGTATTCCCAAACCCTGTAGGGCTTTAAAGGTGATGTTCCCTTTGGAGCAGCGTTGAAAGGGAGCTTCTTTGACCAATGGAGAAGGACAAAAAGGAAATTGCCTTACTTCTATAATGCTACGGAAAATTGAATTCAGCATCCACCTAATTCCAGTGTTTGGTGATGCTCCTTTTTACCTCTGTCCTGCTGGATGAGACTGCTATCGGAAATTGGACTCCTATCCAGTGCAACAATAGAGAGCAAAATAAACCTACTTGAACATAGTTTCTGCTTGCCTGATGTTCGTCTGCTGCAGCCCACTAATTCTCCTGCGGAATTTATAGCTTTTCTGAAGCAGTGGGGCCATTAATGGTCCTTGCAAGCAGAACACACAAGCTGCAAACTCAGGGCTGTTTTTAATAAAACAGCAGCAAGAAAAATAGCCAAAACCACACCAAGATCAGCTATATTTATTTATTTATTTATCAAAATTTATATGCCGCCCTTCTCCCGTAGGACTCGGGGCGGCTCACACAATAAAAGAACATAATAAGATACTAAAACCAAAAACCAAATTAAAATCCCCACAATTTAAAATCACACAGCCGATCAGGGGATTTGCCGAAAGAGCCATGTCTTCAGGTCAGCGCGGAAAGTGCGGAGGTCGGGAGCCGTTCGGAGCCCGGTGGGTAACCCATTCCAGAGGGTCGGTGCGGCCACAGAGAACGCCCTTGACCTATAAAAACAACGAGAGTATTTGGGATAGATAAGAAGCTGTGGTAAACTTTCTATGAGTTGATTACAGTGACAGTTTGTTAACAGAGGGTTTTGAAATTTTAATCTTTTTATTTTTTATTATTTTATGTTACTTATTGTTTTTATTATTATTCTATATATTAGCTATTTTCTCAATATAGTAGCCCTGGAGGAAGTGACAGCCAACTGGGGGATCTCCTCCACTGATGCTGAGGAGCTGTATGATTTTTACTAATTCATGATCACTCAAAGATGCTGATTCCAAGACCCACAGGGATTCCTGAAGGTGAACAAAGGGGGATCCAACCTCAAACAAAGCCGGGGGTCTGTTTCTCTTGTGGTAAAGAGGATCATTGAGCAGTCAACTGCTTGAACCCACTTCCGAGGCCAACGACCAAGAAAGCCCCACCGTGGGTTTATCTGTTGCCTTATAAACCCACCCCTAGCCTCCGAATGCAATTCTGTAAGCTAAAAGCACTGGTAGCATTCCAACAATTGGATGACTCATTAGTGTGTGTGTGGGGGAGGAGGAAGGCCCTGCTAGATTTGTAACAGGATCGTGGAGATGAAAATTGGAGCCTGTGTGGAAACCATAAGTTTCATCATAATGCCAAATAATGGACAAGGCTTTAATTCTGGCCTTACCATGACTAGAGAAAAGGAATCCAGCAATAGACTGAGATTCCCTCAACCACAACCCATCCAGAAAGTGGCAGTGGAAGTAGAACTTTGCAAGTACAGGTAGTTTTCGAGGTACGAACCTTTTGAAGTCAAAAATTTCATCAAATGAATCGGACTCAAGTTTACAAATTTTTAAAATCAAATTCATTAATTGAATCAAGTGGGTCGTTAAATGAACAAAGATCCGACTATTTCCTCCGATTCATTAATTGAGCGCTGGCATTGTTAACTGAACCTAGAGGCTTTCCCACTGGCCGCCTATCAGCTGTTTCTGATGCAGCCTTCTGCTAAGGAACTAAATTGCTTCCAAGCAGGGTCACAAAGCTCTCTGTCTACAGTTGCTTTAAAAAAAAAAAAAAAAAAAACACTTCCTGCTAGTCAGCTCAAGCTTCTTGAGAGGGCTGGCACAGTAATTTACAGAACTCTCTGATTGCAGTTGGTTTTTTAAAAAAACCCACACGCCACTAATTAACTTAAGAGTTTCCAGCCAGGCACCCAGAGGGAGATGGGGAAGGAATTTACAGAACTCTCGGTTTGCAACAGTAACAGAGATGGAAGGGACCGTGAGGTCATCTAGTCTAACCCACTGCTCTCACAGAGCATTTCTGATAAATGCCTATCCAGTCTCTTCTTAAAAGCTTCCAGTGATGAGGTACAGACAACTTCTAGCGGCAATTTAAATTTAAAACCTATATAACCTACAGTAATATAAACTAATCTCCAAAATAAAAGCAAGGAAACAACGTTATAGAATGCTTTGTGTAGATACTGGCTAGCATTTCTACAAGCAGTTTCAAGGCAAATGCAAACAAACTTTATCTTTGCAAAATGCAACCCAGTGTGGCTGAGAACATAGACCTAGGAATAAAAGCAGCCCTGCTCCAAGATGAATATTTAACAAAAATAAACGTGTTCATGCACGATGGATTTGCATACGTGGACAGCAAACTATGTGCCAGCCAGCTAAAGACTCTTGGTCTTACAAAGGAACCATGTCTCTAAAACCAGAGGGCGTTTTGGCTTTGTTAAAACCCTATATCTGATCAGACACCAGTTTTGGTGGCCATAGAATGCTACGTAGCTAGTTGTCCCATCTGCTGCAAAAGGGATAGTGGGCAAGCAGCAAGAATTATTGCAGGAGGTGCCTCAGCACCAGTGGTGAAATCCAAATTTTTTTACTACCGGTTCTGTGTGCGTGGCTTAGTGGGCACGGCAGGGGAAGGATACTGCAAAATCTCTATTCCCTCCCCACTCGGGGGCCAGCCAGAGGTGGTATTTGCCGGTTCTCCGAACTACTCAACTTCTCATTTTTGGCAGGAATTTTTGAAGTCATTAGGCACCATCCAAGGTCTAAGTTCCTTGTACCGTCCTCAGATTAATGGTGCCTGTTAACTTACCAACAATGTATTGGAATAATACCTTTGATGTTTTATCAGTTACCAGCAAGACAATTGGACAGAGCTATTCCCATTTGCAGAAGTAGCTTATAACAATGGAGTACATAGCAGCACTGGCTTTGCAACTAGTAGAGACTTTGTAGCCATGTCGGAACTACCACAAGAGGCACCTGTGCCTTTCCCTAACAGGATGGATAAATCAATCGCAAACTACTTGGCCATTGTTCTGTCAGGTATTGGACAAGGCTAGGGAAACTTATGAAAAATATGCTGATAAAAATGGCCCCCAAAAGGAGTTTCATGAAGTTTATTTCTCTACAAATATCTGCAATCTAGGCAACCATTGAAAAAGCTTGGCTCTAAATCTGTGGGTCCTTTCCCCATCGTAAGGATTACAAATCCAATAACTGTTGAACTTAAATTACCAAAGAACCTTAGAAGGATTCATCCCGTCTCCCATTGTAGTCTGCTTAAATCGGACAAAACCTCCCCTGCCCCCTGCCTGCCTGCAGAGACCCCTTTCCTTCTGAGTCTTTCGGGTTATTTAAGATATTTCAGGAAGCTCTAATTGGTTTGTGTGCCACGGTAATGCCGCATGGTTCTAATGGTCTGTTGGTGGTTTCAGAGATGTTTTTGATGTTGGAGTGCCATATATCTCCCATAGGGAACATTCTCAGTGCTGCCACGATTGGTTCATTTTGGATTTGGTTCAGTTTTTTGGCAATGAGCACCGGGAGTCCTCTCAATGAATGAAAACACACAAGAGAAAAATTCAGAAGCATCATCTGCCCTCGGATTAGAGTTTATTGATTAGTGACACCACATGGAAAAGAAAGTCTGATGCGCAGGCTTCTTCTGTGGGTCAGCAGGCTGATGTTGTAGTAGCCAGGGAGATTCTGGCTTCCAACCTTCAAGGTGCTTCCAGCTACATTCAGTACACAGCCATCTTGCACAGATAGGGCTGTTTCTTCTCACAAAACTGGAGACTCCAATATTTATAGTCTAGAAGAAATCAGATAATTGATTGGACTTTTGTTGCAATTTTATTGTAACAATCTTAGAATTTGTACCTAAGAAAACAGTATTTTGTCACAAATGATTAACTTTTTTGGATAGGAACATTTAAACATACTTTTGCCATTATAGTTTACAGGTAGTCCTCAACTTACAACCATTCATTTAGTGACCATTCAAAGTTACAACAGCACTGAAAAAAATGGTTTATGACTGGTTTTGACTGTTGCAGTACTCTTATGATCAAGTTAACAAAATTTGGACATGTGACTACTGGCATATATTTATGACTTGCAGTGTCCTGAGGTCATGTGATCCTTTTCGTAACCTTCTGACAAGAAAAGGAAATGGGGAAGCCAGATTTGCTTAACAACCTGAGACAGCTGATGCATCTCACGGGATGGCACTGCTTGGTTTCTATTCCTCTGAGTTCCCTCCCTGCGTTCCTGCCCCCCAGTTACTGATGACAGGCTGTCAGCTTGCAACATGCAGCTTAGCAAAAGGGCAGCCATGACACGAGTGTTGTTGAGATCTTCAGAAAAAGGAGTGAGGAAGGACAATAGGTGGCATTACACCAAGGGCAAAATGAATATGTCCCATTCTGATGATCTTGGAATTGAGATCATCAATGAGCTTCGTTGAGCTTAACTGGGTTCAGCTTCTTTCAAGGCCTCAACACAGGTTTTATGAGTTTCCCTTCTCACACCTAAAAAACAACGCCATCACTTCAGTCGTGATGCTGTTGGGAATATTGAACTCTCCAGGGTCAGGACTTGGAAGAGGGGGTAAAGTAAAAGTAAGCTAGATGATAAAAGTAGGAAAAACGTATCTCTGCATCCCATTGTGGCTGGGTGAGCTTTTTTTGCTCAGTCAATTAAGGTCTTAACTGGATTTGTGCAATAAACTGACCCTCTGGCTAAGTAAAGTTTGCACATCTTCGTAAGCCATGGAAAAAAATTAATCCAGGTCTAAACTAACAAAACTAACCCGTGTCTACCTGGGTCAGTTGGAATGCCAGCAGCTACAATTTGAAGAATATGCAAAGCTCAGTTAGGTATTTTATTAGATTTGGTGCATGTCTATGGGGCTGTGGATTAACATGCTGTCGAAACCCACTTTGGCAGTAAGCTTTTGTTCCACGTTTTGGCCAATTCAGAATTCTGTTGGAATTCCAAAGCCACCAAGCTTTTCAGGAAGTCTTCAGTAATTGATTTGATAGGTGAATGTCTATGGAGATTCTCAATCATCCCGATCACGGTTGTCCCAAAGTTGTGCTTTTTCCAAATGCAACTGGAATTCCATGATGAACTAAAGAAGCTTCTTCAATGAGAAGGGAAACATTATCAAACAGAAGACCAAGAAAGAGCAGTTGCCTTTTGAGGGGGGAAAAACCACCTTTGGGACTATTTGATAAGTGGTTCCCCCTAGCAGCATGGAAGATAGTGATCTTCCTATGTATGATGGAGATGATGGCAAAGGTGTTTGCTTTGGCTACCACCTAACATGATTGCCTTCTACTGCAGGGGTGGAGAATGATAGCCGTGCCTCAGGAATTCTGAGAGTTGAAATCCACAACTCATAAAGGAGACACTATTCCCCACCTCTACTCAACTGGATGGTTGCATACACTCTTTAGAGTCATTAGTGATAGAAATGATCCCTAAGTTTACATAAATTACTAAATAGGATTCATTCAGAAACGAAGCCCACGCAGTCTCTGACTTCATGCATATTGGCTGTGGAGGATTGGAAGGTTGTGCTTTTTCACACATCTGGAGAACATATGCTTGAGAAGTCTGATATACTAGAACAGAATACCTTCTTACCACTGCCATGTATCTGGACACAATCCCCTTTGTAGGTGGAAGGTTCAGAGGGTGCCCAAGGAACGTACTCCACCACGGCTGCGTCTAACCATCTGAATCGTGTCTGTAGAGAGAGAAAGCAACATCTCCCCAAGTGTTTTTCTGAATTTTGCAGAAATGAGGATATTTCTTCTCAAATGTACTTCTCAACAGCCAAAGGGTCAAATGTAAGAGGAATCAAGTTGTCCTAGGGGACAACAGGTTAAGTATATGCCAGCAGTGCGCTTCAGCTACCAAAAAGGAGCCTGGTTTAGCTGAACAGACAGAAGCACTGTAATTTAACACCAGCTGTCTGCAATTAAAGTAAGATCGAATTCCGCCAGGCTCAAGGTTGACTCAGCCTTCCATCCTTTCTAAGGTAGGTAAATTGAGGACCCTGTTTGTGGGGGCAATAAGCTGACTTTGTATAAATATACAAAAGTATAAAGGCTATTGCTTAACGCACTGTAAGCCGCCCTGAGTCTCCAGAGAAGGGCGGCATAAAAATCAAATTAAAAAACAAAAAACAAAAAAAAGGTGATAGACCAAGATAGGCTCAAGATCAGACAAGGTGATAGCATTGCTTAACACTGCACTAGTGAGGCCACACTTAGAATACTTAGAATCCAGTTCTGGCCACCATGATACAAAAAAAATGTTGAGACTCTGAAAAGAGTGCAGAGAAGAGCTAGAAAGATTAGAGGGTGAGAGGCTGAAACATGATTACCGCTTGCAGGAACTGAGTTTGTCTATCTAACGAAGAGAAGAATTAGGGGTGATGTGATAGCAGTCTTCCAATATTTGAGGGGCTGCCACAGAGCAGAGGTGACTATTCTTCAAAGCACCTGTAGGTAGGACAAGAAGTAATGGGTGGAAGATTATCAAAAAGTGATCCACCCTAGTGTGAAATTTTCTGACAGAACAATGAATCAGTAGAACAGCTTGCCTCCAGAAGTTGTGTGTACTCCATCGCTGGAGGCTTTAAAAAAATAGACTGAACAACCAATTGACTGGGCTTCAACCAATTGATAGGGCTTCTACTTTGAGCAGGAGGTTGTACTAGAAGACCTGAGATCCCTTCTATCCCTAGGGTTCTATATTCTACATTCTGTTCTAAAACATGAGAGAATAAATTCAGGCATGCATACAGAGTTTCAGGAAAACTGAAAAATATAAGTCCAGTCCAGCACAATACCACTGAAAAAGAAACAAGAAATCCAGCATGGTTACACAAATATCTCTCCAATAAACTGAAAGACTAAAAGGACAAGTACAAAAAATGTAAGGAGGGACACACAACTAAGGCAGAATATCAGCAGATAGCCCGAATCTGCAAAGATAAATCCAAGAAACAAAGACTCAAAATGAACAAAGACTTGCAACAAAAGTCAAAGATAATGAAAAAAGTTTCTTTCAACATGTACATAACGGTCGGTTCACCAAAGAGAAGAAGGCAAGGAAGTAACAGGCAGTAGAGAGAAAGCAGAGTAACTTAACTCATTCCTTGCATCAGTCCACACGAAAAGAAACTATAGCCCAACCTACCAAAAACGTAACCATAAAAGGCAGACTAGAAATAAAAATTAAAAAAAACAAAATGGTAATCTTCATGAATATAAATCACTGGGACCTGATGGATTATATCCCAGAGATCTGAAGCTGCTGGCTTATGGTTTTCTCAGAACCATTGTACCAAATCTTTCAAAAATTCTGGAGCACTGGGAAACTACCAGTGGATTGAAATAGAGCTGATGTGGTTCTCATCTTTGACAAAGGGAAAAAAACAGATCCAAGAAATTACAGATCAATCAGCCTAGCATCAATACCTGGGAAGACACTGGAAAAAATAATAAGAAAACAGATCTCCAAACATTAAGAAACAAATAAAGTTACAACTAGAGGCCAGCATGGGTTTGTTAAAAACCGGTCATGCCAAATCAATCTTATTTTATTCTTTGACTAAATTAGCAGAGCAGCAAAATGCTCTGAACATAGTATACTTAGACTTCAGTAAGGCATTTGACAAAGTAGACCACAACCTACTTCTTGGTAAGCTAGAAAAATGTGGGATAGACAGCATCATCACCATATGGATTTGTATCTGGCTGACAAACGTTACTCAATGAGTAGTCCTTAATGGTACCATATCCACATGGAGGGAAGAAAGCAGTGGTTCCATTTTACGCTCAGTACTTTTCAGTATTTTCATAAATGATTTAGATGAGGGAATAGGAAAACTCATCAATTTTGCAGATGACACTAAGGTGGCAGGAATAACCAACACCCCAGAAGGCAAGCTTAAGATCCAAAAAGATCTTGATAGACTTGAACAATGGGCCTATCCAACAAAATGAATTTTAATGTGGAGAAAAGTAAGGATTTACACCTAGGCAAAAATCCCCCCAAAGGTACAAGTACAAATTAGGCAAAACCCGGCTCAAAAACAGTAATTGTGACAGGGACCATCCTTTAGTCAGACCACACCTGGAATCCAACATTCAGTTTGGGTCACCACATTACAAAAAAAATGCTGAGACTTTGGAAAAGTCTCCAAAGTGCAAAGAAGAGCAACTAAGATGATTAAAGGCCTGGAAATAAAAATATATGAAGCTTTCAGGAATTGGGCATGATCAGCCTAGAGAAAAGAAGGAATAGGGATGACATGATACCAGTATTTGAGGGGCTGCCACAAAGAAGATTGGGCCAACCTATTCTGCAAAGCACCTGAAGGCAGGACAAGAAGCACCAGATGGAAACTAATCAAAGAAAGAAGCAACCTGGAATTAAGGAGAAACTTCCTAACAGTGAGACAAATAAGTAGTGGAACGGATTGCCTACAAAGTTGTGGGTGCTCCATCACTGGAGGTTTTTAAGGAGAGACTGGAAAATCATTTGACTAAAATGGTATAGGGTCTCCTTCTTGAACAGGGGTTTAGACTAGAAGACCTCCAAGGTCCCAAGGGTGTTATTCTTTTAAGTATGGTAGCCATTGGTTTTTGGAGCTTGGTAGGTAATGAAGAAAGTTAGCAGCCAACCCATCTAGCAGTAACCAAAAGGACACTATTGCTCAGATCTGAATAAACGTGTCTGTTCTGCCCCAGCTACAGACCCCTGAGCAATAGTGTCCTTTTGGTACTCTCACAAGGCTGGCTAGGAACCACGTAGAATAAGTAAGGAAACACAAGCTGATTGCTCTTTTGGAGTAGTGTCATTTGGAGAGAATTGGGTTCTGTCCCTTTGTCCATTCCGAGCTCAATCTAGACAGCATGTGTAACATAGCCAAGATCAACTTCTTACGATCCCAAAGTTGCACAGAGATCCAAAACTGAATGTGTTGAAGGCTCTCCAAGGATCCCCCCATATACTAGGATTGCTATCATGCTCTTGTCAAGTTCTGGGGAATTGTGCCGTGATGTAAATCCAGTGACAGATTGGCTTATTCTTGTCACCTCCTCTCCCCCCCACCCCCAGAGCTTTTCATTGTCTTCAGAGATACCACTCCCTTCCCTCCCTGTGACTAATACAACTTATACACACCTTCCCCTTTGGGATTTTGTACAATCCAATCCAGATTTTAAATAACTTTTCGTAACCGGTGAGTAGAGCAGAAGAGATAGTATCCATTTCCCGTTTGCTAAGGATGGAGGCAAGGTGGGCATGTTTGCCATGTGAACTGCATTCTGTCTGGGAGACACCAAGCAGACACAGGTTAGGGCTTCCTGGTTTAGATGCTGACCCTGTCCTTTAGACCAGGATCTTCAAACCTGGCCACTTTAAGACTTGTGGATATATATCAGTTATGCTGGCAAAGATAATCCATACCAGAACTGAGGACTTCAAGGTTGCCCCAATTAGCACATTCCTTCTTTGTTTCTATTTTGAAAACCTGCTCCCATTCCTCCAAGAATTTGTTTCCCTCACAGTAGAAGCTTTGTCTGGCAACATCCTTTCTTTGCTGTGCCCCTATGATGTTACTTTCATTGCTCCTCAGTCCTACCATTAGACAACCCTAAGCTATGCTTTTCTATACTGAGGTTTAACTATGTGAGGGATCCTTGGTGCTCTCTGAGCTTGGTGCCGATGATATTATCTAGTTTGAGCGATGAAACATCTGCAGGAAATAGCCAAGCTCAGAGTGCCCGCCCCGAAACGGCCAGCCGTGAGTGAGCTGTCCTGGGGCCATTCGGGGAGGGGAGGATTCACCACCATGTGAGCCATCTCTCTCTCTCTCTCTCTCTCTCTCTCTCTCTCTCTCTCTCTCTCTCTCTCTCTCTCTCTCATAGCGTCAGGGCTCAGAACCACTACTATCTGTTCAGGAGGACGTAGTGAGGGATGTTGGTCAGGGAGAGGGCCCTGCAGCAGAGTGGTGGAAAAGCTCCTCGGCGGATGCAGACTCAAGGCCCCAACTGTTCTCTTGGATGCACGGCTGTCTTTGGAAGATCATATGACGGCCGTGGCCAGGGAAGCTTTTTATCCGGTTCGCCTGATATGGCAGTTGCGTCCCTTTCTGGACCGGGCTGCCTTGCACACGGTCACTCATGCCCTCGTCTGGACTATTTTAACGCTCTCTACATGGGGCTACCCTTGAAGAGCACTCGGAGGCTCCAACTGGTCCAGAATGCGGCCGTGTACGTGATTATGGGGGCGACACGTCACACCCATGTAACACCTCTCCTGCGCGAGCTGCACTGGCTCCCGGGTGCGATTCAAAGTGTTGGTTACCACCTTTAAAGCGCTCCATGGCTTAGGACCTGGGTATATACAAGATTGCCTTCTGCCACCAATAGCCTCCCACCGGCCAATACGCTCCCACAGAGGGGACTCCTCAGGGTTCCGTCGGCCAAACTATGTCGACTGGTGACACCCAGGGGGAGACCCTTCTCTGTGGGGGCACCTGCCCTCTGGAATGAGCTGCCCCTAGAGGTGCGTATGATCCCTGACCTGCGTACCTTCCGCTGCGCCCTTAAGACTCTTTTGTTCCACAGGCCGGGCTGGCTTAATATGAATTTTAAATCGGGTGTTTGTTAGCTTTTAACTTTGTGAGCCAAATTTTATACATTCGTTTTAAATTGTTTTTAAATTTTGTGAGTTTATATGTGTTTTAATATGGCTGTACACCGCCCTGAGTCCCTTGGGGAGAAGGGCGATATAGAAGTAAGTAAGTAACTAAGTAAGTAAGTAAATATATAAATATATATTTATATATAAATATATAAAGAAGAACTTAGCCAGAGGATTTATTCAGCCAGCCAGGTCTTGAATTGTGGCACCCCTACTGCTTAGAGAAAAGGACCAGGGGGCGGGGGATGTTTGCAATTGTGCATAGACTTCCGTGAGATTAATGGGGTGTCCATTGAGAACATGTACCCCCTCCCTCCTATGAAAGACATGCTAGCTTGTTTGGCCGAGGGATGTATCTTTACCAAGCTGGATCACAGGAAGGCATATTATTGGATACAGATCAGGGATGTGTGGAAGACCGCATTTAATTGCCCATTGGGTAGTTATCAGTTCAGAGTAATGCCCTTCTGACTGCAAGGGGCTCCAGCAGTTTTCATGCAATTGATAAATGAGGATTTCTTTCACCTCATAATGATGTTCCCCCCCCCCCACGTCAACGGGGGGGAGGAGGAGGGGTTCCCTATAACATGGATTTCCTGAGTGGACGTAGCAGGCTACTGTGGAACTCCAGATGTGTCCTCCCCAATAAAGGCGGGAGCTGTAGCTTAACAGCGACAGGTATATGATTTTTACTATTGGAAACAGTCCGATGTATTTGGGTGCGAGTTTTTTGTAGGGCACTTTCAGATTCAGGTACTTGGTGGATAGGTTTACTTTTTGGCCAACATGAAAGGAGGTTTGTGGTCGTCTCTTTTTGTCGGCTTGGGATTTGTATTTTCCCCTCGCTTTCCACATGGCCTCCCTGACTTTCCCCACACGTTACATACATGATACCCATTCCTGTAGCCCTACACCCTCTGGCTTTTGTTGGGAGCACTCAGGTATAGATATGAATTCAGTCCCGGAAAGGGGTGAATCTGGTACTACTATGGATGGCATTGTTATACACCACTTCGGCGAAGGGGAGCAAGTCCGCCCAGTCTGTTTGCTGGGATTTAACATAGCACCGGATGTATTGCTCCACCATTGCATTGGTCCTTTCAGCTGCTCCATTGGTAGCCTGGGGGAACGCTGAGCTCAGAACCTGTGATGACCCTATTATGGCCAGGAATTTATGCCAAAACTTGGCAGTAAATTGAACCCCCCGGTCAGACCCAATGCTTTGTGGTACCCCGTATAATCAATAAATATGTGCAATGAAAAGCTTAGCCAATTTCCTGGCTGAAGGCAACCCTGAAGAAGCCACAAAATGGGCCTGTTTTGAGGAAAGGTCGATGACCATCCAGATCACCGTGTTTCCCTGACTGGCCGGTAAGCCCACAATGAAGTCCATGGCTATCTCCTCCCACAGTCTAAGAGGAGACACCACGGGTTTTAGGAGTCCGGCAGGTTTGCCTGGCTGTTTCTTCATTGTGGCACAGGTCATGCAACTGCGCACATATTCTTTGACGTCCTTCTTGAGTCTGGGTCACCAGAACTGATGGTTGGTCAAATGTAATGTTTTGAGAAAACCAAAGTGGCCGGCCACTCAGACATCATGACACTGTTGCATCACCTCCATCTGTAGACTTTTGGGTACATAGACCTTGGTTCCTTTCCAGGCCAACCCAGCCCTGCAACTGAGGGTTTTTTGATTGGCCTGGAACCACTCATCCGTCACAAGGGCTTTCTGAATGTCTTTAGTTATCTCGGTTGTATGAGGTTTTGACTGAGCGGTGACCCCCACCTGTTGTATTCGACTACCCTCAGGCAGTGAAGCTGGAATTATGGCCTGCACTACCTCCTCATGGTCGCTGGCATATTATGGCATACACGATAAGGCATCAGCCAGGAAATTTCTTCCACCAGGGATATATTTCAGCCGAAAGTTAAAAGCATCTGAAATATAATGCCCATCTGACCTGCTTAGGTGAGAGTTTACATGGGGTTTGGAGAGCCTCCAGATTTTTATGATCCGTTCTGACCTCGAATGGTAAGCTACCCCCCTCCAAAAGATGTCTCCATCTCAGCAACGGCCACCGTACCACAAAGGCCTCCTCCCATACAGCCCATTTGCATTCAGTCTCATTCAACTTGCGGGAGGTATATGCACATGGTTGCAGATATCCCTCCTCATTTGCTTGCAAGAGAACCGCCGCCACTGCTACATCACTGGCATCTGCCTGCACCATGAATGGCTTACTGGAATCGGCTCTCTTGCAAACAACGCTTTCAGGTTGCTGACAAGCCAATGTCCACTGTACCGGGTGACCTGGGTGCAGCTTTTGGATTAATTGTTTGGTTCTCAAAACATCTGTTAATAGAAGAGCCACACTAGCAAGGACGGGATGAACTGTCGGTAAAAGTTCACAAACCCCAAAAAGCTTTGCAGTTGTTTTCGTGTCCTTGGGGCTTGCCAGTCCAAAACTGCCTTTACTTTCGCGGGGTCCATCTCTACACCCGTTGGAGAAATGTGGAATTCCAAATAGTCTAACTACGACTTATGGAAGTGTTAGCCGCTAAACTTTACATCAAATTGTCGAAATGTGGAACTCACATTTCGACAATTTGATGTAGAGTTTAGCGGCTAACAGTTTGTTTAGGACCTGGCATACTAAGATGACATGTTTTTCCATGGTTTTGGTGTAAATCAAAATGTCATTCAGGTAAATAAGCACACCGTTGTATAAATGGTCCTGTAAAACTTCATTGATAAGTTGTATGAATACAGCAGATGCTTCTTGTAGGCTGAATGGCATCACCCTGAATTGATAACTTCCCAGCAGGCAGTTGAACGCCGTCTTCTACTCATCGCCATGCCTGATTCGGATCCTGTTATATGCCTCTTGGAGATCCAACTTTTTATAGACCCTACCCTCTCAAGCAGACCAGCATCTCCTTCATGAATGGAAGGAAATATATATGCTCCACACATGCTGTGTTGATCCCCGTAAAATCAATGTACAGATGCAGCCCTCCATCCTTCTTTTCCCTGAAAAGAACCAGAGCCGCTACCCTACACCTAGCCAGCCCTTGTTCCTCCCCAACCTCCTCACTGTCCGACTTTGTTGCCAGCTCCACAGGCCACCAGTGGACCACAACATTCTTTTTTATCACCTCCATTAGTTCCTGGGGGGTCATTGAATACATTTTTGATTTTGGTAGGGCTGCCCCTGGTAGGATTTCGGTAACACAATCAGTAGCATGGTGGGGCGGTCAGTTGTCACCTCGCTTATGTCATCATACATCTCAGGGAGCCTGACCAGCTTCATGGGGTACTTAACTGCTGGTTGGGTGCTCCCTACCGCCTCAGGGTGTTGCTCATGTGGGGGCGAGTCAGGTCCTACCCCTATTCTCAGATGTCTACAACCCCCTCCCCACGAGATTGTCAGACCCCACTTATCGAGCAGGCTAGACCCAGCACAATTTTTTCCGTGATCCTGGGAACAACTACACAATGGATACATTCCTGGTGTGGCCCTATTTCCAAGGTTAGCAGTTCTGTGACGTGGGTCACTGGTTGGCCTCCTAACAAAGGCCCATCAGACTGATCAGCTGAACATACTCCTAGGCATTGCCAGGTCAATAAGTGAATTCTCTGGCCCTGAGCTACGGCGCGGCAGGACTGATACGCAGTCCCCAAGCCCTATTCCCTATTCATCAACGCAGTGACAGTGGAGGTGAAACTCCCTCGGTGTTCCATAGTAGCTTGCTGCGGCCTGTGAGGACCTCCAGTATATGGGGGGCCGCAGGGCAGGCACCTTGCCCTCTTCAGGTAGGCAGGGGAGCTCCACTATAAAGTCAAACAAATCCTAGACTGCCATATACACAGGGGGGCACTACAGTATCTAGTATCATGGAAAGGGTATCCCCTGTCGGAGGCCTCATGGGTAAGGAGCAGGGATGTAAGGGCTCCTCGACTAGTTAAAAGGTTCCACCATAAGAATCTGCGCAAACCAGGTGCAGAGAGTACCATGAGCCCAATAACCAACTAACCAACTTTTGCCTTCTAGATGTCTCCATGGTAGGAGGGGGCTGCATATCAGCCCCAAATTGGCCAGCCGCGAGTGAGCTGACCCAGGGCTGTCATTAGGGAGGGGAGAATCCACCATCGCCACGTGAGCCATCAGCTGAGAGACAGAATGGCTGAGCACCAGGTGAACGCCAGGCCACTGCTTCATTGGGCTAGGCACTGCTGAGAATGGCCCTGGACCTGCAGTCAGCTGGGAAGCGGATAGCCGGCAATCAGCTGTGAAGCGGAGACCAGCCGAAACAGCTGAGCATCGGCATCTGGAAGCCATGGGTGCACACATGAACCTTCTGTTGGGCTAAATGTGGGCAGACACCAGGGGGTGGGGATGCCACAGGGTGGGATAAACACACATACTTAAGAGGGAAGGACTAAACTGCAGTTAGCAGTGACTTTGTTTTGCTGCTTTGCTGGTTGGTCACTTTGTGCCGGGTTTCACGCTTTCAAGGATAAATGCTTCAAACTGAACTGTGTTGTCTGAGGTTTCTGGATGCTGAACTATGGAAAATGACACAGAGAGCTCTAAGGACCCCTGGTTTCAACCATGATCGTATTGTTGTGGCCAGCAAATTGCCTTTTTTTTTTACCATAATCTTTGGACAACTCTGCTCACTCCTCCCTCCCTCCCTCCCTTCCTTCCATCCTCCCTCCCTCCCTCCCTCCCTTCCCACAGGGAAGCATTATGCTCAGAAAGCAATCCAATAGGCTGAGCTGGAACTGGACATCCAAACATGGAGGTGGATGGGGCTCCTCTTACCTCTGCATTGTTCCAGGTCAGTTTATTCTCGAAAAATCCGTAGCAATGCTGCTCATAAAGAAACCAGTTCAGGGGACAAGATACTGCTTCCAGGCCTGTTGGTGGAAAGAGAAGGCGTTGTCAAAGAGGAGGAGATGGGGGTCACCCACCCTGAGCCCATAGATTCAAACTGAGAAGAGGGGGAGGAGAAGGGACTTGAAAAAGGGGAAGAAAAGAGACACCCTAGAAATAAGGGCAGGACGGTGCCCAGCTGGAGGGAAGCCAGGACCTGGATGGGGTGCAAAGTACGGCGAGAGGCTGGGAAGACAGGTAGGGGCAGCCTCCCCTCAAGTAACAGGGTCAGAAGAAGAAAACAAAAGAGCAACTCAACAAGGAACGATATCTGGACCAATTGGCTGGAAAGGGTCTCAGGACACCCTTTGCTTAAATACCAACGGATGGATGGGTGGATTTTCTGCTCTTCGGTTTCACAAATTCCTTGACCCATTGTTTACTAATTCATTGTTGGTCTGCTATTAATCTTGGTTAATCTTTGTTTACCTGTTGTTGATTGCTGGCAAGGGGGTATTTGAGGTTTTTGGTCTCCTTTTTGGCTTTCTGATTGTCTCTCTTGAATGGTGTGTAAATGTTGTTTGTGCTTAGCTGAATGTTGGTGCCCAAACCCTTTGGTTAATTTGGGGTTCCTATAACCTACATAATGTCACAACACATATCTGCCAGAATATGGCTTTGATTGCATGGTTGGGCCCACATTCTGGCTCTGACTCCCATTCCTGTGAACCCCACAATTTGTCCAGGGTGAATAACATTGCCTCGAGAGCTTTTCCTGACCTTCGTCATCTCAATACTTGAAGATCTGAGGAGAGAGCTTAGCTTACATTCCGTTTTGTGATGGCAATCTTTATATTTTCCTGCCATGACGGGGCATTTTCTCCCCAATTTGTATGGCTGGAACTACAACCATTTTTTGAGTTGTCCATCAGAGAATCCTAGGGCTGGAAGGGACGTCGGAGGTTTTCTAGTTCAATCTTGTGTTCAAGGCAGGACACTTCATAGCATCCCAATCAAATGGAAAACCTCCAGTGATGAAGCATCCACAACTCCGGGAGGCAAGCTATTCATTGATTAATTTTTCTCGCTGTCAAGATAGGAAACTTATTATTTCCATGCTGGATCTTCCTTTAATGAGTTTCCACCCATTGGTTCTTGTCCTGCTTTTCTATGCTTTGGAAACTAAGTCAACTTCCTCTTCTCTGTGACAGCCCTTAAAGTACTGGAATCCTGCTATCATGTCACTCCTAGTCCTCCTCTTTGCTAGACTAGACATATCTAGTTCCCTTAGCCTCATACACTTTAGCCTCCAGACCTCATACCATCTATGTGGCTCTTCTCTTTCTAGAAATGCTTCAACATTTTTTTGCATCAACAAAGACCTACCTTGTATGAAGAAAGAGGCCACCAGGAAGCCCAAAAAGGGCACACAAAAAGAGGCGAACCCCATCTGGAAGGTAAAAGAAACAGCAAACTAAATCAAGGAGCTGCTGTTACCAGATGTATTGATGTCCTCCAGCTGTGTTGATTTCAGAAGGAGATTGGATAAATTCAGGGAGGAGGATGGGATCTCATCAACTCCTAGTCTTTCTGGCTGTTTATCACCTCCTGACTCAAGACTGTTGGACGAGCAGGCACAGAAACAGCCAGGGAAGTGATTGAAGCCTAGGAAACGGCCCGCTCCTCAGTCAACAAGAGTGCTGATTTACCACCACTTGCTCAAATACTTGGGAGGCGAGGGCTTGGCAGCACAAACTTCAGCTAATGACTTAATAGCCAGCCATCAATACCCCAATCAACATCTAACAAGCCACATACAATATGCACCATATAAATACCACAAACAGAACAACCCAAAGCCCACCCTCTGCTAGAGAGAAGTTCCCTGAAGATGGGCTCCAGCACAAGTCCAAAAGCTCAGAAGGCAAAACCTCTGTTCCCGGTGACTGACCCAAATTAGTTCCCTCAACATTCTCCTGGAACACATAGATTCACCTTCATTGGAATATGAATAAATTACAGTAGCATCCTTAACTGTCCAACAGCTTGCCACCCTCTTCTTGCTACTGAATTGCCTAAAGACTCCTGGGTTGACCTCTGTGGGACATAGAATGGTGGCCTGGATGGACTCCACTCTGTCCTTCAATCTTTCTGTTTTTAGATAATGAAAAAGAAATCTAGAGGTCCTTGAGGAACAGTTTTTCCTTTCGTTGGCCTTTTGGTAAATTGCAGAAACATAAAAAGCCACACATGAGGAGAACTTCATGAGAACCTGAACAAGTCAATCCCCCACCTGTAATACCTTGACTGGCACTGGTTTAGCTGCCTTTAAAAAAAGGAACCTGTGGTTAGCATCTCGTTATTAAATGCTTTGGACCAGCCAGACGTGTCCCCTCTATCAATCGGTGGCTCCCCCCTGACGTATCCTAGAGGCTGCTTTCGGATGGAGGCTGCTTACAGGTCAGTCTTTGAATGCTGTCAGGAGAATTGTGAGCTTTTGCTCCTTCTGGGTACAATGCTGGTTCTTTCTGAACGATTTATTTATGAGTGGGTTTGGGAGTTGTGTGTAATTGTGGCAAACAGGCACTACAAGGACAAATATCTACTGAAGCCAGAAGCACATCAAGATCATTTTTTATGTGGAAATGCCATGGCTGAGCAGTGATCCAGGCAATGGGAAATACATGCTGGAAAGAGAAAAACATGCACCAGCAGATCCCAAAGAGTTGACAAAAATCTTCTTGAGAGCAAGATAGACATCTAGGAGGAGTGTTTTAGTCTATGGTAGGAAAAGGAGGCTGGTGTGAGGAAAGGACAAACTTTGTGCAGACATGTTAATGGACAGGAGGTTGATATAACATCATGGAGAAAGCCAGATCAGCGCATTTTAAACCCCCTCTATGACAGACCCAAAGTGACCATTTTGGAAAAAGGAGACTTTGAAACAAAGAATCCTAGAACTGGAAGGGACACTGGAGGTCTTCTAGTCCAACCCTATTCTCAAGTGCAGACCAGAGGTGGGTTTCAGCAGGTTCTGACTAGTTCCGGAGAACCGGTAGCGGAAATTTGGAGTAGTTCGGAGAACCAGTAGTAAAAATTCTGACTGACCCAGCCCCCGTCTACTCTCTGCCTCCCAAGTCCCAAGTCTCAATCATCTTTATGATACCGCATCAGCCTTCGAACCTGTGTCGTCCCAAGGCATTGGGATGGGGACTCCCGGCATTCCTAGCCGCAGGGAGAAAGGATGGGAAATATGGGGGTGCAGTCCCAATGCACATCACGAGCATCTTGTTAGGACAGACTGTCCCAAATCACAGCAATATCTCCTCTTCAGTTCATTGCTGATCAATTGACCAAGAATATCAGCCATTATATCTATGACTTGTCTTGTTCAGTAGTTTTATTTCAGGAAGAAATAACTCCATGATTCAGCCGGCAGAAGGAAGCCTCCAATCTTTTGTACTGTGGTATGAATTTCCTAAAGAAATTAGTTTCATCTGAATGAACTTCATGTCTTCAGCATCTTTACTGCTCAAATGCTTTCGTCTCACTTTGGAAGGGCACTTTTGATCACTGGTTGTCGAGCTGCTTTTTTAATAGAATAACAGAGTTGAGAGGGACCTTGGAGGGCTTCTAGCCCAACCCTCTGCTGAAGCAGCAGACACTGTGCCATTTCAGACAAACGGTTGTCCCATCTGTTCTTGAAAACCTCCAGTGATACAGCACCCACAACTTCTGGATACAAGTTGTTCCGCTGGTTAATTGCTGTCACTGTCAGGAAATTTCTCCTTAGTTCTAGGTTGGATGTCTTTTTGATAAGTTTCCATCCATTGCTTTTTGTCCTGCCTTCCGATGCTTTGTAGAATAGTCTGACCCCCCTCTTGTTGTAACACTGCTATGGTGTAGCCCCTAGTCCTTCTTTTCACTAGACTAGCCATGCCCAATTCAGCCTCCAGTCCTCTAACCATCTTTGTTACTCTTCTGTGCTCCCTTTCACGACTCTCCAAGAGTCCTGCCTGTTTCCTGATCCTTGGAAAAGTTCCTTTGGAAAGAAGCCGCCAAAGATTTGATGGGCTCCATCCCTATTTTCTCCTTCAGACGTTTCGTTAAGAGAGAAAATGTTGTCTCTTCCAGGAGGGCATCAGCCACCAATTTTCTGGCTGGAGTTAAATAAGACAAAACTAAAGTCAGCAACACATGGAACACTTAATGGGCTGATTTCAGTACAGACTGTGATTTTTTTAAATTGCTTTTTAAAATTCCTTGGCTATCGTCCCTTTCACATTTTGATTTTCTTATTTTGTGGGTTTGAATTTGTAATTTTTGACATGTAAAATTAATTAATTAATTAATTAATTTTTGACAAGTAAAATTAATTACCGTAATTACCGTCATTAATTTTACGTGTCAAAAATTACGAATTAATTAATGAAATGGATGAATGAACAAATAAATTCCTTGCCCATCGTCCCTGTCACGTTTTGATTTTCTTAATTTTGTGGGTTTGAATTCGTAAAATTTTGTTTGACGAAGCCAGCAAGGAGAGAGAAAAAATTCTCTCCCCCCTGAGGTAAAAAAATACCTAGTCAGGGCTGAGAGTCTCTTTTCTCTGACCCTAAATTACCCTGTATTCATAATCATCTTTACACTTATGTCTGTTATCTTATAGGTGATAAATAGATCGATAGATAGATAGATAGTATTAATTAGAATAGATAACTAGATAGGATTAATTAGAATAGATAGATAGATAGTTGTGCAGAAAATGGAGGACGTGGGGTCTTGGCAGGCTTTTTAGCTGTCCGTTTCACTGCCTGTAGAGGGCAGTCTACAGTCTAGCGCTTTTTAAGTCCTAGCTGGGCTCTACAGGCAGTGAAACAGACAGCTAAAAAGCCTGCCAAGACCCCGCGTCCTCCATTTTCTGGCGCGAGTCTTTTTACCTCAGAGGAGGGAGAGATTTCTCTCTCTCTGTCTCCTTTTCCATCTGCAGGTAAGCGGTTTTAAAAGGGGTTAAAATAAAAAACTGCCTGACTGTAGCTTCATTGCTTGCATCCTTACGATTCATATTGATATTGGTTGTTTCCTGATTGCTTATTTGTACCCTTAAAATGTATTTTATTCTCCTCATGTACACTGATTTTAATTTTTTTAATTCATTAAAATACACAAATACTTAATGAGCAGTGTATTGTCTGGATCCATTTGTTCATACAAAGTATTAATATATACTGAGAGTAATAATTATAATAATAAAAACAACCATAATTAAAATACTACTAATTGCTTATTTATGATAAAATTCTTACATCATTTACTATGCAATAATGATAATACTGCTAATAAAAATAATGATAATAACAATAACTAATATTAATACTAATGTTTGCTTATATATATATAAAATACAATTTCTTACTGTATATTATATAATATTTTTATATATTTCTTTTCTTATAGATATATTATTAATCTTTCATCTTTTAGTTTCCACCGCTTTTATCCAACCATTGATAGAACATAAAGAGCGGTCAGGGTTGATCTCCTCTAGGATTGACCGGTTGGATCGCCTTGCAGTCCAAGGGACTCGCAGGAGTCTTCTCCAGCACCAGAGTTCAAAGGCCTCCATTCTTTGGCTCTCAGCCTTTCTTATGGTCCAGCTTTCACAGCCATACATTGCAACTGGGAAAACCAGAGCCTGGACTATACACACTTCTGTTGGCAGGGTGATGTCTCTGCTTTTTAGTATGCTGTCTAGATTTGCCGTAGCTTTCCACCTCAGGAGCATTTGTTTGTTTGTTTGTTTATTTATTTATTTAAATTTATTTATTTAAATAAATTCAAATAAATTTAAATAAATAAATAAATAAATAAATTTTTATACCGCCCTTCTCCCAAGGGACTCAGGATGGTGCACAGCCACAATAAAACACATATATCCATAAAATTTAAAAACAGTTTAAAACATATTAAATAATTTGGCCCTTATATTAAAAAAAACTGAAAAGAACAACAACCTCAAAAACTAAAATTTCTTTTAATTTCTTGGCTGCAGTCCCCATCTGCACTCCTCTTGCAGCCTGTCTGTCACTATCTCCATTTCTTTCCCTTCTATTTTCCAGGAATTCAGAAAAGAATTGAGAAAAGAAAATTCTTTTCTTATATATATATTATTAATCTTTCATCTTCCATTTCCCACTGCTTTTATCCAGGGATGAAATCCAATTTTTTTTACTACTGGTTCTGTGGGCGTGGCTTGGTGGGTGTGGCAGGGGTAGGATACTGCAAAATCCCCATTCCCTCCCGACTCTGGGGAAACTACTCAAAATTTCTGCTACCGGTTCTCCAGAACCTGTCAGAACCTGCTGGATTTCATCCCTGTTTTTATTCAGCCATTGATAGAATATATCCCATGTTGAAAAGTATTCTGTTTTTTCCTTATCTTTTATATTTAACGTTAATCTATCCATCTCTGCATAGTCTAATATTTTTCTAATTATATTTTCATCTGTAGGTATGTCTTCATTTTCCCAAGTTGAATGCAAATACAATTCTCGCTGCCATTGACACATGTATTATTAAATATGTAGTCCCTTTGTTATAATTTTCTGGTAATATACCTAACAGAAATATTTCTGGTTTTAAATCTATGTGTTGTTTTATCATTTTCTCTAACCGTGTATGTATTCTCGTGCAGAATTTTTTTGCTTTTGAATAAGTCCACCACATGTGGTAATAGGAACCTGATATTTGGTTACATTTCCAACATTTTGCGGACATATTTTTAAACATCTTCGCTAGTCTTGCTGGTGGCAAATGCTACCTATAAAATTTTATAGAAAGTTTCCTTATAGGTAGTTGCCATTGTTAATTGTTAATAATATATATATTCTTTCATCCATATAGGTTATTTCAATATCTAATTCAGTCATATCTATCATAACAAATTAGTATAAAAAACTTCCAAACATTTTACTTCTCAGTAGTCCTATTTCCCAGCATTTCTCTTCCTTTCCAGCCAATAGTAAAAATTTGTTCCAGATTTCATAATACTCTGATTCATCCTTATCTTTAAGTTCCAGGGTCAGTCTGTTCATTTCCGCACAAAATAATATTTTGGCTAACACTTCTTCTGTGGGAGTCTCTTTGTTTTTTCATTTTTGTGCAAAAGCTAATCTTGCTGCTGTTAGAATATGTAACATTAGGTAAATTGTGGTCTTATTGTATATGCCCTCGATAATACTTAGCAGAAAGAATTCTGGTTTTGCTTTAATATTTTGCATTAGTATCTCCTCTATCTATTGTCTATCAATTGCCAAAATTTTGTGGCTTTTGGGCATTCCCACTACATGTGGTAAAAGGTTTCTGCCACTACCTCACACTTCCAGCACCTCGATGAATGTTTTTTGCGTATTTTTGCTAATCATGTGGGTGGGAGATGCCACCTATAAAACATCTGATATAAATTTTCTTTGTATGTAGTAGCTAAGGTAATTTTTATGTTTCTCTCCCAAAGATCCTGCCACTTATCTAAGTCAATACTATAGACGAAATATTTGCTCCAAATTAACATTGTTTCTTTTACCTGCTCTTCTAGCATATCTTGTTCTAATAGATAATGATATATTTTCCTGATATTTGTTTTCAAGCCATGAGGGTTTATGTTTATGAGGGTTTCACAATTTCTCCCGTTCTTGTAGTGCACAACTCCTTATCTGACATGCTATCTTTGGACTGTCATCACTGACTCTAGACTTCAGTTTAAGGCCTTCCTGGTTGAGTTCACTGTACTTTGTAATTACAGCATGTTCCCAGTCTTTGCAAGCTGTAGGTCATATTCTACCAACAATGTATTACCTGGATCAGGTTTTTGGTACATTGGAATATACAATATTTTATATTCTAATGGATGCATGGCAATAGGATGGGGTCTATCAGAGGGGGAGAAGGGGAAGCAGGAGGAGGAAGAGAAGGATGGAGGAGAGGGAGAAGGAAGAGAAATGGTGATGGAGGAAGGAAAAGAAAATGGCGAATGATGGTGGTGGTAGTAGTGGTGGTGATGGAGGAGAAGGAAAGGCAGATGGTAGAGGAAAGGACAATTTGTAGACCAGCCCATTTGAAGTTTGGTCTTTGAGGACATCTCTCACTCCTTCCCAACCTGTTGCATATTAGGAGGACCAACCTAATTTCTGGAGATTTGGGCGGACAGTCTGAGGATTCCTTTCCTAGAAGACCTCCACAATGTCTTCCAACCCCATCATTCTATGGATGGTGTTCCATTCTCACCTGACGAGGCAGACAGCTGGATGAAACTCAGGTATTTCCTTCGTCTAGGAAAGGTTTCATCCCAGGATACATAGGGAATGGATGAATAATCAGTCCATTTCCACATTTTTTCTGTAAAAAGAGGAAGGACCACCTTCAGCCTGGGTAGTCTGGAGAAGGGGCAGACCAGGCGGCAAGC